CCTGTTTGGCTGAAAAAGTATGAAACGACATAAAACAGACTACATTGAATATATTTTCTCCTGATTCTTGGAATTAAAATAAACAATTTTTCATTGAATATTAAGTCCTCAACAGTTGTAGTTTTTGCTGCCAATGACTCTATTTCGTCTAGTGAAATTACCTACACAAGTTATATTGTCATGGCAGTATTTACAATTAAAAATCGACACTTTTAAATTAAGTATGAGCACAAATGATTCTGAAAGGTTCCACCTATATCCTTTCAAAAAAGTAAATCAATTTATATTTTTTTATGAATTGACTGTTTCACAATCAGCACCGTCACTATGTTAATTAATCTACTTTTTTTTAACTAAATCCCGATCGAGTGGTAAATTTTGAAAGACTATTTTGTTAATTGCAGGTTGAGATATAAGCCTAATTATTAAACAGGTTCTGTTTTTGATGCTGGAGGTCACAGCCATTAGTATATTATCAGTTAACATTCAATGCTAATGGTAGCTTATTGTGAAACACTTTTTGAAGTCCACTCTGAACTTTTTTTACAACCACGTATTCATCTGTGTTAACAAACTATTGTGATCAATGTAGGTGTCGAAAAAAATCAAATATGTACAATGAATTATTCAAAGAGTTTTCAAGGTTAATAAAACAATAAAACTAAAGATCAAACGAACTTGAGTACAACTGCTCACAATCATACGACCCAAAAATCTCTTTACCGCACCACTACCAAATAAACTCATCCAGAACAAATTGTTTTTATACACAGTATCCAAAACATTAGAACTGTATCGATTTAAAGGGACAGATTCACCATTTTCGACGCTTAATTTGATTTTGAATATATGTAATTAGCCTTCAGAATTACAAGAAATATAATTAAATCGTATAATTCCTTCGAAAATACCTCAAACTAGGAATTTCACTTTCTTTTTCTATATAGTTTTTTTCTATATTGTAGAGTCTCACGAGTTGACATTTCAACTTTCACATACATGGATTTGAAGGCTAAAACTTCGACAAAAAACTGTGAACACTATTACTGATTAGCTTAGCTAAAGGTACGATTGTTCAAGCGGATGACGAACTGCCCCTTTGAATTACTTATGTTCGGTTGTATTTCATAAACGTATGGTACTGATAGCAATGAATCCAGACGTTTTGGCGAATTTATCGATGATCTTAAACCATTACTTTAGGTTTGATAGACTAACTCGAAGGAATCATTGGACCATACGATTTCAAACAGTAATTCTCATAGAAATTATCTTGTATCTTGTATCCAATCTTTTATTAGAATGTTTTTGCCAGCTTGCACAGGTAGAATTATTTGATTCTGTAACTTGGACAGAGAAGACAGATGTAGAATGCAAACACTATCAATCCATGTTACTTTCAGATCGAATTGTGATATATTGACCTCGACCTCTGTACCGTGAGCTTGAACTTAATCAAGGGTACATAACCAAAATCAATTACCTCATGAAAGCGATTAACTATTAGAAATTTAATTAGGCGAATCAATTAGCGGCTAATGGACATTATTGGTCTCCATTTCATATAACAGAAACAGGACTTTAGCTTAAGTGTATCGGTTTTACATGCCAAGCTAGAAGTCTTAAGTAATGGTCTCAAAATAATCAGGACCGTCCTCGCATAACGAAAATGTAATATAAATGGTCATATGTGGACATATATTGTCCGGTTCTAGGTCCATGCAACCACATTTGTTAAAAAGACCAGATATGAGTTCCCAATAAAATGTCCATCGGTCGCAAAGTAACGCCACTATCTCAAAAACAACAAAATCAGTGGCATAGTAGGCCTATACTATATTAAAGAACAATGGTTACCTAGTGGTATCGTGTCCTATTCTGTTTGCTAGTTGGAAACGATGTTTCATTTGTTATTGGACCACTTAATTTTTATTCGTTGTATAAAATTATAAATTTATCTGCTACTTGAAATTTTTTAAATAATATGTATTGGCTAATTCATAAAAATGTCTATCGACAAACCTATCATGAAATGTGTCATTGGCAGCATTAGTTACAAAAAATGCCAATATCATTATAATGTCATGTCGGTGAAATATTAATTTAAATATTAATTATCATATTTTATTTGAATTTACAAGTCTATAAACATCCTTACAAGATTATAAACACCATTACAATACCATACACACCATGTCTTACGAGACAGAAATTATCATAAGGTGGTTTTACAAAACAGAAATCATAAGATGGTCTTACTAGACATTGATCATCACAGGGTGCTCACAAGACAGTTAACACCATAAGGTGGTCCTACAAGACAGAAATCATCATAAGGTGGCCTAACAAGACAGAAATCATCATTAGGTGGTCTTACAAGACAAAAATCATTATAAGGTTGTCTTACAAGACAGTAAACATCATAAGGTGGTCTTACAAGACAGTAAACATCATAAGGTGTTCTTACAAGACAGTAAACATCATAAGGTGTTCTTACAAGACAGTAAACATCATAAGGTGGTTTTATTAGACAGTTAACATCATAAGGTGGTTAATGTAACACTTTTATAAAATGATTATCATCATAAGGTCGCCTTATAAGACTGTAAACATCATAAGGTGGTTTTATTAGACAGTTAACATCATCATTTTATGTCTTACAAGACATAAAACATCATAAGGTGGTCAATAAACATCATAATGGTTTTACAAGACAACTAACACCAGAAGGCAGTTTTACAAGTTAATAATCATCATAAAAGGTGGCCTTTAAAGAAGATGAACATCATAAAGTGATCTTACAAGACGATAACATGAGGTGGTCTCATAAGACAAAACAGTGATTTTAAGTGATCTTACAAGACTATAAACATCACAAGGTAGTCTTACAGAGGATACACATCATAAAGCTAATTTACAAAACAATACACATCATAAGGTGATCTAACAAAAGATAAACATCATATTAAGGTAATAAAGATAATCCTAATCAAAGATCACAAATTATCACTAGATGGTCATTTAAGTCAACGTCATGGTAGTCATACAAGACCGTACACCTTATTATGAGGTATAAGTTATTTTTTCTGATATTGGGCAAGTCATCTCCTTCCACACGATGTCTATGGACAAGACAGTAAAAAAAGACAGTCGAGATGGTACTTTATGTTTGTTTGAACTATTCTAGAATGACGGATGATTAAACTCATATTCCTACAGGCGTACCATAAAATTATGTAGAAATTGATGATATTCAGAGTTGATTGATAAGATTAATATGATAAAATAAACAATTTATTTTATTCCTAAAATGATCAATGTGTCTTTTTAATTCCTCAAATCAATATACATCCATCTCTATAGTACGACCAATTTTTAAATTCAGTCCATCCATCATTTCCTATAATTTGTCCAGGGCATCAAGAACTCACTCATAACAAGATGTATTCCATACCAAGATAACTAGAAATGGTTATCCATTATGTTGGAAATTGAAAGTCTACAAACGTTCATAAATCAGCAGCTGTTGGCAATTCTTTTCATATTTTCCAGTTGATAAAGTGTCTGAGCACATCAAGATGGACTAAAGTTGTGTTACTATCTTGTTGACTTACTACCTGCCCTTACGTATCCAGCATTGAGCTATAAGTTTTACATTACTATATCTACCATTGATTTACCAACTGCCTTTCAATATCCAGGATTGTTCTGTAAGGTGCTTTCCTACAAGATGGTACAACACTTTACTGTGCTCTGCGCTTTGCTGCACACCAGTAATAACGTCAACAAGCTGGTACAAGGCCATATTATGATGGCAGTCATAAAACTGATCTAAACGCAGACATACAAATCAAAGTAAGAGTTTTTGCTTGTATTGTTCATTCACCTGCAGCATTAGGCTAGGTGTTCTTTTAGCTTGCGAGGCATGAACCATACGCCCACTAACAGCTATCAGAAATGAAACTGTTCATCCGATTTTTACCAATTTCGAAATTGACTGAGATCCCATCAAAACATGTATACCAAGATTGGATAAAACTGTAGCTTGTAAACCAAATTTGACGCGTTTTTACTAATTCAATGACAATAAGGTCCTAGACACTATCCAGGGTCTAACTTTGCTTTTCCTCCGGTCCACCCTCCCTATCATTCCCATCCTCACTGGAATCATTTCAACTCCGTTCCTCAGTTTAATAGGCACCAGAATTCTCAACAAAATTGGAATCACTCTAGAAACAACCATTACACTCAGCAAAATTGGAATCACTCTGGAAATTACCATTACTCTCAGCATAATAGGAATCTCTCTAGACATCAGCAATATCCATCAAATCCTCAACATCGAGTTAGCCAGAATGCTGAATCACCAATAATACGAATGTTTTATCAGGTCTTGCAAGCTCTTCATCACCTATCGGTTATCAAAACTCAGCTTGAAGGTCGTCCATCTAAAAACTTTTATCATAAAATCAAGGAGCTAAACCACTTCATAAAACCAGCTATGAGAAACGACGCAATTTCTAGAATAATCAACACTATCAACCATTCATGGGCTAAAGATATTCTCACCTCTTTAAAAGACCATTATGAATCCATGCTGATCCAGAAAATCAATGGCATAAAATCTCGCTCTTTTTCCGATTCTCGCATTAAAGAATTTTCTGCTAAGGCTATCAACTGGGCCAAAACCATCTACAGACATAAACTGTCCGACGAATCTTTGAAAAAATATTCCGACATCATACGTAACATAGGTATTCCTGACGATTCCATGGAAGTCACAGAAACCATTGCAGCCGCTACTACAAACCGTTACAGTATCCCAAATAATGTCAGCCAAACTCCCACTCGCAAACGTCGCCCTTCAGCCTCTTCTCCAGACGCAGTCCAAGGTACACCAAGAAAGACTTCAAAGATTTCACCAACCACTAAACCTGTCCCACTTATGTCCCTAACACTGCCTTCTTCTTCCATGCCCTCTTCCAGTTTCTCTTCTTCCATCATCGTACTACCAATTTCTCAGTAACCCCATCATTTGCCTTTGCCTCCAATCCACAAACTAGTGTAACTACTCCTTCTACCAGTTCGTCTGTAACACCCTTCACCTGTTCATCGTCTACGACCTCTATAAGTTCTTCAACTATACCCTCTACTACTTCGTCTACCATTACCCCTAGTTGTTCATGTACTACCACCCCTACTAGTTCGTCTGCTATAATCTCTACTACCACAACCTCCGTTATTCTATCAACTAAACCCACCACAAGTTCATCCACCCTTCCCTCTAATAGTTCTTCCTCAAAATCTATCTCTAAGTCTCCCAATCTGGCTATTCCATCTTCGAGTATTTCCCAACAATCTTCTTCTCAGCCAAGTTCATCTCCTTCAACCTCTTCACCATCTCCTTCTCGACAATCAACTTCGCAGAATTCTAAATCTTCCCGACGCAAGATCGATTATGATCCTAAGCAACTACCAAGTCGTCATGCCAACCAAAATAAAGAATCATGGTCATTACCTGCTGTTACCAAATCAAATTTGATATTGGGATCATCTAATCTGAACAGAATCGACAAATCCAAAATAAACTCAAACACTCAAGTTGAATCATACCCAGGAGCCAAAATAGACCATATCATCCAAATTCTTAAAAAACACCAACAGCAACCAGCATCGAATAGCATTGATCCTGACAACATTATTTTTCATGTGGGCCTCAACAATAGAGGTGAAGCGGCAGATATTATCTTCAAAAAAATGACCAATCTTGTTTCTTTAGCTTCTTTCCTAATTACCGTATCTTCATCACCCATATACCCACTGCTCATACTTTTCAACTGAAGAATAAAGTCGACAGTAAAAATTTAGAGAAATTCAATGCTTTGATAATCAACAGTCCTCCACCAAATACAACCATTATTCCAGCAGCAGATACTATCATTAAAATCAGAGAAGACGACATTCAATGACTGCCAAAGCCATCTACGACCATTGGATGAACTTCGTCACAGATTCCACAGCACCTTTAAACTAGGAGCGGGGGGGTCCCAATGTTTGTCTTCAGCTTGGAAAAACAGTTGTTAATTTAAGCTCTAGAGTTCTCTCTCCAAGTAAACAAAAAGTTTTAGATAAAGGGCTTAAATTTATACCTACCAAGAAACCTTTGTCACACACTCCACTAATTGAAGCCACAAAGAGATTCCAGAGAAATTTAAGGTTAAACTATTTCTACAGAAACACGCCTTCTCGTGGTCCGATCACCAAGTTTGTTGAAAAATCGAAATTCACACCCGTGGATAGTTGTATAAACAAAAGCATTTTGGATACCTTTCAGGAAATGAATGATGAAATATCTCGTTTGCCTATAGTAAACGAGAAAGACAACCTTTCGCACGCGGAACGTACTGCTTTGAATGCTCTAAAACATGACAAGAATATTGTTATCAAGAAAAGCGACAAGGGCAGTTGTTGTGTGATCTTAAATAGGCAGGATTATGTTAAAGAAGCCGAATCTCAACTAAGCAATCCTGAACATTACACTCGTTTGCAGGATCCGATCTACAAAGAAACTTCTAAATTAATAACAAATATTTTGAAAAATTTACTTCAGAAAGACTACATTAAGCAAAAACAATTTGATTATTTAAAGCCAGAAAAAGAACCACGTCAGAGACATCTTTATACCCTCCCAAAAATACACAAAAATCCTGAAACTGAGTGGTTCTCTCCAAATAAAATCCCAAAAGGTCGCCCAATTATTTCCGATTGTGGAAGCGAATCGTACAGGGTATCAGAATACATTGATCACTTTTTACTGCCTCTTGCCTCAAAACATCCTACCTATATCAAAGACACCAACGAATTTGTGGAAAAGGTAAAGAAAATCGTGATCCCAGAAAATGCCCTTTTTAGTCTCTTTAGACGTTCAAAGCATGTATACTAAAATTGACAATGATTCTGGATTACGCGCTGTAAAGCAGGCATTCGAGCGAAAGCCCGATCCTGATAGACCAGATAAAGAAATTCTTGAACTTTTGGAAATTTGTTTAAAACATAATGACTTTACTTTTAATGAAAATATTTATCTTCAGGCTTCAGGAACTGCCATGGGGAAACGCTTTGCGCCCTCTTATGCAAACATATTCATGGCAGAATGGGAAAGAGAAGTTTCACTCCTCTGTCCCAAACTACCAATTTTTTATGTAAGATTTCTTGATGATATTTTCTTAATTTGGACTCATACAATAGATGAATTTTGGGAATATTTTGATACTCTCAATAGCCACCACCCTTCTGTAAAATTAACTTCTAATATTAGCGACAAACAGATTGATTTTCTAGACACCACAGTTTTTAAAGATACCAATTTTCATGAAACCAATCAATTAGATATTAAAGTTTTTTTTAAGCCCACTGATACTCACCAACTTTTATTCAAATCATCTTTTCATCCTAAACATACCTTTTCTGGCATTATAAAGTCGCAGATCTTGAGATTTCACCGAATTTGTACGCGCAAGAAGGACTTCGAGGAGGCTTGTTCAATTGTTTTCCAAAAATTGCGCGAACGTGGATATTCTAGAAGGTTCTTGAGAGGTATTAAAAGCTCAACAGTTGCTGAAATCTCTGCTAAAAATAATTCGATTCTTTTGCCAATACCAAATTCTTATCCTTGTAACAACCCTTGCTGTCAAACCTGTCCCTTCATTTTACCAACAAATTCTTTCCGAAATAGACGCACAGATTCCATATTTCAAGTAAATGAAAAACTCAACTGCAACAGCAAAAATATTATTTATCTCATTTCTTGCACAAAATGTAACGAACAATACGTTGGGGAGACAAAAAAATCGTTAAGGGTCCGTTTCAATCATCATAAGTCTGACATCAACTTAAAAAAAATTAATAAAACCGTTTCAAAACACTTCAATCAACCCGATCACCAATTAACAGACCTGAAAATTATTCCCATTGAACAGATATACGAAGAACCGGGCATTGATACAAAGAAAATTCGACTCATTCGCGAAAATTATTGGATAAACAAATTACAAACCATGCATCCTTTGGGAATGAAAATCCAAGTTGATTTCCAAATTATACCTTTTGTTATTCAATACAACACAGCTGGTCAAGTTCCCCGAATAATTATCCGTCTTTACAAAGAATTGCAGGAAAAATTTCCAACAGTCTTTACAAATGATTTAGTTATCGCCTATACCCATAATAAAAATCTAAATGATATCTTAGTCCGTGGTAGATTACCCCCCATCCCCCTTCCATAGGTTTAGTACATTTCCTTTAATTAATATTTCTTATTTATGATAACTTGCAATTGAAGAGTTTCCTCGCAAAAATATCATACATGTATACTATTTTCACTTAATAAATTATATATATTTTTTTATATGAAATACGCATTTTCCTTTTCATTTAATATAGGACAATTCCTCAGTTTCACCAGTGAAAATGTTTATTATGATTTCCATGGTTATTAATGTTCCTGTTGGAACCAGTATTCTTCTTATATATTTCAGATTCGGAAGATAATGGATTTGCATTTCAAATATTCTATATCATTCTTTTAAACTAACTTCACAAACATTGCTCTATCACTAGAGGTTACGCCTACATGCCTGTGCCTGTGCTTTCGTAATATTGCTTAACCGCAATATTACAACCTTAAATTCCCAAAACCGTTTATCCAATGTTACCAATGTCGACCTCGAATGAGATTTCATCAATGTTTGCATGCATACCTAGTTTCATCAAGATCAGTTTGAAACTGTAGTCTCTATCAAGCCTACAAGCCAAAATTTACACGTTTTCACTCAATCAAGTGCAATAACTCCGAAATCTTTCATCCGATTGTTATCAATTTTAATCTTGGCTGACATCTTATCAATATATACATGCATACAAAGTTTCATCAAGATCGGATAAAAACTGTAGACTATCGTGCCTACAAGCCAAATTTGACACGTTTTTACTTTGTAAAGGGCAATAACTCTGAAACCGTTTGTCCGATTTTTACCAATTTGGAACTCGACTGAGCTACCATCAATATATACATGCTTACCAAGTTTCATCAAGATTGGATAAAAACTGTAGTCTCCATTGTGCCTACAAGAAATGTGAATGGATGGACGAACGCGACGGCAATACACGTCCACATTTCAGGGTTAGCAGCTAACACTCCAAATATAATCTTTTCAGGCAACAACCCAAAAACAAATAGAAATACAGGTAAAATTCGTGGGACAATATCGGGCACACCAGCCTGCCCCCAAACCAACATGCCTTCGCTCCCCGTACGCCTATGCCCAGACCATCTAAGGTATTGCTCTCAACCATAGTTTCCATTATGCCAGGTGTATGTCAAGACAATAAACACAATATTTTTCATAATTTTATACATAAAATATATTACATAACATTCTGTTTTAAAACAGGAATCCATGGAGTTGGGCAAAATTTAAAAAACAACAACACAGGTATAAAAACTTGCATCCTAAACCAACTAGCACATTTCTTTATATCACATAATTATTTCTTCATAGTTCTATCACTCTGGTAATTTTCTGTATTTTGTTGGGGAATAACAGGGAATTTGACAAAATATACATATACTAGCTATAATATCTTAAAATTGTAAGACACAAGTAACATTGTTTCTTAATTTTACAAAATGTTTAATTTCGAGACACAAACAATTTGACTAGGTTAAGCACTGAGCAATTCAATTTAACCAAATTCTATTCTAGCAAAATTCAAAATTTAAAAAGTATTTAAGTTATATGATTGTTATAAAATTAACAAAATTAAAAACTTAATGAGTTCTTCATTAATTTGGTATTGAAATTTATTGGTGTGAATACATCATTAGTCTATATCTAAATATTATTATCCAAACCACCATTAAATTAGAATTTCATTATCATTTGATTAGTATGGTATATGAATATTGTTTTCTTATATATGGTTATATAAAATGGTTTGTAAATAACTTAAACAATAGTAAATTTATACATCTGTAAGGGTTCCAATTTAAAAATTATTAACAATTTTCATTTAAAACTCAATGGTTTCACCCTTTCCAAATATCAATCTTACCAATTGTTAAAAACTCAAACCCTTTACTTTGATTTTGTACATTCATTTACACAAGTCAAGGGAAATAACTTCAATTTCTCTCCACAAAACATTCACAAATAAAATCCACTATTATGCTACATATATTGAATTTCTATTTCAAAAAGCATAAGCAATCTATGAGAAATAGTTTGTTTCATTTATTGAAATCTTCAAAGTCACTGAAACAGCCTTTTCACACAAGCAATATCACATAGCTAGACTACACATTTCATCAAAGTAAATGAAACATTCCATTTCTCAAAATATCTGCTCAATTCTGTCATATTTTGACTAAACCCTGAATATTTAAAATGCATATAAGGTATCTAATATCATAAAGTTGTGTCTAATAAGTTAAAATTTATATATACAAGTTTTCATCATGTCAACATCTTATGGTTATGTTCAAATGTGACTAGTTTTTGTCACAATGGTACACAATGACCAATCAGAACAGATCAGCTTTCTCTCTTATTTGGAATTCTCTCTTGAACATGAAACACATTCCACTACAATTGTGGTTTAAGTCGAAAGAACAAACTCTATTGTTTATAAATTGTGAAAACTAGACGCATATAAATATATATATATATTAAAAATTCATCAATCGAAAGTACAAAAAAATTGATGAATTTTCCATTTGCCATTTAAATTCAAGAAACCTATACATTATTTTCCCTCAGATCTTTCTAAAATAGTTCAATGCTCAGAAATTGGATAAAGGTCAACACCATCCACGATGTAAGGAATAACATGTCAGAAATTTACTGAATTTTGAGTTGCATTATTTTGTTTAGTTTGTGGAGTAGTCGTCAGTACTATATCTTAAAAGATGAACCGATCATTTCAATAATCACGTTTTTGATATGACCTTCGTCCTTGACCCTGATCATCATAATTATTGTTCATTTTTGGTTGGTTATTTTTTGGCCTAGTAGGACGACGCATATTTCTTCTTTCCCGGTCAAACTCTAAATCTTCCAAACGTTGGGTCAGAACTAATTTTTGTTGAATTGCCATACGTAACAAAGAATTGAGGGTCTTTTTCTCTTCTTCTGCTGCTGTGAGTTGACGTTGCTGTTCATCCAACTGTGTGACATATTCATCACACCGTTGTGCAAACATTGCTCTCAAGGAAGCAAAAGTTGCTGCATCTTCTTTCAGAGCTTTAAGTTCATTTCTGAGTTTCATCATAGTTTCTGTTACGATGACCTTTTCATTTTCGTACTTTTGCTTCAAGTTGGCAAGTGCAACCTCAGCAGTGGATTTGTTAGCCTTTAGAACACTTCTTAATGTTGCAATCTGTTCTCTCTTTGTGGATAGCATGGCTTTTAATTTGACCACCTGTTCCTGAACTTCCTTAAGGTCATCATCACCATCACCATCAACATTTTGACGAGTGACATCCATCAAGTGATCCACAGCTTCACGGAGGTATTTCACTTGATCGTTTATTGTCTGTGAAAGAATATAACATGAACTATTGGGATCATCCTTCTTCATAATATTTTGAAGAGAAGTCAGTAAATCACTGGATTCCTTATCTGGGGAACGAGATGGTGATCCACGAGCCTTTTCACCGGCTTCGCCATTTGATATTGAAGTATCATTGTTTTTGTCACCACGAATGTCTCTTGACAGAGCAGCAGCTTTGGCATGGTCTAGAACAACACGGTTAGGAGTGGAACCACTCATTTCACAAATCAAATGATACACAAGTGAAAGATTGTCTGATGTATTCACCAACTCTTCTTGTGTGGCTCCTAAAGTATTTGCTTCATCACTTTGACTCTCTCTGCCATTTGTGTTTGAATTTTGAAGACACGAAAGTTGTGTTTTGAGGTCTGTGATTTCCTTCTCGAAAGTAGAGCAAACTGATTCATTTTCAAGAAGCTTTTTCTTCAGAATGAGCAGAGCTTTCTTTTCTGGATCCTCTTCCTGTTCAATTTCAAGAGATAATTTGTCGTTATTCACTTGTTTCTCTGCAGAAAGGTCCAAAGCAGCCATATTGCTGATTTCTTCACGAATCTTTTCAGATCTTTTGTTCAACTTAACCAACTCCTTTTGAGCATCTTCCAGTTTTCTTTGAGTCTCATGAAGAGCAGATTGATGTTTGGTACGCTCATGTTCACTTTGTTCAAGTAGCTTCTCCAATTTCTGAACTTCTGTGACTTGAATCTCACTAAGAATATCACCAACAGCTCCAGGACGTGGTTTTGATTTTGGACTGGAGAAATCAGCTTCAATCTGTTTCAAAGCAGGTTGAGATTCATCATCCTCAAAATCATTATTGCCAAGACTATCAGAAAATTTCAACCCATCTGACAAGCCACCAAGATGAGCCAGATTGCTGATATTGAACATGGACTCTTGAGCCATGCGCTGATCCAATTCTTTCTTCAGTGCATGTTTCTGATCCCGCTCAGCTTGAAGTGAGTTCAAAGCTTCCTCAAGATTTTTTTCAATGATTCGTTTCAGGTTTCCCAATTCACCAATTTGACTGTTTAGATCATCAGCTGTCTCTTGCATACGTTTATTTTCATGTTTCATAGCCTCAAACTCCACCTGGGCTTGCTTCAGTTGAGAAACTTGTTTCTGAAGGACAATATTTTCATCTTCCAACTCGGCATAATCAGATAGATTGCGATTTTCTCTTACTTTGTACTCCCGAATATCATGCTTTAATTGTTGCTTGGCTGTTTCCAAATTTTCAATCTGAAGCTGCATCTCGGAGATGGCAGTCCTATATCGATCATTTTCTAATCGCGTGTGACCAAAACTTTGATTAAGATTCTTCAGCTCAATTTCAAGATCTGATATGTTGGAACGAAGTCCTTCTTCCCTGGTGGCTGTTTCTTGCAAAAATTCTTCTTCATCGTGAATTCCACTTTCATGATGTTTCTTAAATGTGATGTGATGCTGATTTAAAGCCTGAAATAGAAAAATATTTATATGAATATTAATAACCCAAATATTGAAGCTTATAGTTGTACTAATAGGCTATTATTTCTCTTAGAGGGTAATAGTCAACATATTCAAAAGTCAAATGTTCACAAAATTCTTTACAATAAAAAATTTTCTAAGCATATAACAAATGCCCCAAATGAAATGAAATGGAGTTTATGTCTTATATTTTTGTGTGTAATGTGCAATGGAAAACTTTTGCGAGGACAGCAGCACTTCAAGCTATAGAAATAACTTAAAAAGACACTTTCTGTGGCACATGGGCCCAGTTTATTTCCAGGCAGCACATCTACATGCTTTTCTAAACAAATGTTTCAAGAGATACATCGAAGGTAATAGACCATACATTCCATTTTCACATCATATTAAATGAAAATAAAAGAGTGACCATCTGCATCAATATATCTAACAAACAACTTTGGCACCAATTCTCACCTTCTCAGCAGTGTCTAGTTGTATTTTCATTCTTTCAAACTGTGATTCTAATTCATCATAATGTTGTTCTACTTGTTGCTTTTCTTCTAAAACCTGAAATAGAGACATAATTGTTTTATTAAATCTTGTTAGAAGTGAACTTATAGATCAGATATAGAAATTTGAAACTTGCCAGAAGAAGAAAACATACAACATTACACAAGCTTTGTTATAGTTTTTGATATGATAAACAACACAAATCATGTTTAATCATTCATTGATAAATACAACATACAATTCAAAAACCCAAATTGCTCCTCAAAGATCTCATCAGATTCTTACCAACAAATTACTATTTTTGATTTGGATTTATAAGTCTTATAACTGTATATTTCTAACCCCAAACGACCCTAAACTGACTGTTATCTAACCCAATGTTTCTATCTCAATTTCTTTAACTGATGTTGTGTATAGAGTGTAAACCAGCACATAGGTGTGTGTAAGCATGGTAGGATGAGGGGATAAAAGCAAAAACATATCTCTATCAACAATCCTTTGAGCAATAAAATATTTTGACTAATAAGTTAGTAATTGAAATTTCTTTACGCATATACAGTTGAACTAGTCAACAGCTGTTTGTTGTGGAATGTATTAATTGGCCAACATACTTGATCTAAAACAAATATCCAATAATACATGAAGTTAGTCAAGTCAATCAATCACCTGGGTGTAAAGACATATCAAAACTAAAAAATTAATAGGTTATTTAGTGTTAGAGTGGAATAAGAGATAATACAGAGTAAAAACTATGCATGCCTAAGTAGTGTCTTTTAAATAACAAATAAATACTCTGGTACTTCACTATGTTCCTTAGCAATGCCTAAAAGATCTGATATCTGTTTTATCTTATGCTTTATGTCTTGATTTTTGCCTTTCTGCAATAATTATAGGGAAGCACTCAGAGCATCAAGACAGTAAAAGACGGTCATTATTTGATTTGTATGTTTCAGTCAAATATAACAATCATTATAAATTTTCAGCCAAAATTGTAAAAAATATGCATGTTACCTTTAAGTGAGAGGCAAGTGATTTAAATGCAAATTTAACTAATTGTTACCTAGTAAATTACTCATGAATCATAATAATGTAATTAATATTTCAGGTTGAAATTGCTACGCATACACTACAGTCTACTACTATACATATGGCCTACATTGAAAACATATTGTAAATCAACTAAAGCGTTAAAGGGATTGTAAAAATATGCTTTTTTACTAAGGTCTTTCCGATTAGTGACTTGGTTTCAGTGGAATTGCAGGAATCACAAATATCTGATTGAAAATTGGAATGGTGCAAATTTAGGCTATCAGTCTTACAAATACAAATAAAAAATTCACAAAACTTCTTTCCAATCACATAAACATGTTTTCAATATTCATATTATAGAACTCAATTGTTTATGTTATGATAGAAGCTTATCATTGACTGTTGTCCAAGACCATTCCCTTTAAATTCAGTCCAATGATGTTAATCTTTATCAAATATATAAAACATAATCATAGAAATGTTGTCAATTGTGTAATTCAACAAACAATGGCTGCATAATAAAGACAGCCAATCCCTTGCCATTATAAAAATCAGTGTAGGCCTACTGTCCAAATCAGGTGAATTGAAAATAGTTTTAACGCCCACACTTACTCTGCAATGGCATACATTGTATACATAACATACCATGTCATTATTCAATAGAGATAAAGAAATTTATCATCTTTATTCTTGATCAGTACAATGGCCATTTCTTTTATTATAATGGAGACAAAACAATAAAACATTCATTGTCAACCAAATAAAGAATATGTACAACAATGAAACATTTATGGACTACCAAATAAAGAGAATACATTATGCATCCCACAGTTGCATAATTTTCTCACATTTCATAGTTCAAGTTACATGTTTTAACTGACTATTCTGTTCATTGATCTTAATCTAACCCAGTCCTAGCTTTAATCATCAATGAAATAAGATTCAGAACAAGAAATACAAGTTTTAGAAATTAGAAAATCAAGATATAGGAAGACATATTTGGGTCTGTAGATACATGATGATAATTAAACAGGTTCTAACCCTGTCACTCCTTACTTTAATTTCTTTAAAAAGAAAATGTCAACCTACTTCAATGCCTGTCCAACATTTTTAAGACAACACATGTGCATACATTGATGTATAGAATATAACAGGTTTTTTTAAACAGTCAAAAAAAAAAAATATGAGTTCTATGAAATAGAAATATGAAATACTTTTGGTCACTAGATATTCCTGGTACAGATAAACACAACATATTGACTTTAAATAAATTCCTTTATACTGTAATACCCAGAAGATCAATTCTTATACCCTAACACTGATACTTCTTGATGATTCTTCTCTGGAATCAGAGGACAGCTGCTACATAGCAATTGACAATGTGTAAAACTGCATTATTGACATTTACACATATTCAAGTAAAGGAATGCAACCACAAAAATACTTTAAACAAATTATATTGCTATCTCTATAACACTGAATAAACTAAGCTTTTTTGATTGATGTAGAACACAAAGAACTATAATTCTACAAAATATATCTAATGAACCAGATAAAATAATTTATGATTCTTTAATGTTTGTTGTACAATAGACCATGAATTCAATAGACCTTTAAACCTGACTCATAGAATGACAATGTGAGGTATGCATACAATCAATGCAATTTACTGTCAATGAACTTGATCCCCAAAATGTGAATAATCCTAATGGAAATAAGATCTAGTGAACAACATGAACACCTAAAGAATAACAGTTAAAATCGTTAATATACTTTATAAGGTTTTCAGATGTAAATATACACTTTAAGATACAATGTTGCACGTTGTAATCTATATACCATACCTGTAATCCATATTCAGCAGCTTGGACTTTCACTTCAGTCATCTCTCTTAATTCTTCCTTCAAGCTTTCAATTTCCTGCCTCATGGCTTCGTTTTCAGCCATTAAATCGGCCATTCTGTCTTTTAATGTTCCAAAGCTTCTTTCAGGTAGTTTGTGATGAGTTCCACCCCGTTTTGCTCACATTTAGTTACAGTGGTTTGTCACGATTTGTCATCCATTTTCTAATATGGCTGAATCAAGCGAGAGTCGGCGAGTTCAATTGAGCGTGTTCGATACCAACACCCGAACATAACTCGTGTTGGGTTGGAATAGCTGATCGGTTTCAACTTCCTATATTTTCAATTTAACTGGCCAAAATTATGAAACTTGAGAAGGAAAAAACGTGATGGTCATGCGTTTATTCTAAAGATTCCACTCAGCAATCTAGTTAGAGCCTTCTTTTTTTAACCACGCTCCCTTAGAAATTTAAGGTTGCGGAAATGTTGGAGATTATGATTCCAGTCCGAGTGTGGATCTAGTATATTATACCTGACATTATTCCATTCTCTTATAGCTATTTTGAATGTTGTCGACTGGTCTACTTCTGCCAATAACTGTCAAAATATATATCAGAGACTGGATAAAACGCAGATATTTCGGACTAATCGAGTAATTAAATGATATATTATTTGTGTTTTTCTCTACTCTACTTCTGACAATTATTTATCCAAGCATATTATTGTCCTTTTTATGTATATGTATTTTGTTTTGTTTTTTTTATTCTTGTATTAGAAACAATTAAATAAATTGTGGTCCCACTCGTGTCATGTTCTAGCAGGACTACTATCGTCGAATGAGACAAGCCCAAGACAAGGGAGGTAATATTGATAACTCAAGAGTTGTCCTTTCTTGACATAAATTACTACTTTCGATTTATGTTCTCGTGATGAGCTCTGAAAGTCGAAGGGAATATTGATTTTTGGTGGATTGGAAGAGATCAGGCCGATTCTGGCCGTTCCAGAGAATGCAAAAGAAATAAATTATCATACTTAGACGAAATTTTGACAAAAGGTAATAATTTTTCTTTAATGATCATCAAATTTATAAAAATAAATCGCAGTTGTTTTCAGATCAAAACAAAAAACAAAATGGTCGAAAATGTCAAATCTATTAATATGTTTGTCTGACATCTGACTATGAATCATTATCATAATAGAGTTAGAACAGTTTCGTGTGCTTTAGGTTCTAGATCCAGATTTTGTCTCTGAAGGCTTGGATGATTATTTGGTTTTTTGTAGTTTTTTTTTTTGATTTTTTTGGGACAGGAGAGGGAAGAGAAAAACCCAATGCAACAATGGCAATTGACATCCAATGCAACTGGTTGTTGCATGATGCAGAACTTTCATCAATTCAGTCACATAGCATGACCAGTGTGCCCTGTAGGTAACTTGTGTTTGATGAAATTGATAATATGGTTAAATGATTTAAATGAATTAAGGGAATGGAACATGGATTCTAGGTTATTAGTATCATTTCTTGAAATAATAATCAGAAGAATTCATTTAAGACTTCTCACTCCCCTTTCAAAACATAAAAAGGTTGCTGATTATGACTTGTAGCATTGAGAACTGGAAACAAGCTTTAAAGGGACATTGCGGCTTTCCAGGGTTGATTTTGACCTTGAATATAATATATTAATAGTATTTAGAACTACTAAAACTGTATAATTCCTTCAAATAGACATCAAACAAGAAATTTAACTTTTTATTTATTTCCTTCACCCCTGAATATTTGGGTGACACCCAGACATCTTCCGTCGCAGCTTTGTGTAGACGAAGTTAGACAGGATGATTGAGTCTCCTCTATACACATGACGTCATCAACAAATATTCAAAATTAAAAGTCTATAAATGACGATTTGTTAAAATCACTTTCAAGCATAGATAATTATGGATACAATAGATTTGAAGGCGCAAATTTCGATGGTAAGCTGTGAACATTATTACAGATTTTATCAGAACAATTCACATTTATGAGACTCATGGAAATGCCACACCTGTCTTTTTAACCTTGACTGTTATTCTTGGATCTACTATTTATGTGCCCAAAATATACTTGTCAACAAAAAATTTATGATTGCTTAAACAGGTACAGACAAATATGCAAAGGAAACCAAGCTACTATTTGACTTAACATTTTTATGCAAATTGGATTTATATCTTGCATCTGGTTTTTCTGCAATATGACAGAATGTTATAATTGAATATTGACATTATAAAAAGGCAGTTATGGATGATGACATCATCATATATGATATCATCTAAATTTCTTCCCATATAATGCAAAAAGGGATCTTTGTTATGCAGTCTGTGACCTTTGTACCTAATATGTATTCATAAACTGGTTTACTACCAGTGCATAAAACTGTTTAGCTATTTTTATGAAAATAGAGCAAAACTTAAAGAGTCCTTATGCAATGTAAATAACACCCTTTTAGCAAGATAGCAATAATAATACAATAAATTTGACAAGTGATTGCTTATTAAAGTGTGTCTGTTTGTTCACAGTACTATTTGAACCTTGGTCCTATTATATAACTCAGATTACATATAGATTAGCCTTCATCAAGAAATCATAAATTATAATCAAAATTCTTAAGCTTTGAGCTAAGCTGCTTGTATGTATGTTAGTCTTTAACTCTGTAGAAGAAATTTTAGGGGAATTATATTATTTCATGAACTTGAATCAAATCAATTTAAATACATGTTTAGATTATTTTTTGTTAAGTAATTAGGCACATTGCCAAGTTTCAGCTGACCAATTTAAGTTGCTGGTATATCATTATCACCTGAAGTCCCGACAGCTGAAAGAATTTATGTGTTGAAAATGGCTGAAAATTGCACTTGTTGAGTCTACTTTGACAGTTATAGCAGTAATACATTAATGCAGAAACTATGACTCATTAAGAAAGAAATATATAGGTAGTCAATAGTCAATAAACTTGAATCATAAACCCACCGATTCTTATATTTCCTCTGCTCTCTGCTGATCTTTGTACAAAAATATTTCAAATTACCAGACTGAAGCTCTCTTTTTTTTTTCACTTACTTTTTTCATCATTTTACTTTTTGTGCCGCGTGCTGTTGTGATACAAATGGTGCTCTCAGTAAACGACATGTTTTATGATCTGATTGACAATTGTGAATATCAATAATAATCTTCTTATCTGAAACATGCACATTAACTCTTCATTACTTTGGTGTGAAGATAGATGCCTATTTCTCTATTATAATGTACAGATTTTGTTGACTGATAAAAAATGGAGTAAATAATGAGATTCCCAATGAATAACCATCACAAAATATCTATCGAAACCTCCTATGGGTTACAGTTCATTTGAGCTGCATGATGAACTTATGATCTCGAAATAACTAGCTCTGTGTGTAACTGCAATCAGTAGCTGTTACATTTAAAACTTATGAATACCATTTTGTCTTTATGATACGAGGGCACCTAAATAGGATTTATAGGTTTGCCAAAACTGAAGAAAATACTGAGTCTGCTCAAATAGGTTTTCATCATAGTCTGTTATTTGCAACTACCAAGCAGGTCAAATGCAACTTTACACGCAAATGATTGCAGACATTTGGAGATCATAAGCTCAGATCGCAACCCACAGTAACCAACACACAAATCACTAATGATATGGTGTGAGGACACCATTAAATAGTTCAAAGCTGTCCCAACTGTCCAATGAAACTGCACCAGATGGTTGCAGATTCCCACTATTTAAGCCTAGGAAAGAAAGTAAAACATGAGTTAATAATGACAACTGCAATGTTTCAGTCGTCTGCACTGCTGTTTGACAAACTCCAGTCATTTTAAAACATGTTGTTTCAAAACTCTGCCAGTAGCAGCATCAACCTATGTCCCCCTTCAGTTTTAGAATGACAAGCAAGCTGTGTGTAGTCAGGAAAATCATTATATCTGTTATAATTGTGTCAGTTTAAAATGTCAAAAATTGAAGTAGAAACAACAAGTTAAAAAATAAAAAGTGGACTTGAACGCATGTTTCAAGTTCTAAGTCCCTGAGGAACTAACTTCTAGTTTATATTATCTATTAAAGACAATTATTCAAGTTGGTTTAGCACAAACTGGAAAACGGATCAATAAGAATGTTCTATTGCAGGAAGATTCCAATACAGCCTGGCTTCTAGGCAGCAGAAATCAATAAATCTTCCCTTCCATTCACCCGCAGTTCATAATTTATTCAAAATTAAGGACTTGATGCATGGATAGACTACATATGGTATCTAGACAGAATATTTTCAACATTTTCACTCCAAATTTGGACTTAAACATGGAGTGAATTAGTAACTTATAGTCTTTTATTTATATTATTAGTAACTATGGAAACAAAAATGGATTAAAAGAAACAATAATTAAGAAATTAACACATACGGAACTGGAAATTTCCTCTTTAAAGGTAGGTATTACTCATAACTAATTATCTTGGGAGCCTGGCACCATATTTCTGCCTTAAGTAAGTCTATTTTTTAAATTTAACCATGTGCCTTAATTTGACAGACAGACTTTGTTGGTCATGGTGTCATTAATTATGACATGATGTCAATATCAGACTGACATGTCTTTCATTGTAAATGCAATGATGTCATGACGTCACTATTTATTGACGCAGAACAGAGATAATCTAATGATTTGCCAACAAAAATACTGACAAGGTTATTCAATAGAGAACAAGAATAACAAGATCTCGGAGAAGGAGGTGAAAATAGATTTTTGCGTGGGTGTTTGAGTATCAGATAATGATTTTAAATAAAAAAGAAATGAAGTTACGTGACCATTGAATCTCAGATCGGAGCTATACGTAATAACCTTTCCAAGATATTTTATGGCCAGAAGAGTAGATTGATTTTTTTTCTGGCCTTGACAATATGGATTTTGTTAGACAATGAGATGTCGCAATAAATTGGTGGGATCGTTTTGGATTTCAACAGCAATTTTAAGATATAGTATCCGACAGTTCTTAAGTAGGTGTTATTATCATTTTGTTTTGATAAGTCTAATGAAAAATTGAGAAAATGTTTATCAGTGAATGGGATAAATTTTAGAAAAAATAAATGAAAATTAGATTCAAAATGGTGGAAATCAAACAAATGTCTGTAAAATAATGTTTGCCTCTGTTGTGGATGAATTTGATTTTTGTAATAACACCAAAATTGAGTTTTGATACTGCAGTCAAGAACAAAATGAATATTATGGATTCAACTTATATTCTTTGGGATCATTACAACAAGCAGGTGTCCAGCCAATTATTTTGCATTGGAATATCGGTATCCATTAATAGCTGTGATGTCTATGCTGCAGTGGACTTATTCAAGGTCACAGAAGTCTTCCAGGCTGACCAAAATTTAAACATAATTCTACAATCTGCTCTCATTTTATAAATATTGAAATTCTTTTACACTCAGTTTGGATTTTTTAGGGTTAAGAAAGATTGAATGAAATAATTAATAAGATCTAATTAAAACAAGAATGTCTTAATTAGTGTTCTTAAATTGATCACTGTTGTTTTTATTATGTCTATATTTAGCTCTATCAATCAGGACTGTTCATTAACCATATGTTCAAATTCTAGAGTTCCACATAGACACAAAATCTACTGCAGATCTATTCTATATCAAAAGATTGAGAAAGTTTTTCATATGTAGGACCTCTTTTTGGATTAATCCTTAATATTGTAATTACTTATATTAGTGAATTGAGAATTGGATATTAATATTTTAATGCAGGTTTTCCAGCTTTTGATGCGTATCATAGCCATTAATTATGGCTTCTGTTTGCATAATTTCTATTTTCTGTCAGTTATCTGTGGTTCTTGTAATTATAGAAATACTTAATCATATATAAGGTAACAATGGCAATAGCTTCTATTAATATCTTGGGTCCTATCTGATAGATATATCATAAAATGTTATGTTTTTAAGAAATGCGCGACCATCATGTATGACTAATGATTGGGAGAGGAATTAGATCCTATCAGTCTTCAGGAACTCATAAAAAGTTAACAATTATTTTTATGATCCCATTTATATTTTATTTTGTATTAGGAATATTAAGCCCAGACAAGTTCTATTTTAATGACTTTTTATTGAAGGTTGGTTAAAAGTTTGAATATATATTTTCATTATGTTGTAGATTTGTTGTTATATAAAATGTTTGTCTAATCTAAATTTTTTAACTTATGGATTATCTCTGTTTTTTACAGACACCAAGAAACCACAATGTCATCTGTTAAAGTAGCTGTAAGGGTTCGTCCCTTTAACAATCGTGAAATTTCTCGTGATGCAGAATGCATCATTGAGATGTCAGGTGATGCAACAAGTAAGCATCATTTTATTTTAGAATTTTATTCTGTGGTAGAATATAGACATACGAAACTAAGTATGGTTCTTACTTGGAAATAACACACACAAACTTAGATCAGAGCCATTTTTGATATTACATTTAAAGCCACTTCTAAACATTGAAATATACTTGAAATATTAAAGCCTTTTCAAAATTTGATTTATCAAGTAGAGGAAGAGATTCGAAATGGTTGTGGACTACGTTGCTGTGTGTTATTTCCACTTAAGAAATATACATAGCTTCTTATCAGAACATAGATAGATTTTTACTTAGATAGTTTTCTAACTTCCAAGGTATAGAAAGTCACCTGTAATATCAATTAATTTTTAAGCTCTTTATGTCTGCATTCTAGGAGCTATTTAGTGTTTGACCCTTTGAACATGGTTTGATGTATGATAAACATCAAGAACAGAAAGCTATAAGAGCAGACTTTAATGATCTGTGGCATGACTTGGTAGTGTTGAATTGCAAGAAAATGCAAAGAGTATCCCAAAACTAGCTGTATGTAAAGCTGTAATGTTTCAAGGACACAAATGCCCCCTTTTTCAAAAATGACAACATTGACAAGGTGTATCCATGTAACTCTGATCCTTCTTTATTTCATTATTTTGAATGGTTTATTTGAATTTTCTCTTCTGGGTATCATTTGATTTTTTTTTATAGATATATACCACATAATTCTGTGGCTTTTAGCAGGGGTCTTCTCAGAGGTTTTAATTTGTTGATAATTTGTTCATATTATCTGACAAATATTTCATTTATATTACAGCGATAACCAACCCCAAAGATGGACCCAAAGAAAGAAAAACAAACACATTTTCTTACGATCATTCCTATTGGTCACATACTAGCGTAAGTATCATCTCTATTTAGCTTCATCTCCACTGTATATGTCTAGCTGTTAAATAATCTTTAGGGAAAATAAAGTAAAAAATGCCCTTTGAAACACAGATTCAATTTTACTTACAATATAAAACAAAAAGACATTGGCATATGTATGAGTTTTAATAAATGCATGACCTAGTCATCTGCAACTGTTTCAGTTAGTCATAACTGTTTCAGTTAGTCATAACTGTTTCAGTTAGTCATAACTGTTTCAGTTAGTCATAACTGTTTCAGTAGTTAGTACTGTTTCAGTTAGTCACAACTGTTTTAGTCAGTCATAACTGTTTCAGTTAGTCATCTACAACTAACACTTTTAGTCAGCTCCAACTGTTTCTGACATCTGTATCTGTTTCAGTCACCTACAACTGTTGTACGTTTAAGTATAAGTAAGAATAATAATTGAAATTTGATTTACTTACATTATGTCAGATGTCTGAAATTAACTTTTAGCCAGAAGATCCTAATTTTGCATCCCAAAAGAAAGTATATGAAGATATTGGTATTGATATGTTAGATCATGCATTTGAGGGGTACAATGTATGTATCTTTGCTTACGGACAAACAGGAAGTGGTAAGAGTTATACTATGATGGGTAGAAATGAACCCGGACAGGAAGGCATCATTCCTCAACTTTGCGAAGATTTGTTTCAAAGAATCGAAAAAGGTCGAGCTGAAGACATTAACTTCTCTGTAGAGGTAAATATTTTTTTTACCTTTGACTTTTTTATAAAACATACTTGATGGCATTTTGGCGATAGTGCTACATATATAAGATTTTTTCAGAATTTGCTCCTGTTTAGTTCTTATTTCAAATTCAGCTACCCTTGAAATGAATTTTATTTATGATACATAAAGTAATAGCAATATTGTATCCATTAAATGAATCCTCTTGACATACTTCTCTGATCTCCTCAAGGTTCAATTTAATATAAGTATAATTGATTCTAGGTGAGCTATATGGAGATATATTGTGAACGTGTTCGTGATTTATTAAACCCCAGTAATAAAAACAGTTTACGTGTCAGAGAACATCCACTACTTGGACCATATGTTGAAGATTTGTCTAAACTAGCTGTACAGAAATTTGAAGACATTAATAAACTTATAGATGAAGGAAACAAAGCTAGGTATGTATCTTCCACCATCTTATAGATACAATATGTTTGGTTGTGTAAATGTTGACTATTGCTAAAGAAAAAAAAATAAATGGAAAAGTACAATACCAATAATAAAGAGGCATGCTTACCGTTAGATCATTCTTACCTTAGTCACAGAAATGGCTAAGCTAATAAGTAATAATGCTCACAGCTCACCATCCAAATTTGTGTCTTCAAATCTATGTGTGTCCAGAATTGTAAAGCTACATTGACAACTTGTCTTTTCTTTAGAGTCTTCCATGAGCATGCAGTGGATAATCTGTATTTTATTATAACTTTTGCTGTCATTTTGTCTAAAGGTTAAATGTAAATTGATTTAGTTGAAAGGTTTCTCTAGAGCATGCACGCTCATTTTTCCTATTATAGACATTGTGAACAAGACATGTAATATTCAGGCGAAACCAATGAACATAGAAGCAAAAAGGAAAATTTCTAGTTTGAGAGATTATGTGATTTTAATCCAGTTCCATTTCTCCTGAAGACTTTATTTATATTTCAAGGTCCAATTCAACCTCCAACAATGTTGATTGTAGCTGTTAGATTTGAATCCTGTCAACAGGATGTATAATGATCTATTATCTATTTATATTATAGAACTGTAGCTGCTACCAATATGAATGAAACCAGTAGTAGATCTCATGCTGTATTTACTATTATATTCTCACAGAGACGACAAGATGAAAAAACTAACCTTATTGGAGAAAAAGTAGGTCTATTTTCACTAATTATTGTTACAATTTTTACAACATACCTGATTGCCCGCTTAGTAAGTTCTGCTCAATTGGGATTCAAGGAACTAACTACAAGTTCATTAAAGACAATTTGAAACAGGGTTCAAGATTTTCTCTACATGCACAGATAGCCGTAGGTGGAAAGAGAATAACTCCTACAATTGGAACACACAGAACCCGTTCAGAATTTACCAATCATGCACACTGTAAGAATGTTTATTTATTAATGTATATTGTAGGTAAGTAAGATCAGTCTGGTTGATCTTGCTGGTAGTGAAAGAGCTGATTCTACTGGAGCTCAAGGTAAAAGATTAAAAGAAGGAGCTAACATCAACAAATCTCTGACAACACTTGGAAAGGTCATCTCAGCTCTGTCAGAAATTGTAAGTTTTTTTTTAAGCTTAGTGATATATTTTAACTTGATGTCTATATGAACCAGGGCTGTTGATTTAGCTTTATTTTCTGGACGTGACCGAAAGGGTAACTGAAATGTCAGATCAACATTCTCTGTTGGACATCAAGTATAGGTAAACCATTACATGTCATTCAATGTCTGTCCAATGCAAAATTTGATGATAAATAACTAATGGGATACAAAGTAATCTTGAACAAAGTAAGAAGTTGAAAATGACAAAGATGATGTTCTTTTGGGAAGAATACTGTATACTATCTAGAACTAATGATGTTGTTCTCATTCTAGCCATTTCGATTTCACTCCTTATTGAAGCAGGCGTAGGGGCTTGTACTTGTGCTATTGATATTTTATATGTGTTTGGATTTTCATTCCAGGCCAATAAAAAGAGGAAGAAAGCAGACTTTGTACCCTACAGAGATTCAGTATTAACATGGCTACTCAGAGAAAATCTTGGTATAATTTCAGTTTTAAATCTTTATAGAATCACTTATCATTTAATTATCGCACTCTTGCTATCTGACATCTGCCAAAAATACACTAGACCAGGCAATGCAGACTTCACTCTCAATTCCCACGGTGTCAAACTGATGTTTGAAAACTTGAAACATTCGTTGAACTCACTGATCATTTAGTCAAGTCACATAGTTTCGGTATATACCATGTCAGTTATTTTTGTTAAATTGACAAAAGACAGAATCACCATTGTTCCTCAAGTGATCTATACTGTTCTATTAATAGGTGGTAACTCTAAAACAGCAATGATAGCAGCTCTTAGTCCTGCTGATTTAAATTATGATGAGACTCTCACAACCTTAAGGTATGTCTTTCTCATCATAAATCATCAACTCATATATAAATTTTTAAAATGATGGATCCTTTCAGTAATGGACACATTATGTGGACATTTAAGCAATCTTCCTTTTTCTTTGTTTTTTGACTGGATCACACTTACTTGTAACAACTCAAATACATCATATAATTGTAAATATAACGCGCACCCTTTCCTATCTTAGAGTAAATCTGGAAGTTGAGTAGTTTTTTAGTCAAGTCTCATGAGTGTATTGATTTTAAACAGATATGCTGATAGAGCAAAACAAATTGTATGTAAAGCCGTGGTTAATGAAGATCCTAATGCCAGACTGATCAGAGAATTGAAGGAAGAAGTCAACAGACTTAAAGATTTACTGGCCAATGAAGGCATTGAAATAAAAGAAGGTACATGAATATTTGGAGATTTTATAATTATAATTCAAATAATATAAAATAAAAGGAAACTGTGAGATGAAACTTTAATATGTGCAATTCTGGGTTTTTATATTTTAAACAAAAACTATTCAATGATTATTTAATGACCAGAATAGTAAAGCCTATAGTAAATAGACAAGATGTTTATGTATAGCAAACAGGAAACAGATATAAAGGTTGAGCTAATGTTTTTAGTCACCAATAAAGAGTGTGGTTTATGTTTTTATTTTCAAAATGATTAAAACTCTGATTGTTGTATTTAGGTCTACCTCAGCCAATCAGTGGTGGTCGTACTCGGAAAGATTCATTGAGTTTTGAATCGGGAGAAGAGGCTATAGAAAGAATACAGCTCTCAGAGAAATTAATCGCTGAATTAAATGAATCATGGGAAGAGAAATTAAGAAAGACAGAAAACATACGAAAAGAAAGGTCAGTGGGAGTTTAAAGTAATTCTACCATTACTATTACTTTTACTATTAATCTTTATAAATTGCTTCTTAATATTCATTTACTGGTTGCTGATCAATTGTTCAATTTTATAATCATTTGTCTCTATATCAACATGCAAATGTTTTGCCTTTACAAAAAAATGTGTTAGTTTTATTTACATTTTGGTTGAATATAAATTTACTGATGTGTTATTAACAAATAGAGAAGCTGTTTTGGCAGAAATGGGTGTGGCTTTAAAACAAGATGGTGGCACAATTGGTGTATTTTCTCCTAAAAAGGTAACATTTTTTACTTCATTGTATTTTTGTCGTTAGGGTTTTCAGTTTTTTTTTTATATAAGAGAATATGCTTTAAACTTTTCTTCTTACATTTTTGTGGATTAATTTTTCAATATATCCACAATATATTGTTTATTCATATGATATACTTAGTTTCCCAATCTATATTTGTGTCTATATTTATGTCTATATTTGTGTCTATATTTTTACAGACACCCCATCTTGTCAATTTAAATGAAGACCCACTGATGTCTGAATGTTTATTGTATTATATTAAAGATGGTACTACAAAGTGAGTATAAACACTTCAGTTACTATGTATTATATATATTCTAATAGTTGGCAGTGATTCCTTTCATTTATTCTTTCATATAATCAGTGAACTGACATAACTAGCTAAATATCAGTCTAGAATATTGATATATCTGATGGTATTTCAGGGTTGGATTAGGAGGTCCGAATATCAGTCAAGACATAACATTGAGTGGTGCCAATATTCTACAGAATCATTGTACATTTGATAATAATGATGGTAAGTAATGCCTTGAAGTCATTTTAGAGTCTCTAGTTATAGTGCTTACTGTTTTAATGATCTCCTTTCTCCTTCTAATATCATATTCTATTCCTATAATGTAAATAGCTAATAAAACAAAATCTGAATCATCAGACAACTTGATTGTTTCAATTTCTGATTTTACTGAAGTTTGACAAGTAGTATATAATCTTAAAAGTTTGACAACATTTCAAAGTTTTTTTGTGTTAATTTTAGTTAATCTAAGAAAGAATTTTGGTTAAGATATGAACAATTTTATTTTTTCTGCTAGGTGTTGTAACACTAAATCCTATGGAAGGTGCTCTGTGTTATGTAAATGGTCGTCAAATAACAGAACCAACAGAAATTAAAACAGGAGCTAGAGTTATTCTAGGAAAACATCATGTCTTTAGATTTAATCATCCACAACAAGGTATGTTCTTTTCATTGTCATTATGTTACATCAGCAGAACAACCTAAGGTCTGTCAACCAGCTGGTCCTTGGCCACACCAGGAGTCAAATTTGTTAGCTACTTCCTTTCTTCATAGTCTTCTGTAAATCTTTCAGATGCTCTTGGTATAAAATATATTTTGCAAATTTTCTTTGATTGAAATATTGATTGTTTTTATTTCAGCCCGAGCCAGTAGAGCTCTACTTATGGAATCAACAGATAGTCTTATCAGTAAGTAAACTATAGATATTTAGAATTAGGGAGAGAATACCAGATAACTTTTATTTTTAATTTTTCAAGACAATTGGCAGTTAGGAGGCAACATGTCTGATGGAATATTGACTTAAGACATAAGTTGTCAATGTTTGCTCTGATCATGTCTGATCATGTGCAGTGCACAGTGACTTCAAAACAAGTCATATTGTTGGTAGCATGGTAGCAGACGACACACACTGACCAGACACAAGCTAGCCACCACATAAGATAACAATGGATTCTTGAACTCTGATTATTCTCATATTAACACTTACAGCAGTGTAGATATACCTTTTAAACTTCATATTTCCATTTTCAAGTAGATAATTTATGTTTTTGGTATTTTAGGTGAACCAGTGGATTGGACATTCGCTCAACTTGAACTTCTGGAAAAACAGGGAATTGACCTGCGTAAAGAAATGAATCAAAGATTATTAAACTTAGAAGAACAATATAGAAAGGAGAAAATTGAGGCTGATATACTATTTGAAGAACAAAGAAAGGTAACTGTTATTTCAAGTACTAGAAAGTCAGATTGAAGCAATTTCTTGGCTTTGTGCAGCTTTACCTAGTTTATCCACACAGTAAAAATTGTTAATAAATTATTTGATTATATGTAAAACTTTATTGAAATTATCAATCAAAGGTGAAGATTTTGAAATTCATGCTTATATTTGTATGGATATTTTTATATGGATATTTTTATATGGATATTTTTTAGGATTATGAAATACGTATCCAGTCTCTACAAGAACAAGTTGAACGTCACTCTATGATGTCAAGTTATGCTACTATTAATGATATTGATCTAGAGGAAGAAATTGAAGGTTAGAATTTATTCTTTTCTGCAATTTTTTTTATGTTGACTTGGTTGTAAGAAGAACACAACTGACTTAATTTTATCAGGGTTAACTGCAACATTCAAACTGAGTCGTTTGGAATAATGCAGAAAGGCCACCAGACAGTTACAAGCTCACCAATAATGCAACCCAGACCACAATGTGTTTAATGTAAGAAAGCAAATGATGTCATGTAAAGTTTCCAACTCTGCTAGAATACAAAGTAAACATTACTTATATTACATTTAGCTGTGGCTCAGACAGACTAAACATTGTTGCACTCTGTATATTTGTATGTTGAATGTTACCAGTAACAGGTTGTATATTTACAGAAGAGTGTACGTGGACAGATAGACAGAGAGATCTAGTTTACTGGGCATCACGTAAATGGAAGTATCATCAATTTACTTCTCTCAGGGTAATTCTAGAATTAAACATATCATCTCATAATGCCTTCAGACAGCTTAGGCATACCATATATGGCGCCCATTAAAGATGCTGTCCTGGCCTTGGCCTTTACATAGCGAAAGAATTATCTGTGGCCCCCCTTGAAAATTTGGTGGTCCATGCTCGGCCCCCTCACCAGATGTTTTCTAGAAATTTTACTGTGTAGTTCAGACATGATTGCTTCAGACACTTCTAGATAACATAGTCAATTAGTCATACCATTGCCATTTATAAAGTTCAAGTGTATGCTATTCTAGATTCTTCAAAAATAAACAAGTCAAATGAATCTAATCCTTGATCTAACAGAATTGTTTTTTCCGTTAATACCAGAAGCGTCTTTCCTTATGCTACCCACATCATCTCTCAAACATTTCCAGAATTTCAAAATACACTGTGTTCTTTTTTAGGATGATTTGTGGGGTAATGCTATATTCCTTAAAGAAGCCAATGCTATCAGTGTGGAACTGAATAAAAAGGTATAAGATTTTTTGTTATTGATTTATTTTTAATTATCTTAAAAAAACTTGTTTACAATCAGAAGCATTGGGATTAAAAATATGAAAACAACACCTGAATCAAATTGTAAACTAAAGTATTCTGAAGGACAAGTTTTAAGAGAATAACTCAATAGCTGATGAATTACCAAAGAATATTTTGCCTATGCTATCTATTAACTCAAATGCTCACTTTGTTTTTCCAGGTTCAGTTCCAGTTTGTATTATTGACTAGTACTTTATATTCTCCACTACCACCAGATCTTCTGCCAGTGGAGGACCAGGATGAGGACAGACCATTCCCTAGAACTGTGGTAGCAGTAGAAGTTCAGGATACTAAGAATGGAGCCATACATTATTGGAGTTTAGAGAAATTGAGGTATGTAATATTAAATGAGAAAGTTTTATATGTTGTATAGAGCAGAACTATGTTTGTCAATGGCTTTTATAAACATGAGGTACTTAAACCTATTAAAGGGATTCTAAAGAGACTTTCTAAAGTTTGTATGTATATTGGAGACACTGATAGAATCAATTTGCAACATCCCAATTTTCAATCAGACATCTGTGCTTCCTGCAATTCCACTTAAACTAAGTGTTTGATGGTGTCACTAATCTTGAAGGACATTATGTGATACAGCATATTTTTACAATTAGTGACATCGTAATTTGGATTGGTTGGAATTGATGCTTACAGTGTCGCTGCTACACACATTTTGAAAACCCCTTCACAATCCCTTTAAGTCTAACCGTGTGTCATACAGTCTTTTAACTTAAGTACAACAGCTATATGTATGTGTTAGCCAAACTTGGTTAGATGATCAGAGCCAGCTAATTTTTATTTGATCTTTTCTCTGCTATGAAACAGAACTGAAAATATCATTGACAAGGATGTCCCCCACACAGAAAAATAGAGAAAAGGAGACCATTGAGAATATTGTACATGATTCAGATGTTTACAGATATTAATGTGCTTTCCAGATTTCAGTTGCTTTAGTAATTTTGTGTTTTTCTCCATGTTTTATATCATAGCATAATATTCTTCATATTGGTATACTTTTCATACATTTAGTTTTTTTATTTTTCATTTTGTCTTTTCATTTTATGTTGCTGCATTTTCAATTCATTATCAATATATTAAGTCAAGTTGTGTATAACAGTTTTTAGATATCACCCTAACTTTACAATGGACCCTTCCATCATGCATTTTGATGTTATATAAAACAAAAAATTATGAATGTGTGGAAGAGATCAAAATGTTCAAGGGATGTCAGGTTAACTATATTTTATCTTGACAATAAAATAGTATAATGCAAAAAAAATGTTCTGTTGACAAAATTATCCTTCATTTCATTTCATCATAAATCTCATTTTTGCTTCATTCCGTTTTGTTTTCATGCATTTAATTTTGTTTTGGTTGCTTCATTCTATTTCTAATACTGCAGTTTTTTGTAAATTGTCCTTGAATGTTAAAGCCTCTTTATGGAAATTGATGATGCACTTTTCTTTTCGTTTATTTTATGGAAATATCCCTTTGATTTTTGATATGACTAACATAGTTTCATGTCTGGAAACCTAATTTCAGTAAAATTTTGAAATAGATAACAACACAACTTTGAAATTTGAAGAATTATTGCACCATATTAATAATTAAATTGTGTTAGAAATGTTAAAAAATGAATTAAAAAATTGCATTTTTAGACACCGATTAGATAGAATGAGAGAAATTATAACTGATGATGCTTCACCTGTTACTCCGGAAGCTAAACAAGATTTCTTATCATGCATCACTGGCTGTAGTCAACAAAACGTCTTTAATTTTAAAAATCTCATGCAACCCAGGTGTGTGTCCATTATTTCAATAATCTAATAATATAGGGATGTGACATAGAAAAATAAAATTCTAAATTCTTTCAAATTGATGTCAAATTTGAAATTTACTATCTTGAGGTTTTTGCTTCTTATTTTTGACTATCTAATATATCTCCTAATATTTTATTTCATAGATATTTATGTTAAAGAAAATAAAATTGTTCATTATGTCATATCCCTTAATTATTCTAATCAAGAGGCTATAACATTCAGGGTTCATTTAAGGTTCTCATTAACATATTCATCATTATGCTAATTCATTTTTAAATTCACCTCATTTGAATAATATATGCAAATTAGATATCAATTCAGTTCCACTTTTGCATTCATCTTTTCATCTTTGTCTGTTGTAGCCTCTTTAGATTATTCAATGAATATTATGTAGCACTACTATGTAGAAGTACTGTAAATGATACAACTAGGAATAAATGAGCTATTTGACTGGTGCTTTAAGTTGCCCTCATACCATAGCGAACACCAATTAAGAATAGCAGCCATAAGTTTTGAATGCAACTGAGTGGAACTCATGGACATTTTCATTAATTGCAACCATACACAATTGGTAATCGCTATTGTGTGAGAGCACTTTAAGACACTGGACATTTGAGCAATACAGAATATAGATTGACATCTAATTACCTTGCTACCCTTTCCTGCTGTCATAACATTTTATTCCTAATACTAATATAAATTAGCTATTTGCCTTTACTAGGTGCTACAGGTTACTGGTCATTCAGCAATATAACACCCAGCCTTTCTACCCTAAGTTACTCTCATAATATTTGATCTGAAATCATCCCTTTCTAATCATGTTGTTATAGAGTGATACTTGTAAGTCTGAAGGCTCTATCAATGTATTATGTTATATTATAGAAAACGTTTAGAAATGATGAGAGAGATGTATCCTAATGAAGCTGAGATGTCACCTGCCTCAGCTCCACAGATTGAAAGTATTTCTGGTGGTGATCCTTTCTACGATAGATTCCCATGGTTTAGATTGGTCGGCAGGTAAGTCTTCTGATTTTGTGCTAAGTATAAATCTACTCTTCTAGCAAAAATTACAGTTAAAAGCTATTATGCTTCATTGCTGTTTGTGTTCAGATCATATTTATTATATTATTTGGGTAAATTCCCAAATGAAATATTGCTAAAATTCATTGCTAAAAGATCATACAATATTTAAACAAAAATGGATGCTTCTTGTTCACTTAACCATAGCTGTTTAATTCTAAAAAAGATCCCTTAAATGATTAAGTAATATTTTTGTTTCAGATCATTTGTATATTTAAGTAATTTATTCTACTCTGTACCATTGATACATCGTGTTAATATTGTCAGTGATAAGGGAGAGGTTAAAGGTTGTTTACGGGTGGCAGTTCAAGCTATCACAGGTATTGACTATTGACATATATAACATTCAAGAAAAGTCAAACTATGGAAGAATTTTGATGACACTAATCAAGACCTTAGCAAAAAACAACATATAAGATACTGCATGCAGGCAAACTGGTTACCTCAGGTGACTCTATGTGCCATCCATAATCTGACAAAATTGTTATGCATCTACTGATATTTAGTATTCAACTGCATGTAATAGGAAATTGTTTATCATCTGTTTTGAATTGGTTAACACACTACTTTTGATGTTATTGAGTCCAAAAATTCAGAGAAACTTGTGATGTAAGGAAAATCTCTTCAGATAATGGATGGCAAGTGTAATTAACCTGCACAGAGGACGTGAAGAAATATAGATCTACATGAAATTGGTACAAAGTGTATTAACACCTATTTTACTCGAAATTTTGAATACAACATTAGGTTCCCATTCATTCCTACAATTTGACTGTATCTTATTTCTAGATAATATGAATGAGAAGGAAGAGTTGGGTGATCATCCAGCTGGAGTTAAACAATCTAGTAATGTTAATATTACTTTCTCTGATAAACAGTATTTTAATAAGGTAGTGTATATTCCAGATCCCCTTAGACTACCTCACTGTAGACAGAAAATAAAATAATATGAAATATGTCTTACTTTGGCAGAATGAAATAGACGGTAACAACCACAACCATTTTTATAAGTACTGGTATGACATAAATCATTCATTTTTCAATTTTCCGCAATGAGAAATGATCTTTTGCAGGCTTTATCACACACCACCTTGATCATTATTGCTTCATTCTAACAATTATTGATAGGCATTACTCAATCAATTTGATGTTTTTCAAAATGTGTTATGGAGGCCATTGAAAACTGACTAATTTTTCGTAACTTTTTATTCAATTTCCAACAAACTATGTATTTGTATTGAAATAGTTTGTTTATTAAACTATGTTTTATACTATTTAGAAACAGAACAATACAATAATACCACCAACTACCATACCAGACAATAAAATAGTAGCTGATGAAAGATTTGTTGAAGGTGAAACAGATTCTAATGAAACAAATTCAGGTCAGCATTTTTTTATATCAGACAAAATGACCATTGACTATATATTTAAATAAGACAATTATTATGGATAGATTTTGCTAGAAATTTTATAACTTGTAAGTGTGGTTTTCACACCATCATCAGGAATATAATGAATATAAAAAATATAGAAACATAAAAATATATAGATGGTTGTATGATATGCTAATGAAGAGTTAAGGATTTTATTATTTATTTTTACTATTGAGTCCAACTAAGACAATAGTTATCAGTTAAAAAACTATCCTGATATAATCAATGTGCTAATAAGTAAAAATATAGAAAATAAATTATGAGTTTTTTGTTATCCTTCTGACTTTATAATTCATTCTATTCCACTATTCATTCCTTATTCTTTCATTATATTGAATTATCAATTATAGAAGAACGTGCTCACCAAGACAGTAATAAATTATCACATGACTTCTATCCTGAGATTAATGAGAAGACCATTCCAGAACATTTACAACTTGGTAGTCAGTTTACATTCCGAGTTACAGTTCTACAGGCTACTGGTATTTCTACTGAATATGCTGATATCTTCTGCCAATTTAAGTGAGTGAAAGTGATTTTAGATATTTCAGTAGTGTCTGTTATGAGTAACCTTCAGATCTGCACTTATCTGGCCCACACCTCAATTCCTCTTCTATACTATCAAAACAATTTAATGGATAAGTGTCAATCACACTTAAAACTGAACTTTTTCATCCAATCAGCAGTGGTCAAATTTTCTATTAAGTTCCTCACTTAATAGTTAAGAATTTCACAATCATGTGACTTTTTGACTGACAGAGAGGACAACAAATTTTAAAGGAAAGGAGTATACTCACTCAATGACTATCCTTTTATTTATTGATACTCACATCTATTCTATCATTACAGCTTTCTCCACAGACATGATGAAGCTTTCTCTACTGAACCATTACGTAATACTGGTAAAGGTCCTTCTCTAGGTTTCTACCATGTACAAAATGTAAGTGTATATATTTCTTAAGGGCAGTCTTGGAATATTTCATTGAGGCATCATTCATGAAGAAATATTGTATATGTCATCAACAAATCAATGAATGTTTTTCAAAATGCATTTAATTCTTGTCAAAGATTTCCTTGTGGTATTTTATACTGTTTATATTTAATATTTCAGTTCACAACCACCGTAACCAAGTCATTTATAGACTATATACAAAGTCAACCATTAGTATTTGAAGTATTTGGTCATTACCAACAACATCCACTACATGATCAAGCTAAAGAATCTATGCTGTATGTATTTTTCTAGTTTCCATTATACACATATCCTCTTAGCCCACTTCGTTTTTACTTCAATCATTTCCTAACCTTTGTGATACAACATCATTTTGATTTTGGAAAACAACTTTGAAAATAATTTTGTAAGAAATAAATGAGAATATAAGAATAATAGTAACCAATAACAAAATATTTTCCCTTTTTAAAATAATACATTAATTTTAGAGTGATATAGAATTGATAAGACGGAACCTGAAACATATTAGTTTCGCGCTGTGCAATCTTCAGACCGTCTAATTACATAGACAAAATGCTTTTGAGTGTATATTTTACAGCTTCAATTTCAGAATTAGACCACCGATTTCTCTAAGTTTACCATCAGTTTTACCAGTTTCCCAACCTGTTCCCTCACCTAAATATGGTATTATATCTACACCAAGGTACCTTGCTATTATACTTACTATTATAGGCCTACCTATTTTAACACTTTCAAATTATTGACAATTTTGTGATTGAATTATTGAATACTGTTTGACAATTATCGTTGGCTAGTGTAAATTTTGCATATTTTTTATGAATAATTTTGTGGTCAGTGATCAGTTTGGCTTGATAATTTTTTATTTGAATCTCTACTGCTTTGTTCATTGTTTTGTTTCATTGTGTATTGATACCATTATAATTATATCTTATTATCTTATAATTGTTTTTCAGTTGTTCCCCAATCCATGCTAGATATGATGTTTTGGTCTGGTTTGAAATCTGTGAATTGGCTCCTAGTGGAGAGTAAGTTATACTTTTTGAAGTTTTTGATTTTAACAAGAATTATGATATGCTGTAATATTGAGTTGAAATATGTACAGAATTTGGTGTTCAAAAATGATACTTTTATTTTTCTGACCCAGGACATTGTAAAATCAACAGGTTTTCTTGTGATTTGTGCATAAGTCAATTTTCATATGAAACATTTCTACTACAAGTTATGTATGATATGACAGGAAGACTCGGTGTTGTCATTCATGTACATTATATTTTAGATATGTACCAGTAGCAGTAGATCACAGTGAAGAATTACCATGTAGAGGCACATTTATCTTACACCAGGGTATCCAGAGGCGTATTCGTATTACTATAGTACATGAAAATAACCTTGATATACAGTGGACAGATGTACAAGAACTAGTCACTGGTCAGTTATATTACATTACATTGTCATTAGAATAATATAGTTATCTAAATATTTGCCTTACCAGCTGATAGAGGTCGTAGAGAATGTAAATATCAATCTGAAAATGACAATAGTCTAAGCTACTGTGTTTCTGTTGAATGGATTTAAGTTTTGGAAAGTGGTATAGATAAGTAATATGCAGCTATTGTAGATGAATATTTCCCTCTCACTGTAAAAACAAGCTATCTTGATCTTGATTGTTACTTTAAAACTTTGTTTAAATTTTCAGGTCGTATCAGAACAACTCAAGATTTCCGAGATTATGACAGTGATAATAGTGTTTTATCACTCAGTTTATTCCCAGCTCGCTTCTTACACTATTCTAATGATAAACGGTAAGTAATACTTATTATTACACTATTCTAATGATAAACAGTAAGTAGTACTGATTATTACACTATTCTAATGATAAACAGTAAGTAATACTTATTATTACACTATTCTAATGATAAACAGTAAGTAGTTCTGATTATTACACTATTCTAATGATAAACAGAAGTAATACTTATTATTATACTATTCTAATGATAAACAGTAAGTAGTACTGATTATTACACTATTCTAATGATAAACAGAAGTAATACTTATTATTATACTATTCTAATGATAAACAGTAAGTAGTACTGATTATTACACTATTCTAATGATAAACAATAAGTTGTACTGATTATTACACTATTCTAATGATAAACATTAAGTAGTACTGATTATTACACTATTCTAATGATAAACAATAAGTTGTACTGATTATTACACTATTCTAATGATAAACATTAAGTAGTACTGATTATTACACTATTCTAATGATAAACAATAAGTTGTACTGATTATTACACTATTCTAATGATAAACATTAAGTAGTACTGATTATTACACTATTCTAATGATAAACAGTAAGTAGTTCTGATTATTACACTATTCTAATGATAAACAATAAGTAGTACTGATTATTACACTATTCTAATGATAAACAATAAGTAGTACTGATTATTACACTATTCTAATGATAAACAGAAGTAATACTTATTATTATACTATTCTAATGATAAACAGTAAGTTGTACTGATTATTACACTATTCTAATGATAAACAATAAGTAGTACTGATTATTACACTATTCTAATGATAAACAATAAGTAGTACTGATTATTACACTATTCTAATGATAAACAATAAGTAGTACTGATTATTACACTATTCTAATGATAAACAGTAAGTTGTACTGATTATTACACTATTCTAATGATAAACAGTAAGTAGTACTGATTATTACACTATTCTAATGATAAACAGTAAGTAGTACTGATTATTACACTATTCTAATGATAAACAGAAGTAATTCTTATTATTATACTATTCTAATGATAAACAGTAAGTAGTTCTGATTATTACACTATTCTAATGATAAACAGTAAGTAGTACTGATTATTACACTATTATAATGATAAACAGTAAGTAGTACTGATTATTACACTATTCTAATGATAAACATTAAGTAGTACTGATTATTACACTATTCTAATGATAAACAGTAAGTAGTACTGATTATTACACTATTCTAATGATAAACAGTAAGTAATACTGATTATTACACTATTCTAATGATAAACAGTAAGTAGTGCTGATTATTACACTATTCTAATGATAAACAGTAAGTAGTACTGATTATTACACTATTCTAATGATAAACAGTAAGTAGTACTGATTATTACACTATTCTAATGATAAACTATATGTAGTTCTGTTTATTCTAATGATAAACATGGATTTGTAAAGTCCTTCCAATTTTTTTCTAATGTCAATTTTGTTTCTGATTTCAGAGTATTTTTCCAGTTTGAAGCAGCGTGGGACAGTTCATTACACAATTCACCATTGTTGAATAGGGTCACTCATAATGGAGAACAGGTTTATTTGACACTCTCAGCTTATTTAGGGGTAAGTATTTTGTTAAAGTACAAGTGATAAGTGATAACATCCTGCTTAGGAAGACAGATACAAACATAATATGTATAGTTTACAATAGAAATTCCCAAGAAAATAATTTTATATACAATAAACTGTAAAGAATAATCTGTTAATCATTTGAGTCTCTGAAGGAAGCTTTCTTTGAATGGATTATATTTTATATTTATTGACTCTAATTTTGAAATCTATGTCAATCTACAGGTAGAGAATGGTGACCAACCAGCCTGTATAACTAAAGATCTCTGTATGGTCATTCAATCTAGAGATACCAGAATTTCAGCTCCTAGGTATGATTATATTTTGTTTATATTGTCTATGTCCATAAGAAATATCAGAACATGAGCCAATCCATGTTCCAATTCAGCTTGATTATTTTCCTATAAATTCATATAAATTTAATGTCACCACGAAGGTTTAGCATCACAATAGCATATTGGAAGGATCTTTCAAATATTTGGGCAAATCTTTATGGTGTAATTTCTCTATATGAACAGATTTGGGAAACTTTGACAAAAAATTAATTCTTTCTTTTGTAGAGCATTGAAGAGTTTCTTTGGTGTCCTGAACAACCATGATTCCCATAAAATATCTGGTATTTATGAATTGTTACTGAGAAAATGTTCAGAATCAGGCAGTCCAGGTAAGACAGCAGATATCCCCAAACTTTTTGTGTGAACATAATTGTAAAATTTAGGACTGATGAGCTTCATCGACAATCTGCATTTGACACATAAGAGCTTGTAATTCCTTGTCCTGTAAGAACCTGAAATTGAACAATTGTATAATGAGAATTTTAGAATTTTAATTTTTTACAAACCTAGTTCTTTTGTGACTGACTGTTCTTATTTCATTTGAAGTAAATTTTGTCTTAGCTTGCTTTTACTTAAATACTTCAAAATATTTACTGTTTTTATCACATTAATAAAAAGTTTTTAATTAAGATTAATTATTTGAATGACAGGTGTACAAAGAAGACAAAGACGTGTATTGGATACGTCTGCTACCTATGTACGTGGAGAAGAAAATCTGAATGGTTGGAGACCACGAGGTGATTCTCTACTTCTTGATCATCAATGGGAGTTGGAGAAACTTACTCGATTAGAAATGGTATGTTTGATAGACGTTCTTATCTTAAACTAAAATTGATTTAGTTACTGATAAGGAAAGGGAATATTTACCTTTGAAAATATTATCTAATAGAACCCTTGTTACACAGTAAAAATCCTTAATAATATTGACTCTCTAATAATAAGATTGAGCATCTTCAGTCTGTATTCTGTGTCAGTTAGTGATGTTAACAACTAATTAGCAATAGGATCATCAATGATCAGTCAAAATTTAAACAATTGCTTCAAAAGTTCTTATTAGCTGACCAACATTAATGTTTCCCAATCTACATTTTTTCAAAGAAATAAAATATCTTTACATTCTATTCAACAGGTTGAGAAGACACGTCATATGATATTACTGAGAGAAAAACTTGTTGAACAAAATAAACTGGATGAATTAAAACGACTCAACCAAGAAATTGAAAAATTACAAATTTCTGGTAAAAAACCTGATACTCAAACAGATGAAAAAGTTGATGAAAATCCTAAAGATATTGATATCAAGGTAATATTATAGAAGTAGAGTCTTATAATTATCTATTATTTAGTATGATATTTAATATTTCAGCAGAAGAATTAAATGTTTTATACATGAGAAGAATTGAAATGTTGTATATGATTATTTTTGTTTATAATATTAATGTTATGTATGATTATTTTGTTATAGTAGGAGAAGAATTGAAATGTTATGTATGATTATTTTTGTTTATTATAGGAGAAGAATTGAAATATTATGTATGATTATTTTTGTTTATTATAGGAGAAGAATTGAAATGTTATGTATGATTATTTTGTTATAGTAGGAGAAGAATTGAAATGTTATGTATGATTATTTTTGTTTATTATAGGAGAAGAATTGAAATATTATGTATGATTATTTTTGTTTATTATAGGAGAAGAATTTAAATGTTATGTATGATTATTTTGTTATAGTAGGAGAAGAATTGAAATGTTATGTATGATTTTTTTTATATTTTAGGAGAAGAATTTAAATGTTATGTATGATTTTTTTTATATTTTAGGAGAAGAATTAAAATGTTATGTATGATTTGTTTTATATTTTAGGAGAAGAATTTAAATGTTATGTATGATTTGTTTTATATTTTAGGAGAAGAATTTAAATGTTATCTATGAATTAAAGACAGATGGAGATAAAGATAAAGAATTAATGGCTAAATGTGTTAGACTAATGTTACAGGGACGTAGACCAGCTAGAATGGCTTGTGTAAGTTTTAACATACATTTAGCACAGATATTAATGCGCATCCGACTCCGATTCAAAACATTAACTAGAACAGTTCACATTATTTTTAAGGTAGTGTAAGTAGTCATTTGCAGAATGAGCTTGGCATGTTTGGTTTCAATTTCTATTTATTTGACCTAAAAATAAAGTGGACTAATCATCTCGATGTTTTGAATGTAATGTTTGCTCTACTATAATGACCCACACTTTTTGTAACTGTCCAATTCTATATATTTTCCAGGCATTTATGGATGAGTCTATTATCAGTACTTCAACTAGTATGTCAGATGAAAGTGAAAATAATTATTATAATGTTCAACAAAACCCTGATCATCTGAGCGCTAATGATCCTAGAATTACAGATGTTGTAGCGTAAGTTTTTCTTTCGTTTTAAATTCCTGATGTTTTCTACTCTTCTTCTGTAAGATAATTTCTATACAATATAGCTTTCAGAATTTGTTGCACCAGGGGATTGCGAAGGTATTTACAAGACATTATCAGTTTGCATTCCAGTTTGTATCGCATCATTAATGCAGAAAAGAGTTGCTGATATGAAAGGATTTTAGAATGCATGTTCACTATTCCAGAACAGCTGGTATCACTCTGCGATTGTGTTTGTCAACCTGGTATCACTTGTGTGGTGTCCACAAAGCATGTATTTTTGTGGCTTCAGGAGTTTTGATGGTATCAGCACTATGTTTTGGACTGCGCCTTCAGTGGACTATAATTATTATTTTCAGTAGATCAGCCAGTCCTATTCAGTTATCTAAGTCATGTGATAGTATTACATCATCAATAGTCACTGATACTCAAGACAGAAAACTGTCACTACCATTAAATAGTACCCACCACGATTTTCAAGATACCTCTATGTATGTGGATATTGAAGAGATTCGGCCCAGTCCTGTGGTCTCCAGACGTGGCTGTCTCAATATACTGGAAGAAAAGACAAATGAATGGACCAAGAAATGGGTGGTAGGTCATAGACATTCTACAACTCTCTTTGTGGATTTTTGTGATAAATTTGTATCCTCGTTCAGAACATGAACAAAGTCTAAAAGCAATTTTTCTTCAGTAGAAGATTAGGTTTTCATATGGCTTTGACATTTTGGTAGAGAATGAAAAATGGAATTGTTTCAATATACATGAAATAAATTGTCATTACAGATTGTACGAAGACCGTATGTGTATATATATAATAGTGAAAAAGACCCAGTAATACGAGATATTATTAACTTGGCCACATCTCAAATAGAATACAGTGAAGATCAACATGCCATATTAAAGGTTAGTTCCAGGTTTCAGTATTTGAAATGAATTTGTGCATTCATAACCGTGAATATAAGCCTACTTTCTTTAACATAAACAACATACAAGCATTGTAAAATGAATTGAAGCATTGAAGGAAAGAATTTTACAAGATTTTAGGATATTTTTTATTAAACCTGAGTCTATAATTTTGTGCAAACCAGATATTTAGAACACTAAATCTTAAAGATATTTTGTGAATTTCATTATCAGTATAGATTTTAATAATGTTCGTTGTTGTGTAAAATCATTGAATTTTTAAAACAATTTTTTTTCAGACAATCAATGCTTTCTCAGTTATCACAAGGCATCGTGGCTTCTTACTACAATCTTTAGATGATAAGGACTTCCATGACTGGCTGTATGCCATTAATCCTCTACTTGCTGGACAAATCAGGTTAGTTGACTATCATGCAATTCACTGCTTCTGAAGGATGTGTCTTGTGCACATAGATGTCATGATATTAGCCATGAAAACTGTACATCTAAGAAAGTAGAGTGGTCTACCCCTTGATTAGTATACTTATTTCCCCAATTTTGTCATTTTGATTTTAGGATACTTTCTCAAGTAGATTTTTTTTAGCTGTCTTTTTCAGTCCAAAAATTTTCATACTTCACTTCATGCAAATTTAAGACAGTTTTGAGCAGATGTGATTTGATAGTAGTTTCTCATGGGTAAAATTCATGGTCTTGATTTTGTTTCAGATCCAAGTTATCCAGAAGAAAATTAACAGTACCCATATGAAGAAACCAAATAATTTAACACAATTATTGTTTGCTTTTAACTGTTTTATAATCAAGTGATATTTTTATTGTGCTCCTCAAATTGCAACTGATGCAATCAATTTTTTTTGAAAAAAGACAATGCCAAATATGGTCACAATAGCATAAGACAAAACAAAGATCAAACAAACTCCATTTTATTGGAAAAAGTTTTAATACCTCAAAATATCTTTTATAAAAGGTCTGTTATAAATTTTTATCCTGCCACATTTTTAAAACTTAAGAGAAAAAAGGTTTCCAAATCCAAATGAATAAAGGTACTGAAATTTCTTAGGGAAAGGTCTATCATAAGTTTCTAAACCTTCAGTGAAGGATCCTCAGTTTCTAAAACCTTTCTTAAATTAAAAGATCTTAGAACAAAAATATAGTCTGTCATAAGTTTTAAAGGGACAAATAAAAGGTATGTTTTAGAATTTTTATGACCTCAAATAAAAGTGTTTCATAAATTTGAAATCTGAAAGGTCTGTCATAAGTTTCTATGATTTGTTTGAGTTGCCTGTTAAAAGATTGATAAACCTCATGTTATGGTCTATTTTATATTTAGTAATATGATATAGATAATTATGGTACAATTTTTGTTCTATGACTGCAATTTGAGCACTAAGACTCATTTTAGAGCTAATGATTAAAAACACTGTTTTAACAAACCCTGAAAACAGATCTTAATGAATTATTGAGGTATTAAAACTTGACCTGTAGATTGACTATATTCTGAGGACACAACATGATACTATAATAGTGCTATGCTGAAGTTAAGTTGTGCTGAACGATAAAATATGTTTTGAGGGTGATGTATATATTATTCTAGTCCTTTAGCTCAGTGGAATATTTTAATGTTGTATATCTATTGAAATCCGTGCTACAGACCTTATAAAGGCCAAATTCAAATATTGCTCTATTATCAATATAATCTAATATAACTAATTCAGAGAAAATTGCATTGTTGTGTGATATAACCTCAACATTACATTCTACTTTTGGCTGAATTTGTATGAAGAAAACCTAGTCAAATTCACATATTTCTACAAAATTAGATGTTATTTAGGTACTGTTATTTAAGATCTTTAAATTTTATACAAAATAGGCAACAGGGCTTACTTAGTCCCAAAATAGAAGAATACGTCTTTAAAGGGAAATAGTCTTCTAAATATTTGATTTACTGATTGATAGAGCTCAGTTTTATCTATCATATCACTTTTCAGAGTCAATATTTGGCATTTAGATTGTTATCAATTATCAAAACAGTACTAACCATCTCCTTACAGTTTGACCTAATATTGATCAAACTTCAATTGGGAATGATAAATATGCCCTGCAGGTGACAACAGTCAATGAACGAAAGTGTCAAGGAACACTAATATTTAAGAACCAGACTTTCGATTGTAATTCTGAAAACAGTGGTCGCAAGCTAAAATTGTGCTATATCAGTTGATAAAACAAAGCTTAAGACAACTCTGTATAACATTGTCTTCAACAGATTTCAAAAGCATTTTTACTAAATCAGAAGATTGTATTTCAAAATCTTGTATATCTTAAAACTAAATTTTGAATTTAACTTCCTTTTAGTAATACTTTAACAGGGAAGCCAACTTCAGTTATAAATCAAGCTGTCACATTCCACTATATATATAATTAGTTAGATTGCTACCTGTTCCTAATATGGTTGATGTAATTTGCCCATTGGCTCAACTACCTTGTCCCAGATCAGGAAGCCTTCAGATTAGGAAGTCTTCAGATCAGGAAGTCCTCAGATCAGGAAGTCTTCAGATCAGGAAGTCTTCAGATTAGTAAGTCTTCAGATCAGGAAGTCTTCAGATCAGGAAGTCTTCAGATCAGGAAGTCCTCAGATCAGGCTATTGTTTTATAAACATGTTAAAAAATGCTGTTTTACATACTACACTTATAACAGCTGATTGTAAGATTATTTGAGAAACAGTGCAGTGGTTCTGTTACTAAGAGGATTTTATGTTGTATGTTTATATCCTAACACAACTAAATCAAAAGTTGAGAAAAGGGACTTATGGATGCCTTGATTGATAATATTCACATAAAAATATTCCCTTAATTAGGTCCAGTGATCAAGGAAGTTGAGTTAATTGGCTTCTCATATCAATCTAAATCAATGTGATATATAGATGTCCATTTGTAACTTTCTTAGCTTAGTTGCTCAACTAACTTTGTCCACTAGTCGCTCACTAAAGTATCACTTCTATCAGAAGTTTTATTTAGCCAATCATTGGTCAATTTTGGAGAAAATATACAAATCTTTTTTTCTAGGCTATGCAATTAAAAAAAATAATTCAATTGAGGCCATTTTGGAAAATAGCTCCGAATAAATTTCTTTTGAATGAAATCATTTAAAATGAAACATTACTTTGGATATAAGTTAAACTGTATATGATAAAGCTATTGTATATTAAAGAAAGTAGGTCATGCTTACTGTCATGTAATATTGCTGTATATTTTATTGTTCAAATTAGAGCATTTCAAAATATATACTGCTTATATATTCTGTGATTGCACCAAATCTTTTGAACTTAATACTTATATGTCGTTGTTCTCAAAAACTGTTAAGTTTAAGAAAAGGTAGTATGTTGCATATCTTTAAATCAAAATGAAAAAAGCTCAAGAGAGTTTCAACTCAAAGGTATCTATTTTGCTACAATTAAAGTGAACTTCAAAAAAAAAAATGGACGTTGCTATTGACCTCTCCTATATTAATAGTAACCTTCTTCTGGATATTAGATTTGGTGCGATAAACAGAACACTAGCTTTTTGTGTGAAATTGTTTTGTCTTTAAGTATTATATTGTAATGTCGGCTTCCATACATTTCATCCTCATTATCATTGTTAGTTATATTATTAGGATAGACAGAATATCTATCTTTTGTTTAGTCATAAGATTTTCTTGGCACCACTATATATAAAGATTTTAAAGGGATTGTAAAGAGGTTCGCTTAAACTGTAACACAATCCGGGATAGTAATAGCTTCAATTTCCACCATTCCAATTTTAATGTCTGTGGATGTCAGTATGGCAAATGCTGTAAGGAAATTATAAGCAGCTTTTACAATAATGACTATATAGGGATAAGCATGTCTATTAATACAGGAATCTCGGATTTAAAATTTGAAAGAAGAAAAATGAAAGCCGTATATGGTCCCGATACACATAAAAGTATAGAAAACCTCTTGACAATTCCTTTAATACATATTCATTACTTTGTTTGAAGGATGTTAAGATCAATAACATGATAAGTATATGGGTAATGTTAACCTTGTATTTATATATTTTGATTTATCCTCATTGAATGACATCTGATAAATTTAATAGTAACTCTAGGTTATGATACTCTAGGTTTTATAAAACATTATGAAGATGTAAAGGATTTCTAAAACTAGAGTGCATTTATGAAAATAATGATAATGTAATTGATCAGTTATGTCTTTAATTATACGCCAGTTGACAGCAAGTAAATCATTTAAAATATTATGAAATCCATCTGATCTTCACCAAAGCTTGTTATAGTTCTATCAGTACATCTCTAGCTTATCTATACCTTTGTGGATATATATTGGAAATTATATTTTGAAAATCTTAGTTTTGAAAAGTATTTTGCAAGAAATTAAGACCGTTTGTGTAATAGTTTCAAGATAAGTCATCTAATCCTAGCCTAGATTCCGTGAAATTGTCTTGTGTATTCATTATATACATGTATATGGTAGGCTAAGATTTGTATTTTAGTTGTGATAAATGTTTCTGTGATATTTTTAGTTACTGAAATGTCCTGACAATTCAAAGAAAAGTTTACCAGCATAAAACTTGGTTGTTATCCTTGGTCAAATCTTAGATAGGAAAGAATGTATAATTGAAGAATATTGAGTATTGAGGCTACTTACAATGGATTCACTTGTTAGATCTATTTGATAATCTTGAACAGTTCACTTCCTGATGATTTCAGTCAATCTGGTTGATAAAGATACAGGGGAAACCATTACCACAAGGTCTGACCAAGGCCAGCTTGTAGACATAGTCTAGGTACCATAAGGTGTTTTTCACACTTTTTTCAGTTCCGGTCTAAACAAACTTAATCTTTCTGGTTCCAATGAATTATCTTACCAGTAATTGACCTGTTTTGTTCAAATTGTTGTTAAACTTTTTTTTTCTGTTTCTATCATTTGTTATTATATATAATGTAAATGTTTCTATTGCTTCATAAAATATAAAATTACTGTAAAATTTCTAGAAACATGAATGTGATAAACTTCTATCAAACCACAAAAATGATCATGTTTAAGGTGAAATTTCAACCGATTTGTCAAATTAAAGAATTTTACTGTTACTGTTGACAGTAATCCTGGGGTAAAATCTATCAGTTAGTTCTTTGTTTACCTAATTGCCTGACAGTAGTGTAATGTAGGAGGTTGTTTCAGTCCAAATTTCATGATAAGTTCATTTAATTATTATCCTGTATATTTTATTAATTTTCTTTGAATTAAGTTAATTTGAGAAAAAATGATTAAAGAGATATGGTCATCTAAATATTTGCTTTCCCAAATGATAGCTTAATGTTATTTGTCAGAATGAAAATGTGATGTATGGTTTATCTATAATTTAAATATTTAAACAACCAATCAATGTCTTAACCATTAGCTTTCAATTCAGAATGGGATCATTACTTATGATCTGGTTGTTTAAAATCAGCAAAAATTTAGACTCCTAAATCTCTTTAATATAATGTTATTTCAACTATTTTGAAATTTTGTTTCCTCTAAAATCATTATTTATATTTTATTATGTTGAATTTTAAGTTTGATTTATGTATTGAGCTCTTTCGCTGATTTCAGTTTGAAATCTTTTCGCTCCTTTGTAATCACAATTCACACCGCCCAAAACACAGTCCATTTATAAAAATTGGATGGGCATCATTGATTGATGTAAAATGTCCTTTTGAGCAGCAGATGTTTTTAGAATAATCTAAAAGAAAGGCAGTAGTAGTGTGAAATGTGATTACCATCCAGAATATTGGAATTTAAAGGAGAGCATTTTGCTTGAGCATAACCCATCTAGCTATTACAAACTTCGCCTTATACTGTGACTTTTATACCGTGACTGCAAAAGTCACCTTCCTTGTGTCATGGAATGCAATGATTTTACAGAGCCCTTGACATAGACCCTAAAGACTGGAAACATCATGGCATATTACATTTTGCAGACTTTCTGTTTAGGGTTCTGATTGGCTGTATTCCTTTATGTACAATCCAATCAATTGGCTGCATTTACAAACCTCTGTGACACAAGAAAGGTGGTTATTACAGTTAAGTTATTCAAGATGAAGTTCGTAATAGTTTCACATTGTGTATGAAGGTGAGCATAACCATGACATTGGTCAATTAGTAAAAAAAACTTTTTTGTGAGAAAGTTTGAAGCTCTTTTTTTTTTTCCTTTTTTTATTATTTAAATTTAATATTTTGTCATTGTTTTTTCTGTCATCAAGGTCAAACAACAATCAAATATGGAGGTCAAAGTCATATTTTCATGGGTTTTGGACTTTTATTTATTGGATAATAGATTCTTATTTGGGCATTGTGTAGACCTTGATATGTGCAATATTTAAAAGCGGGTATTACAGTATTTCTGAGAACTAAGTAAGTGAATGTTGAACTCCGGTGTTAAACTGCTTCAAGTCACCATTCAGTTTAAGTTTTCTGCCCAACTTAAGTTTATGAATTCTCAGATTGTGTGTGTATATATTATGATTCTTATTTATCTGCCGAACATTGGTACTTGAAGTTCTACCATTATATTCATATAATCTTAGTTATATGCCTGAAGTAGTTATCAAACATAACAATAAGTATAGAATCCTGTAGCTAGTAGAATGACCATCTTTAAACAGTAATAATCATTCTCTGATATACTAAGAATCATGAAATACTCATGTCATTGTTTTTATCACTTGCAATTGTTATCTGTTATATTTCATTAAACGTCAATATTATGCTTTTACTCAATTAATGTCATTTTTATACTCTCAATTTACCTTCTGTCTGTTCACATATATTTCATCCTGTGCTCTTTCTACGACAGTGGCAGAGCCACATGGGGGGAGGGGAGCGGGGGGTTGGGGGGCGTCAACCCAGAAGGCATGTTTTTCGGGCAAAAATCTCATAACTAAGTTAGAAATTCGGGCAACCTCAGCTATTTCGGACGTGAAATACGGATCGGATATTAAGGCGTTAAGGCCAGAAAAAAATGTCACTTTTTTCTTATACGCCCACACATAAGATGAGCGTATATTGTAATCACCCTGTCGGTCCGTCCGTTCACATTTGGTTCGTGCTCACTCTACAGGCTACAATTCTTTACAGATTCTTTTGATTTTGATTTTAATTTTGTGTGTCAATATCATTATGAAAATGATCCCTATCGATTTCCGTGACGATCGGATAATTTTTCACCCAAATATCGTGACTCTATTAGCTATATTGTGCAACTTGTGTTCAATCCACAGACGACAATTCTTTACAGGTGTTTTTGATTTTTATACTCCCACATGAAATGTGGAGCGTATATTGCCGTCACCCATGTCCGTCGGTCCGTCCGTCGTCCACAATTGCTTGTAAACACTCTACAAGTCACAATTCTTTACGGATTTTGATGAAACTAGGATGAACCCTATTGAAAATCGATAAAATCGAAAAAATATCCAATATGAGTTATTGCTCCTGTTCTTCTTGTTATCAACCAAGGATAAACTCTATTGAAAATCAGAAAAATTGAAAATTATTTAGTATGAGTTATTGCCCTTGTTCTTGAAAACGCATTCAATTTTTAGCTCGTAAACACTCTAAAAGGCACAATACTTGACGGATTTTGACGAAACTTGGTGTGAGTGTTCGTAATCACCCAAGGATGGACCCTATTGAAAATCAGAAGAATTGAAAAATATTAGTATGAGTTATTGCCCTTGTTCTTGAAAACGCTTTCAATTTTAACTTGTAAACACTCTAGAAAGCACAATTCTTGGCGGATTTTGACGAAACTTGGCATGAGTGTTTATTATCACCCAAGGATATACCGTATTGAAATCAGAAAAATCGAAAAATATTTAGTATGAGTTTTTGTAACTTATTGCCCTTGTTCTTGAAAACGCATTCAAATTTTATCTAGTAATCACTCTACAGGACACAATTCTTGGCGGATTTTGATAAAACCTGGTGTGAATGTTCGTAATCACCCAAGGATGAACCCTACAGAAAATCAGAAGAATCAAAAATATTTAGTATGAATTATTGCCCTTGTTCTTGAAAACGCTTTCATATTTAGCTCTTAAACACTAAAAGGCATGATTCTTGCTGGATTTTGACATACCTTCTAGAGTTTTCATGAGCTAAAAATTGAACTCATACTCAATGTTATTCAGTATTGCCCTAAAGAGTTCAAAAGAAGTGTGTGACTGAAGGTTGAATATTTCATACTGGTGATTGTTACTGTACTGCTAAATATTTATATTCAAAATCAAAGCTGCCAGTGGGCATATATTACCTTGTCTGGTAAGTTATCTTGATTTTGTTTGTCAATGGATGGATTAAATATTGTATCGGCAAAATTTAACACATTTCAAGAACAAGGGCTATAACTCATACTCAATATTATTCAGTATCGCCCTAAAGAGTTCAAAAGAAGTATATGACTGAAGGTGGAATATTTCATACTGCTGATTGTTACTGTACTGCTTAATATTTTTATTCAAAATCAAAGCTGCCAGTGGTCGTATATTACCTTGCCTGGCAAGCTATCTTACGGAAGTTGCTCCGCTCCGATCCATTTTTGTGTTCCTAGTTTTTTAAAATTTTCACCATGTCATAAGCCTAAATTTTGATATCTAATTTAACTGTTCTTCAGTTTATTGTAGGCAATACATGCTTCTTGACCTATGATTTGGATATTAACCTAAAATGTATATCTGGAATTAAAGTATTCTAAGAGTTCTTCCTTAAATCTATTATTTTTTGATGTTTGGCGAATTTCTTGCTATTTCCTCTGATTCTGGTATTTGATAATTTGTCTTTTCCACCGTCGGCACACTGCCTTGAGGAAGGCCACTTTCAACCTGTGACAACGAAGAGCTGGTAGAGTTTATTATGACACGTTGCTTCTGCTGTAAAGGTGTGTATTGGTGTATATGGCATAACTCATCTTGTGTTTGGATTCCATTATGTTTTCGACAACACGTGTTAGATTGATGAGTCTGTAGTTACATGCCTGCTTTTTACATCCTTTCTTGAATATTGATGTTACATTTGGCTTCTTTCCACTTGTCTGATAGAGTACCTTCCTTGAGAGTAATAGTAGTAATACTGAGGGATTATAAACACACCAAAATGCCCGAAAACGCTTGTCACCGAAATTAAATAGAGCAGATATTTTCCTTCGCTAGCAATCTTTTTATGTCTTAATGTGGTAACAATGTGAAATGTGCACAATATTTAAATTTTTGAAACCTAAAAAGTGTGATTTTTAGAAATATCTTTAAAAAAATTGATAAAATAAGCCAAATAAAAACAAACGAGGTAAAATTTAGTTACCACATTTTGTCTCCATATATTTATAAATGACATTGGCCTAATTTAACGCATACCACACAGTGGTATATAGTCAATGCCATAATAGTTCTATATGACAAGTCGGCCATATGTGTATATCAAACGATCGATCTTTCGTGAAAGCATGCTCTGCTTACGAACATTTTTTATATAACGCTATGATTCATGAAAAGGGGACATTGTAGTACACCATTAAGTGTGGTAAGCGTTAACCGCTTTAATATTAAGTGTAAATATTCATGGATTTTTCACCTTAAAAATGAAATCAAAAATGGATGTGTATTACTACAGGAAAGTAAAAAATAAAATGGTGTGTGTTTTATTAGTTATTGTAATGTGCTTGTTATTATATAATGAATGTGTTGTGTTTTGGTATCAACAATTAATATGGCCACCACTACCTGAAAACAGGTAGGCTAAGAATATATTTATGGGATATTTAATTGTCATCAAGGGATGGTGATCTTAAATAAGAATATCTGAGAGTACAGTATAAAATAATCAACCTTTAGTCAGTCATTATGAGTCATACACTTCTTTCGAACTTCTTACTGAACAATATGACCTAGTTTTGTCAAAATCCGTCGGGAATTGTGCCTTTCAGCTTCAAGAGCATTTGCGAGCTAAAAATCGAACACGTTTTCAAGAACAAGTGCAATAACCGAGACGAACCGACAGACTAACATAGAATACGTTCCACATTTCAAATTGGATCAAATGTAGTTTATAATTTACTCATTCTCTCCTTAAAAAACCAGTCTAACAACTCAAGCTTTATTTAATAGGACGAATCAGTGCAGAACTGGTGTCTATAATTTTCCGACAGCCTCCGACTACACCAATAGATCATTTTGAGGCTTGATTTTTGCAAATAGCCAAGAACGTTTTTATTGCAATGGTTGCAATAAAAAGTTGGAATGTTCTTAGCAGGTATGATAAAACAAAACAATGAATAAATTTCGACTTAATTTATTTACCATGATAGCTCCTGATTTATTGCAATTTTACAATACTCAAAAATTCCAAGAAATTTAATTTCAAAGATGACGGCCATATATAATTTTATTTCATAAAACAATTTCCAAAGTGACACCCGGCGGAAATGTGTTCAAAACAGCTTTCTGAAGAAGAAAAATAATAAAACATTAAAGGTAATCAAAAACATACCTCATCAAAATCTGGTTTTTGCTGGCCAAACAATTATGAGTTAAACTGGAACTTAAAAAATGGATAGATATTGTTGAACCGCGATAACGACATGTTTTTTACTGGGCTGATATGAAGTATTTTGAAATATCCCCAAAAGATAGTATTGTTTCTATAGAAAACCCTTTGACAATAGACTTTGACTATATATATGCAATAAATAGCCTACAATACTAAAAAAGAAAATGTCAGCGATATAAAAATATTTCTATATATGTATTTCTATTGTTTCTATTGTGTAATTCAGTAGGCTATATGGTTCATAATTGTTAGTGTAGTGCTGTATATATGTTTTTTGAAAATCTCCACTATTGGAGGAAATAAAGATATATAATTATATCATTGGTAGCATCTGTTAACAGCTGAGAGAATTAGATTAGTTTGAACGAGTTGTTCTTTGGTAGCTGTTGGTGACTATAATAACATTTGACATTTACCCCTGTATATCGGATGCATATATAAACAATAACATGCTTTTTTACTGTGAGGTTATCTATGTAAGGGATAAAGGCCTCAAACTACTTTCTGTCAACAGAAGAAACAACTGAGGGGTGTTAACCCCTCTGTTGACAGAAAGTACAGTTTGAGGCCTTTATCTGTCTTAAAACAAAGTATCTGTGAGTAAATTTTGTTTGTGAGAGAGACTCAATGTATATCACTTTAAGAATGTAATCTTTTTGAACATTAAATGAGCATGCACACAGCTCACTACTGAATGTTGTTTTAAGACAGTTGTTACTTTAAGAATGTACACTTTTAAACATTCATGCATTCATTCATTGAATAGTTGATGCTTCAAGTGTCAAGATGTCAGGTTCTAGTGATGATGATATATATATTACCCAAACAAAGACTTGTGAAATAGATGATTATAATTTAGAAACGGATACTGTTCTTAGTGATGCTCTGAATTTGGAGGAAAATTATGTAAAAGAAGCCATACAGTTACCAATCTTTGATTTGAAGAAATTTGCCAGAAAATGCCAAGACTTCACTGAGGTTTTCCAAGCCCCTGGACGATTCTGATCTAAAGAATTTGGTTATAAGTGGTCTTAGTATTAAAACTGAAAATAAAACTAGATGGGCAGTTAATTTGTTTAGAATGTGGAAGAAACACAGAAACAATAATAACTCTGAAGAAAAAGATTTATTTAATCTTTCCAGTCAAGAATTGAATGAAGCACTTTCCTTTTTTATAGCTGAAGTGCGTAAGGAATCCGGTGATAATTATAAACCAAATACTTTGTATGAGATTATTATATCTATACAGCACTACCTTCGTCAGAATGGACGTTTAATAGCCTTTATGGATGAACAAGAATATCAGGGTTTAAGAAGTGTTCTGAACAGTAAAATGAAGGAGTTGTCGAGACTTGGACTGGGTATTAATACCAAGAAGTCTGATTATTACAATAGAACAAGAAGAGATTTTATGGAGTAAAGGTTTGTTAGGTGAAAGTAACCCACTGCAGTTATTGGATACTCTTCTTTTCTTGTTTGGATTACATTTTGCACTGCGAGCTGCTCAAGAACACAGGAACTTAAGGTTTGGTATGAACACTCAATTGTCTGTTAAGTATGACTTAGGGGGTAAAAAATATCTGCAGTACATAGAAGATGTTTCAAAGACAAACCAAGGTGGTTTAGATCACAGGAAAGTCAGTCCTAAAATGACAAGAGCTTATGAAAATTCTAACCCATTAAGATGTCCAGTTAGATTATATGAAAAGTATATAGCTCTGCGTCCAAAAAACGGTACAGTAGATGCATTTTATCTGCGTCCCAAGAAGATGCCATGCTCTGATGTTTGGTACTGTGATTCTCCTGTAGGAATTCATACCATACAGTCCACTGTTAAACATTTATGTCAGTCGGCTGGTATAATTGGAAACTTTAGTAATCATTCCCTTCGTGCCACAGCTGCAACTCGTTTATATCAAGCTGGAGTGGACGAGCAATTGATCACTGAAAAGACTGGACACCGATCTAATGCTGTACGAGCATATAAAAGAACAAGTGATGCCCAGCAAGCCTCTGTGAGTTCCGTATTGCATAGTGGTTCCAAAAATCATAAATTGGAAGAATTGGTGGATACAAGCCCAACTAAATTTAAGCAAGAACGTTGCGTTAATGAGGAAACCAGTGACAAAGAACATAAGGAACTCAGAGAGTTCAAACTTTCAATGCCAGGAATGAATTTGCCTAAGGTATTTTGATTCATTTGACTGTAGTATTGCTTCAAAAATTGCAATAATATGTTTGTTCTAGTTATCTGAAAATCTGTTCTTTCTTAAGTTTAATAATGTACTATTTTTTTCAAAAACTGTACATTCTTAGGTCAAAGAAAGTACAGTTTTTGGAATTTGTGAGTAGGTGTTCACAAAAACAGTACATTCTTTGAAATAATGGCCTAAAACAACAAAGGACTACTGTCTAACTATGTTTTAACTACAAGTATAAACGTATATAATTAATACCGTTTTCTCTTTCTGTAAGTTTTCATTTGCAGTTGAATTTGCTTTTACGAAATTTTGCAATGGAAATCAGTCATTTTTGTGAGATAATGTTCACAAATCGTCTTCAAAAACACATTCAAACCATAAATTTATCAATTCGAGTAACGGGACAGATTAAGAAAATATTTAAAAGTTATTTTTGTATAGATTCTACCATACATTGTATTTTAAGATATACTGAGTGACTAATTTAGCTACTATCTGTTAGGACGTGACAGTTATCTCAAAACAGACAGTTTTATTATAGTCATATACATTTATTTGTAAATACGTGTACGTAATAATTGAATTTATATTAGTTTGAAACAACCATATCCTTCCTTGTTGTACATCTAATAATATTGACTGAAAGAGGTCGGTTTTATCTAACTATAGATAAATTTGATACATATACGCCAGCGGTGACAGTGACACATAATCAACCATGCGTACACATGATATGGTCTTTTTCAATTGCATCTTAATACATGTACATGGATAATTCATCTTAAAAATGAAATCAAAAATGGATGTGTATTACTACAGGAAAGTAAAAAATAAAATGGTGTGTGTTTTATTAGTTATTGTAATGTGCTTGTTATTATATAATGAATGTGTTGTGTTTTGGTATCAACAATTAATATGGCCACCACTACCAGAGAACAGGTAGGCTAAGAACATGTTTACAAATATTATAGAATTTTCAAAAGTCAACGTTCTGAAAATGAAAACAAATTGCATCTTTACCTCTCAGACTCCAAAGAGGAGCAGAATGAACACAATATGGGAATATAATTGATGAAATAGTCAATAACTTGTTTTGACCAAAGCCACTTAAAATTTTTAATTCTCAAACTTGGTTAAAAAGTGTATCCGTTGGACTTGCCAGGTGTCACGACTAAAGAATAGAATCTCTATACAAGGCGATATATCCATTAAACTAATTATTGAAAAGTGCCTCTAAGCGTGATTCTGTTATTACTTTGTTTCATGGATTTATTGCATGTGGTATAATATTGCCACCAGGTTAAGTTCACTAGTCATCGTAGGTAGTTATGATAATAGGCGTTGGAAGAAATTAATTTATGACGTCAAATGTTAAAATAGATACTGTCGTGAATGATACATAAATAATATTAATAATAATAGAATTTTCAATAGGTCCAACAAAAGTCTTAAACTATTATCATTTTACTAAAAATCATATACAAATTAACATCAAAAATAAAATCACCAAAAACACTTAAAGATATATAAAACATTAACAAAAGATCATTGATGAGGTCAGAAATAACAAATTATAAAATGATGTAAACAATTGTTTGAAATAAAATGGCTAGCAAATCAAAAGACAGGATGATTATAAATGCTATGGAAGTAATTAAAGGGATTGCAAAGAGGTTTTCAAAACGTTTTTATTTATATCGGGGACACTGAGAACATCAATTTGCACCATTCCAATTTCGAGCAGACTTCTCCTTCAATTCCACTAAAATTAAGCGTTTGATGACGTCACAAATCGCAAAATAATATGCTGTATCACATAAGGATTAAGTAAATTCATTTCAAACTTCAATTCATTTCATAATCAATAATCATTTAATTAACTTAAATTTATTTATAAAATAATCAATTTCAAATCACAATTCACGAATCTTATCTCTTTGGGCCTACTTATTAAATCATGAGTATTAGTATACCTTATTACATGGGATTGTAATGGTTTATTTTAATACAATCCCTTTAATAGGATAATATCATAAGGATTGAGGTGTGTTAGCACATTTTCTGGTATTGTTGGAAGTCAATGTAAGTAGGCCTTTTATATTTTAGTGACAGAAATCTGGTTGTTCTATTGGTAGCCGATCCACAAATACAAGGGGAATATTTAGAACCTATGTTCCCAATAGGAAGTATAAGTAGATGGGATGCTGACAGGTAGGTTTGATAAAATGATCGCCACATTTCCGAATTAGATTCATGTAAAACTACACCGAAAGTGGTGCCAATAACAATTTACAAAGGACGGCTTAAGAAATTGGCAACAAACACAGGTACAATGTCTGAATTTTTGTAAATGTCTGCCTAACTTTGATATACAGATAATTTGGTAACGCGACATTATGGTAAAAACTAACAATCGAATGAGAAATGGAATCAAAATCACACTTCCTTTTACTAGGACACATTGATTTCACCACGTTTTTCAAGTGGGTAGAGAAAACTAACTTATTGTTCAAGAGAGTTCAACAAGGTAAATAACACGTGTATTCAAACTATTTCAGATCATAATTATTTGGTATACTTTTCAACACGTAAATAGTGTTTCCGGTAAACAGTGCGTCAGCTTTGAGGCTTTGAAAATCTTGCTCATTTTTCAATTAATGATTCGACCTATTTGACAGGTATCTGAAAAAGACATTCGAACGAGTCTATCTGTACAGTCAGCCAGATATTGTGATGTTTCTGGGAGATTTGATGGATGAAGGTGACCAAGCTACACATGAACAATACGATACTTATTATAATCGCTTCATGGATATCTTTCAGTTAGCCAAACAGTCAAAGGTATGTTATGTGTCATGAAGTTCTCGAACTTTTCAAAGGCCAAGACAGTCTGTTTAAGTTGTTGCATTCTTTCTGATTACCACCTCGATCCACCAAGAACGCACGAATTGTCTGGCACCTATAACCCTTGGTACAGTAACATAATTTTTGTGTTTCTATGGATAAAAACAACTTGATAAAGGCTTCCTAATTTGTGGTGTTCCTTATTGCATGCATGTGACACTATTTGGGGTTCAATCAAATCTTTTGACATTACTAAGACAATAAATAAAAGAAGTATAAAATGGTAAACGGGGTTAATGCTGTGTCAAAAATTGTGTAATTAATTATATGTCTTTTTGAAAACCATCAAATTCCATCAGTATATACATAACATTAGTATATTAGTATTAAGATTACCAACATTTCGTCTCCTTGCGAAGAGGTCACCTACGAAACTGTATGGGTTTTTACATGGAAATAACACACCCGAACGTAGTTCACAACCATTTGGAATCTTTTCTTCGACTTAATAAGTAGAATTTTGATAAAGGTTTTGATATTTCAACTAGGCCTTCAAATCACATTTAGAGGTTAAGAAATGGCTTTAAATGAGAATTAATGGCGTAAATATTATAGCCTTTTTAAAAATTCAACTTATTAAGTCGAGGTAATGATCTAAAATGGATGTGAACTGCGTTCGTGTGTGTTATTTCCATTCAAGAAGTATACGTAGTTTCGTATGGAAGAGGTCATTTTGAAATGATTGATTCTGGATTACCAGCTAATTGACATGTTCTTTTAGGTACAATTTATTGCAGGGGACAATGATATAGGTGGGGAGAAGATTCACAAAAGGATACCAGACAAAGTGAACAGATTTGAACGATACTTCCAACCCACTTATGGTAGTACACAGGTGTCTTTCTTAGATATTATTAAGGTGAGCAATGCGTTGGTTCAAACATGGTTCACAATGTAAGAGAGCTGTGATAGCTACAATGTCTATTTTGTAGGTGACAACCATATGCATGCCTACCTACATCAGATTGTATAATGATGGGACCAGTAGAGGTACATGACCCCTTATAAAAATTGTTTGTTCTCCCAATATTGTACCCCACTCCGTTTCAAATTTAAAAATATGATTTTTATACATTTTTGCCCTAAAATATGTATCGGAAATTCGGAATGCAACTTATCAATTCTATTTTTCAAAATATTCTTGGGGGAGAACCCTCTCAGACCTCCATGAGAGAGTTACGCCTAAGCGCTTCCACAGAGCTGTCGCATTTTGAATGCTAACCTCGACCCATTAAGTCAACTGACCCCTATTGATTGTACTCCCATTCTTGGAAGGCTGGCGCCGCCAATGATAATGAGCACTTTCTGTATGTTCTATTAAGACACTCATCATGTGAAGTGCTTCATTGAAACCACTGTATCATGTTAGTAGATGATGTATCTGTTGTTGTTTCAAACAGTTAAAAGTATCAAGTATTGCATTTTACTGCAAATTCTACTTAGTTTTGTGAATCTGTCAACTGTATTAGATCACTTGCTTAAGTGGCATTTAGCAATTGACTATATTGAATGGATAACAATTACTGCTAAATAATATTGCAACGTTTCAACGATGGTTTTCTTGTTAATTATGTCTCAATACACTATCACTTTAGCTTTTCTTTTATTATGTTTATTTAACTTAAAATCGTGTTCTTTGTGTTTCCTAAAAATGTTACCATAATTATGTTAGATAAAGATGAGAGAACCATCGTGGAAACGTTGCAATATTTAATATTGAACGGCAATTGTTATCCGTAAAATGTATTATGTATAAGTCTTTTTCATATGTTATTATTAGTTGCCTTCTACAGGCTTTCGAATTAAAACTATACTTTTTAGTCTCTAATATCATATAAGTAGGACGTAAAACTCCATTCATTTCATTTCATTTCTAATATCATATAATTTTTTCAGTTTGATTATTGGTTATATTCGAAATGGGGAACTGCTCCATTGTTGGCCAATATGAGAAATAAATCGTCATCATTCAAGATGGTTATTACCCATGAATCAATACTAAAAACCAATAACAACAAGGTATAATAAATCCTTAATCTCAACATGAATTGTCTGTTTTCCCATTGGCTCATATTGATATTTTTTATAGACTATTTCATTCGTCCAGTTCAATTTTCTGAGCATGGACTAATGCAATTGTTTCTCCGTCACAAGTACCTTACTCGATTAGTGGTTTAAGTTGTTTTTATTTTTAAATTTCTCTCATTTGGATCCCATATTTCATTCATTTTATAATCAGTTATAAAATGATGTTAATAGAAAATAGTAGCATCCTTAAGACTGAGAAAAATACCCCGGATTTATCTATTTAGTAGAGTTCCCGAACAATAATCTGTCGGCCGCTTAATAAAGATTATCTGGTCCCACTAAAGACTAATCGACGGAGTTAAAATTCTAATTGCTATGGTTCCTAAACAGGAAATAAAACCATGATTATTTGATTTTTTAAGTATTTGAGTGCATTTAATATTTATTTGTCAATTTATACATGTATAAAATAATGAATAGAATTTACCTAGTTTCCATTTCAATTCAAAAAATCGATATCTCATTTAGTGAACACTCAAGCAATCTACTCAATGCATTTTCAATCAGTATTGAACTTTTATGCGCTCCCCAGCAATTTTATCTTTGTCAATGGGTTAAGAACTTTGAAAATTGATGATATCAGTGTCCTCAATACACATACAATTTATTTTTTTAGAAAACAATCCCTTTAATAATTATCTTATAATGTCAATGGTATTGATTTTTTTGCCGAGATAAATTATGTGATGATATATATTATATTTCACAGATGCAGCTAATTCGTGACATCAAACCTGACGTTATCATCTCAGCTCACATGCACCAGGTAATCTCCATGTTCAATTGATTTATAATAAAATTCCTGCTTCTAAATCGTTTATACACTTGAAATTTTGCATAATCTTGGTATCGTCAAATTTAACAGAGAATTAAAAAGGGTCTAGGATTTTAAAATCAGAATGTATGATTAAAAGTAGAGCATGAACAATAGACAATGTGTATGGCGATTTATATCGGAACTTTGAAATTTTGATATTTTAATTGATGAAATTGCGGTACAGAACTCACACCTGTGGCAGGCCTTCATGGGCCACCATATTTTATGAACTGAACCCATGAAAATTATTCCACGATATTATATGTCTATTTCAGTCTATGTTTGTCCATTTCAGTCTATGCAATACGAAGGAAACTTAAGATTTGGTGATATGCAGGTTAACAGTATTAAATTAAACCAAATCAATACCTTTATAAACGTGAACGTCAGCAATCCAACAAGCGTTAACGAAGTAATGGTCCCAACTTGCAGTTATAGAATGGGAGAGCCAAGAATGGGATATGGTTTAGCAGTTTTAAGTAAGTTCTATCTCTAATTTGGTTTTGGGTCATTCGCATAATGACCATATTCAGTATTATTCACCAGTTTAATGTCTAATTGAGGGAAACACTCGACGGTAGGCTGTGAATACCATTACTGATTAGCTTTGCAAAAAAATCAGTTTCTGAGGCTAAAGTTCAATAATATTCGTCAAATGGAAGGCGAAGCTGTCCCTTTAACATGTATAAAAGATAAAAATGTATTTTTATTAGCTCAATAAATCTCCTTGAGCGTTTTCAATTATTTTATAACACCTTACAAAATTTGCATTGAAACTAATACACTTATGGACGACAGTCTAAAAATTCTACGTGATAGTTTTCCATCCACAACTAAACATGGTAATATTAGTCTCTTGAGCAGTATGATTTTTATACGTTTTCGCCCCAAAATGTATGTCAGAATGCACCAAATGAAGTCAATTTGTCGAAAATTTTCTTGAGAGATACCTCTCCGACGCTCCACAAGAGGCTAGCGACAAGAAGCCTCCACAGAGTTGCCGCTTGTTGAATTCAGCCTCCACAGTCTGCCCCCTATTTGTACCCTTAGTCTCGAAAGGCATTGGATCAGCTGACAAATTCAACAATTCGATAGTTAACAGTTATACTTTAATTTCAGGTGATGATAAGACAATGAAATATACTGTATTATGGTCACCCAGTCGATATCGGAGTTTACGCTTGTACATTTACGTTGTTATTATTATTTTTTTATTTTATAATTTTAAAAAATGGTACCAGGCGTGGGTCAATTGTAAAACGTATTTCTGACCAAATAAACATAGATTTAAATTATGAAAGAGTCTTGAAATTAAGTCGTTTTGGATTCTAGACTCACTTTTTCTTATATTTATGATATGAATTATAATGCAATGCCGAATTTCAACCTTCAGCTTACAAGGCATCGTGTTTGCAGCAGCATAAGCTCGAGTTTGACCGGAATACATATAGTAAGTTAGACACTCATTACCCAATATGTCCATATTCGGATTGTATCAATGATGGTTTGAGAATTATTTGCCTGTATATTAAATGTCATTGAGACATTCTCATGGAATGCACTAAAGCATATTAAGCATGTAATTTGGTCAGTTTAAAAAGGTATATAAAAAATAACTATTATTATTCCGAAACCTGCTACTTGAAGATATTAAATTCTGTTGGTGAATAGTGGAGAAACTTTGAAGAAATGTAATGTTCGACTTTTCTTAACATAACTTGCAACCCACAAAGGCTGACTATGTCGTTATGTGTGCAATAACTAACTTTGTCAATAGTTACACCCACATTTACAATAGCTGTATCGGACATCGTCAATGAAAGTCAGTTGAAGGAGATAAAAAGAGGTAATCGCCTATGTGTGGTGTCTCAGTCGATAAAACTTTAAAGGGCAGATGCGCCATTTTTTTTTTTTTTTTATAAGGGATTTTTTTTAGCTATGCTAACAGTAATAGTGTTCACAGATCACCGGCGTCAAATCCTTGTGTGTCCAGAATTATCTGCGTTTGAATGTTAAAATGACAACTGACGACTCGTCATTTTAAGATACTCTGTGATATATAGAAAAGACATATATAGAAATAGTGAGTAAAACTCCTAGTATTCTAGGAAGTATTCTAAAAGGAATTAAGCGATTTTCTTATATTCTGAAGATTATTTACATATATTCAAGACTAAAATCAACCCCAATCAAAATGGCACATCTGTCCCTTTAAATGGAGTTTATGTGTATCGGGGACATTGATAATATCGCATAATGGTATCAGAAATCTGGTGTTACATGTCCTGTTTGACTCAAGATCTTGAAACAAATAATTTTAAGAATGACCTCGGGGAAATTCTCTTCAAAAATGTTCCAAATACAAGATGTACATGTATATTTACATAAAACAATTATTGCACTAACACAGTACAAAAACATAACATATTACAAATAACAAACACCCAATAACGAGATTAACGTGGCTTCATGAGTACAACATTTCCCAATCTATTTAAAATTAGATAACAATTGATTTCCTTTTTTCTGATATTTTTCGTCTCAACAGATTTCTACCACAGTCCCGTTCTAATTTCCATGTCTAATTGCTCTACTTTGGCTTTTGCTATCCAACTTTTCGTCATTTTATCAAAAAACGGATTCTACGTGACACGCCTTGATTAGTTAAAGTCATTTCAAAGGGACTGTGGTTAGATTACAATTGAGACGGGAAATATATCGGAAAAAAGATACGATATTGTAATCTATTAAAATTTTCTTCCTATGCATTATATATAGCAAAACACCTAAAATTTTTTATTAGTTAAGAATTAGACTGTCATAGTTAGCATTAGTCTAATTAGATTACCATCCACACTTAGTATATTATGAGGTTATTTAAAGGGTAGTCGCCGAATTTTACGAAGAAAACGAAAATTGAGTCCTATATGATAAGGCAAATATTAAAACGACCATTTCCTTTAAAGGCTATCTATGATTTAATTGGATCCAGATTTTTTTTCTATTTAACGTGAGAAATGAAACCACATTGGTACAAAATATTCTTAATTTCATCTTAAAGTATTTTGCATGTCAATAATTTTGGCACGTATATTTTCCCATCTAAAACCAAATGAACATATTGCTTTAATATTATTAAACCTTGACATAATGCTCATCTTTAAAATAAACGCGTTATAAGGGTATATTGTAACACACAACTCATGCAGTATTTTTATATACGTAAAAGTATAAATCAGTATTTAGAATTTGAAAAAACTTTTACAACCATTGGTTCTGAAATCACATATTTTTCTTGCAGCAAAGAAGAACATGAGGTTTCCCAAAGATTGCATTCATACTTTTAAACCATACTCAAAACCATTCAATATTGGTCCTAGTTAAATGCATTTACAAGTTAATGACCTTCAAAAATACATTTTCTTCCAGTACTAACTAACTAAGGATATTTCTTACATTTTTCATAGACTTTTTACAATTATTATATGCGTTTCTCATTTCGAACAAGCATTCAACAATCACAACGAATACATATACTCAAGTCTCTATATATCTACTATGAATAAATATTGTTTACCATAATTTGAGTAGATATCTAACTACTATATACATAAATAGTAATATTACCCTACATTTATAGCTCACTACGTAAGTTTCATATAATCATCTCCTTTTCCATGGACTGACTATGTCCTAATTGTTTTTGTTGTAAGAGTCTTATCTGAAGTTTTACACTCAAGCATATCATTCTTTCCTCATGGATCTTTTGACAAAATTCTGAATTCTTCTTTTCCAATTCTTCATTTTCTATGATCAATTGATGAAGAATTTCTTCAAGATCTTCATCTTCGTCACTATCATAACTACTGTCAGATGAGGAGCTCACATCCTCAAGATCTGAGTCATGGCGAAGATATTGAAGTTCCTGGATCTCTTGATGAAGTCTCTCTATCTCTTTCTCTTCAGTTTTAATTTTTTGACGCAGCTCATCACTTATGATCATCATTTCTTCCTGTTCAAGCTTCAGAGCATATTCCTCTTGGACCAGTTGTTGATACTCCTCATCATTCTCATTCTCGTCACTCACTTCCTGGTTATTATCACTTCCTTGCATATTCTGTTTTTCTTCCTCTTCCTGCTTCAGACCCAAAAGTTCAATTTCCAAAGCTTTTAGCTCCTCTCGACGCTTCTTCTTACGATCTTCATCTGAGCTGTCCTCGATCTTTTTTGGTACAACTGGGACAGCTTTAATAGGCTTCAAAGGCTCGTGCATGCTTGTTTGGGTATTCAAAGGTGGATTAGGAGCTGGTTTCTTTTTTGCAGAGACTTGTCTTTCAGTATCAAATGTGACAGTTTTTCTGTTTTCCTCCTCAGCTGGTTTTGGGTCTGAAATATTTGATGCTGAGACTTGAGGTTGCTCTAGCTTTTTCGAAGCAGTCACAGGGAGTTCTTCTGTGTAACTCTCTTCATCTTCTTCATCAACATCATCTCTGTTGTGTTTGTAATCAATCTCATCATCATCTTCCAGACGATTATGTTTATAGTCAATCTCTTGATCAGGATCTATCTCTTGTTCAGATTCAACAGCTTCTACTGCTTGAGTTTCAACTTCTCCAGCAACAACAGGAGTGTCTACTTCATCTGTTTCTTCTACCTCAGATGTTGGCTTCTCTTCTACTTTCTCAGGTTCAGCTTGTTCCTTTGAAGCAGTAGCCTGAAGCTTTAGCTCGACATCCTTCTTACGTTTCTCTGCAGCTTCAAGAGTCTTTCTAGCAAATTTGATCTTGCGTTTCAGATGAGTAACAACTCTTTGAACTTCCCAAAGTTGTTCTTCTTTATCAGCATCAGCTTTTCCAACATTGACCTCTGAGTGTAGCTGATTCAGCAGAGATTCTTGTTTAGCAAGCTCCTCTTCTAGAGCAGTTGTGTCTTCTGGTAGTTCAAGAGACCATCTTGAAGTCGCTGGTTTGAGAGGGGGAACATATTTCTTGATCTGTGTATCATGGAATAGTTGAGATGATTTTGAGAATAGGATATTAAGAACTCTGTGGCTTATCTGCATTGTGGGGCTTAGCACTATAGAAACGTTTTGTAAAGTCATTTTGTTTTTCTTTTGGTGTTGAATGATGTGGGTCATGTGAACTATCATCCATGATAATAAAAGTCGGTTACAGATTGGAAGCTCTGAAATCAGTTTAGAAAATTGTTCAACAAGTTTAGCCTCATTTCTTATAGTGGATGCCTCTTCAAAACGGTTCATAAGAGCAGAGGTCAATACAGGCTCTGGTAGGTCACGTAAAAACAGTTTCAACAGACTGGCCACTATATTTGGTTCATGTTCTTCCAGATGGGCAGGGTAGCCTTTATTATAACAATCCTTCAGATGCTGGACCTTAGATTTAACACCTGAAATACGATAGATACCCTCACACTCCAACCCATATTCCTCAATATAGTCAATACATTCACGAAATATGGCTGGAAGTTCAATGCCATCATGAGATTTGTTCCTTTCAACAGCTTCAACTAAAGGTACACCAAATATGGGTTGCACTTCATCATCTAACAATTCAATGGTTCTCACTACAGTCACACGTTTTGTTTTCTTTTTGTCTTTAGATTTATGCTTCTTCTTCTCTTTTTCTTCTTTCTTGGACTCCTTATCCTTTTTCTCTTCTTTACCACCTTTTGGAAAAATATTCTTACTTGCTGGAAATTTGAAGCCAGGCTTTCCTCTTTTACCCTTATTAGGGCTCTTCATATCATTTAGACCCCCATCTGATTCTTCCTCTTCAAAAACCATGTACCCTTTCTCCTTCTTTTCTTTCTTTCCATCTTTCTTCTTTCCATCCTTTTTCTTATCATCAGTGATTTGAAACGCTTTATCACTTTCTGCACTATCAAAACTCATCTTGGTTTATTTTCAGCTGTTTGGGAATTGACAATATTTACCTGAAAATAGAAAAAGAGATTATTACCATTAAATCTGATCTTTTGTAGCTGTTAGGTACTTTCACAGAAATAATGAATTCCAATATTTTCCGAACTTTAGTTTTTATAAAAATCATAACAATTCATAGGCTACTGTACATAAATAATTACTGTGATAAAAATAATCTTAAAGCACTTCAACCATAGTTGCATCAAAAATTGCCATGTAAGAAATTTGTAGCATCAAAATTGTAAGAATTCTTAAAAGGAGAGTGTGTGTCATCATCTTGTAAACACATAACCCATTTTCTTCTAAATGTTAAACAATATTTTTTTTTTTTTCAATTTTGTCAGTTTTGTTTTGTTTTCTTATGTTGGAAGTATGAGGACAATTACATTTCATTTCTATAACCTTTCAATAATTTACCTTTTTAAAAGATTTTTAAACTATGGTACATATATTTAATTAGATATACCCTGGATTTCCACCTTTGATGTTTGTACAATTAGATGTTGTACTGGTTAAAATTGGTGTCAAAACTTTAAATAAACATTTAGCTAAAAAGTTTATACAAGTAAATATTTCTGTCTGTCTGTACTGTTGTTCAATCCTTAAAATACTTCCTGAACACTTTTTTAATATTTCCTTATTTATAATACAAGTGAAATTTAAACTAACATGACTCATAAATTATAATAACTGTAATTTTTCCTGGTGTAAACTGTTAACACTGACTGGTTTAATGATCTGAATTTTAAACTACCCTACTTTTATATTTCAAGGTTGAAATAACCCTCGTGATATTGTCTGGTAAAATTTTGGCAAATGTCTGGTACAATCTAGTTTTTGTTGGACATTTGTTGTTATTAACCCTATATTGCAGGTGAAAAAAGAGTGAATTTTTAAAGGCCTTTTTTAAATGCTTTTTTTCAATTGAAAATATCATATTTTTTCTGGTACAAAACTTCAAATAGGCGACACAAATGTATTTGTGCCAGAAAATATTTCCAGACCAATTTTCGAGAGTTATTTCCAATCTTGGACATGTTTCTCTTAAATTCAGCGACAAAAGTTTGTATTTTATCTTATTTATTGGTGAATGTTTTGATAGAAATGTTCTGCAAAAAACAAAAACTTGCGATGACAAAAGAGGGAACAAATTCCATTTTTTATATCATTAACACTTATCTTTAAACAAATGTTCAGAACTTGTAAACATGAGTTACTTGTAGGGACACAAACTGAAATAGATCAGTTGTCTGAGGATCATGTTTCAGGTTCTGTTTTAATATTTCTATCATCAATATTAGACATTTGGTCAAAAGATAGCGGATCAGGTCCAAACATGCCCCTGAGAAATTTTGGTAAAATGAGCAATTATGAAATATTTTAACATTTGTTTTAATATACTGATACTTGGTGCAATGGTAACTTTAATGAATCAATGAAGAAACAACTTTTGTGCATTGTATTGTTCTATGGTAATTTGAGAACTTAAAACATCCAACAATTTAACCAAGCAAGCTGGTAAGTCAATGATACAATCAAAGGGGGATAATCTAACATGTTTACTTGACTTTCAGACTACATGAAATGGTTAAGACAATATAGGTCAAGGTATTTTAAAAGGTAGGAAAATTCAGGTGCTCGAATTAATGAAAACTATAGGCCAAAATCTAGAATGTGTACCTTATGTTATCTGAAAATTTGAACCCCCAAAATTAAAACTGTTTTTTAATTTTTAGAATTTTTACCCTAAAGGTTTATGTAAACCTTATACAGTCGCTTTGTTTTTTGCAAGTAGATACAGGTATATAGCAATGAATATTATTTAAGAAATATTTTCATGTATAATTATTTCATACATCGGTTTTAACATTCAATAGAAATTTGCATACTACCCCTTTAAACATTACTCACAGTCTCAAACACAGTTAACACAATTAATGTCAATGACAAATAATATATCATATTATCCTTATTGCATTTTTTCATTTACAATATACCAGTACCGATAAATCAAAAGTTTAACATGATGGGTAAATAATACACTCAATAAAATAGCTTTATAGCTATGCTGTGCTGTGGTATTCCATTGCTTTATAGCAATTGTATACAGACAATGTTAACCAAGGCATATGAGATGATGTATATTGTAGGCCTAGTTGGATAGGTTTTTTTTCATAGCCTGAGTGACACATCAATGTAACTACTTGGAGACATGTCCCTGTCCCCTATGGACCAAAAGCTGATCGAACTAATGAACTAAATGTTTTACACCATATTGATTAGTTCCATACCTCAACTTCAGGCAACGCCCCCACCCCACTCTTCCAAAATGCTGGACGCAAACATCACAATCAGCAGAAATAAAAACGAATACATACCCAAGAGATTCCCTCATGATATTTGAGGAAAACATAACAAAGTGTGAGGAAGCTGAAATAGAAACCAATGAATCATGGAAAAATCAAAATAGCAGACAAAATCGATTAGAATAATTTCGATGACTAAATTTTGCTTTCAACACAAGAGGAAATAGATCAAGGGAGGTAATAAATTCGTTTTTTTGACCTTCAGACAACAATACAATTGACGGCGACAATGGATTGTCTTTATTCATTCATTTTGTTCTTTGCATCCAAACAGGGCTAGTTTTTGACCGAGTAACCAACCTTGTCACCTTCACTTGTAAATTATTTCTTTCACCCCAACTAGCTTTTGTAATTGCTTATATAAATATCATTGATTAAGATCTAAGTGACAACTATATCTTTGATTTTCACATGTGGAATGATGTTATATGACACTAGCTCTATAGACTTCTATCTTCACAATTCCAAGCTATTACAAACCGTGTCTCAAACATTGACTGCAATAGCCACCTTTCAGATTGCAGCAATTTGATTCGATTATAGGATTACGCAAAAGAATAGAGCCAATCCGAGACCTAATCATAAAGAATGTTAACATTTATGGCTTATGGTTTACGGACTTTCAATCTAGGACTCAGATTGGCTGCATTCGGCAGCGTACAAACTTACGATACAAGGAAGGTATTATCAGTTCGTAATAGCTTGATATTGTGAAGAAGGTTTACTTCGTGCCGGGAAGAATAGAAAGCTATCCTTGAAAGTTACACTGTTGTGCGTGGAGGTATAGGCCTATACGTTTTATGCAGTGGCCCTACCATACGGACTGGTTGAACCCCACCCTCAGAAAAAAATGGTTCACAATTTACGATGGGGCCTTACCAAGGGCAATAATATGTCCTCATTCAACAAATTTCCCGGGGGAGGGGGTCCATCCCACTTAAGTCGACAGGCTTCCAGTCACCTATTATAGTTGAGCCACTGGTTGTATGAAACATTGTTGCTTGAAAATCCCAATTTAACTTCTTAATGAGTGATTCAGTTTCATTGAAGTGGTATAACAGATAACAATGCCCAGAAAATCCCACGTTAATAATTTGCACACGAGCACCACTTTGCACAAAAACCTCAATATTTGTTGTATAGTCTACTTTTAATAAATTCTCGCTGTGTTAACTGGAAAAAATTTGCCCCCTCCCCTCCCCCTTTGATAATCCTGTGGTTCCTACTCGGCACCTAGCCTCTTATTCTTTATGATTCATAGAAACACCACTCATGGTATCAGAGCCAATTTGACTTTGTATCCACCATACACATTAATCGAAGAATTTTGTGAAGTAGGCATAAGCAAGATTTTTGATAATTCTTTAATGAAATATAAAATATGACAATATTTACACGTAAATTACATCATTATGCTTTGAAAACAACCAGAATCTAGACCTATAGACTACTATATGATATTATACATATTGCAACAATCTGATTGTTAGAGGACAATAGTTATGGTGAAGAGGTTAAAGGACCTCCACCTTGAAAATCGTCTATTGCGGGAAGCCGGAGAATACATTCAACACGATTTTGTAAGTAAAAGTAGAATAAATTTTTCATTTTTTATGGTCCGTGGTGGGGAAAGTGGTAGGATATGGCATTCCCAAAAAATTACTGCCAAAATACGCCACTGCCTCTATATAGGTGTCTCGAAATATTTGACAAGGAAATCGTAAGGAATATTTCTTTCGGGTGAAAAAGCATTTGTGTTTTTTCTTCCTTTTAACTATGTAATTATTACATTTGCAATTTCGGTATCAGACCAATTGTTCTTGTTATAGTAAGAATATCATATAATTACCAAGATCATGAATTGCAGAACAATTTCGTCAGATCACGGATGGTAATGGAGTCAATTACAAAGAAAAACATATTTTTATATTTCAATCAGATTGGCAGGTTATCTAACAATGCCTACAAAGATCAATTCAATTTAATAAAGTTTTTCTCGACATGACGACGATAATTTACTTAGCAATCAAAAAGAGACACGAATCTGAAATCATATCAATATGCAAGACTGAATTTAAATGTTGAAAGAGATTCATTTACTACTGGTTACAGCATATTCAAAGTTGGAACATAGCTTGAATACTACTACTATCTATTCTAGTATGAATTTTGACACATACAATATAACAGTTTCAGCTTATAAACAGAAAATTATATCTAGTAAAAACGTTAAAATTGTTAAAAAGGAAATAAAAATGATGTGATCGAAGACATTGCAAATCTTTAAAAACAGAATTTTAGGTAGAAAATACCTGTTAATATATGATAGTTTAGATCAAAAGTATACAAGGCTTGTATAAAATGATTTGATGTTAAAGCTCAAGAACTTTTTCCTGAGTATAATCAAGACAAGGCTTTCGTCAGATTAGGCTTTTAATCATCCATATTAAACTAAAGCTATCAACTTCAACTAAAATAACAATTAATGTGTTATATCTATTAACTTTACATTAGGCAAGTAGCAATTCACAATACAGTTGGACTTCACCTAAATGCACATTTTATTCTGTTATCGGGTCATTTGCTAAATGTAGAAAAATATGCTGTTCACCATCTGAGATTAAAATAGCACTATGTCAGTGGTAGCATTAAATTCCACAATGTCTCGCAAAGTTTTAAAGATATTGAAAACAAAAGTTTATACTATGTATTCAAGGTGTAGGATGATGTATTGTCTAGAATCACAAACTTGAATGTCTTCACACCTTTTCAAAGCAATTTTATTGAAAAAACACGTAGTGGTTAAAATCGTTACTACGTCATGTTAGTATGGTATGGTGCTTTAATGCTTTTGGTTTAGTTTGGTCCATTCTGGTACATTCAATTTCCATACCACCCACACATCACATTTTTCTATGGCACAATGCAAGTATATACAAGATTAGGGTATTAATTCAATCTCTTTGTTGGTGTTTAGAAGGTTGAATAAATATATATTTACACATATTGGTAGCATTCACCCTACTTACACATTTTCGCAAACGGCAGTTGGAGAGTATTTTAATGGAACTTGGAATGTGTTCGTTTTCTAATTCAAGTCAAATGGTACCCGCGTTCGGGGATCATTCAGAACTGAAGATCATCCCACATGGACTCAAAGAGTTTCCCTGCTTTCAATATGTCGATTCCAGATAATGATTCACTCCATTCAAAATCCAATATTGGAAAACAAAACCGCATATTATTCCCACCATAATTCACGTTAAAAAACGACGCAATTGAATTGTCATTGATACGGTGCGACACTGATATTCAAATGTGATATACATTTTTTTGTTGCAGTTTAACCAAACTACAGTTCACTGGTCATTTGGTTGGTTCCACGGTTTAATCTAAACGTCTCCATCTCTTTATCTAAGTCATTGACAAATAGTCTATCATCATGGAGGTATTCTAAAGCCGGGTCAATAGGTGGCGTCTTTTTGAAATTACTCACTGGTCGAAAATATATTGGACGATTTGGCTGAAATAGACGAAAATGAGTAGGCCTATCTTACCTGATGAATTCAGACACCGGGTTAAAATATATATTAAAAGAAATAATTTGTTAATGAGATCAATTAATGAACCAAACAAGCCAAAGGAACAATACAACAAAAATGAGGTAAAGCATCGATGCTTATTTCAATGCCACTCATTTGTAAACAAGTTCATTGATTTACAAGAAAAAGCCGGAGAATCATCAAAGGCAAACATTTAAGTGAATACAAATAAATTATGAAGCGGACGTCAGAGTGAGCATCCGAATATAATTACCTTTTCAGACGTTCTCAGCTCAACACTATTTCTTTTCCTGAAACCAAGATAAATACGGATTGATTATGAGATTAAACTTAAAAATAGTTCCCCTTACTCTTACTCTTTCTTACATGTACTGTAAGAGATCAAATATGCATCGATAAAAATATTTCCAAGAGTATACATATAACAGTCCTAGTATTTTATGACTGACACAACTAACAAACAACCCGATTATCACTCTGAATCATAATAATTAACCAATACCATTCTGAAACTAACCTCAATGGAAGATAATATCTGGTTCTTGGATAGAATCAATAGACTTACCTTAAATATATGATTAGTAAAACAAATAATACTGTTACGATAATTATAGCTGCTAAAACACCGACTGCAATTTTCAACCTTTCATTTTCTCGCTCAAGTTGCATTACTAAAATAAAAAAAGAGAAGTGTCAAATGGTACATAATTTGTATACACCTGGCCACTGGTTGAGTTATGTAAATCAGCCGAAGAATTGAAAACCATAGCAATTGTCCATTGGTACTATAATCTTTAGAACACAATGTCACTTGCTGAATAAACACACAGTATACAGCTAAATTACAGCTAAATATATTTTCAAGCTGAATTAAACGGTGATTGTTGTTCCATTACCAACACCTATTCGAAGTTTTATGTAAGCTAGGTTAAATAGAACCATAGAAAGAACCAAATACAGCATTTCACTGGACACTATTTTACAATGGGTATGGTTCACTAGATTGTTATGGTAAATGACCAAAGCTATACCACAAGCCACTTTTTATCTTACCCTTTTCTTCATAAATCTTTTCACCCACGTCATTGGATGGTGGATAAGCCTCATTTTCCTCAATCGTGGTTGGTTTGGCAGTAGAAGTAGTCTGGGCTTGCGTAGTAGTAGTGGCTACGATAGTTGTAGTTGGTGGCGAGGTCGGAGAAGGAGTCGGAGATGGAGTAGTCGTTGTAGTCGTTGTAGTCGTTAGGATAGTAGTAGTGGTAGTAGGAGCTTCGGTCGTATTCAGAATTGTTGGTGGAATTGTTGGAGTAGTAGTTGATGGAGTAGTCGTGGGAGTAGTCAAAGGTGTAGTCGTAGGAACTGGAGTTGTGTTAGCTGTACTTGAAATTGTAGTGGTTGTTTCAGGTTGAGTAAAAGGTGAAGTTGTTAGAGCAGAAGTTGATGCAGCGGCTGTAAATGTCCCTTGCGGACTAGACAGGGATGTCGCTGCAGACGAAGCGACGTCATTGCCACTAATGACTTTCAGATTAGCATAATTTAAAACAATTACCACTAAAATATAAGAAAGTACAATATACAGCAGAGGCAAGCATGTAACAATCAAGTGGTAATGATATTAAACTGAAAAGTAGCACACATGGAAATTAACACGCGACAGCATTTAAAAAGAAATAGGATATAAAATCAATCTGTTGCCGATATCCATTATGCACGACGTTTGATCGAAATTGATATTTATTACTGAAATGATTTAAAAAAACATTCTTTTTTTTTACCAAATACCAAATTCGATAATCAAGTATAATGTTTAGGGACGGATGCCCGTATTAATTCGGAAAACTGCTTAAGACTTAAAGACAAATCAACCAATCTAAAGCCATTTCGTCTACAATGATGATGGTTGACAAAACATCCGCTTTGATCACCGTCTGATTCTCATCATGCCCACAACTTGTGGTTTACCCACCTAATAATAACCGGTTCAAATCTGCAGATTTCATTGTTCAGAACTAAATGCTTTTGGCATCATCTATCACCAGAATACCAGAACCGTTTCTTCATTATTAGATCTGGAAATTATTAAAGGAATTATTAGATCTGGAAATTATTAAAGGAATTATTAGATCTGGAAATTATTAAAGGATATTCTTAGATCTGGAAATTATTAAAGACATTATTGACCTGGAAATTATCAAAAAGGCATTATTGAATCTGGAAATTATTAAAGGAATTATTAGATCTGGAAATTATTAAAGGATATTCTTAGATCTGGAAATTATTAAAGACATTATTGACCTGGAAATTATCAAAAAGGCATTATTGAATCTGGAAATTATTAAAGGAATTATTAGATCTGGAAATTATTAAAGGAATTATTAGATCTGGAAATTATTAAAGGAATTATTAGATCTGGAAATTATTGAAGGATATTCTTAGATCTGGAAATTATTAAAGGATATTCTTAGATCTGGAAATTATTAAAAGGCATTATTGACCTGGAAATTATCAAAAAGGCATTATTGAATCTGGAAATTATTAAAGGGCATTATTAGATCTGGGAATTATTAAAGGATATTCTTAGATCTGGAAATTATTAAAAGGCATTATTGACCTGGAAATTATCAAAAAGGCATTATTAAATCTGGAAATTATTAAAGGAATCATTAGATCTGGAAATTATTAAAGGAATAATTAGATCTGGAAATTATTAAAGGATATTCTTAGAACTGGGAATTATTTAAGGTTAAAATTTTACAATAAATTTATTATGAACTAGATTAGATTCTAATCTGGAAATTATTAAAGGGCATTATTATATCTGGAAATTATTAAAGGTCATTATTATATCTGGAAATTATTAAAAGACAATATTACATCTGGAAATGGAAAATCATTAGAAGAGCGATATATAAATTTTAAGCCCGAACCTGAAACATGTTGTTACCGAGAGTTTCGCGTTGAGTGATCTTCAGACAATAAGTCATAACATTATACGTACCACAGTTTGAATAGCAAAGGAAGTTCTTTAAAATATGGAACGGGTCTGACATTACTTATAATATAGAATTAAGGAACAGGTAATTAAACATATAATTATCATTGAGTTAATATTTCAGCTAGGGAGAATAAAGAAATAAAGGCAAGTTTTATTCACGATAATAATGTATGTGTGAAATATGTCGACCTTTGACCAGACACCTGTTTAACATTGTTTTATATGGTATCAGATGACATGCGCATGAATTGATGAGCTTTTATTGCCAAATATGCTATGAATTTGGGACTATTGGCTTCGTTCATCATCACAATATAATGTCAAACTATTACGAACTTCTTTTTATACCTTGACTACACCTCCCCAGGACCATGGATTGCAGCAATATGATTCGATTGTACGCCAGTGAATACAGCCAAACATTATAGCTTTTGATAGACAGAATGTAAACATAATGGTTTATTGTTTACAGACTTTATGTCAAGGCTGCATTCGCTAACCCAATCAAATCGTGGAAACTACAAACTTCTGTGATGAGGCAGCGTGGTGGCGTTTGCAATCAAGGTATAAGCCTGGCATGTGAAGATGGGCTTTGTTTCGTTATGACACACATTACCAACTACGTATCATTGATACAATAGAATTATTATGATTGAAAGCAAAATCTGCTGAATCCTAATTAGGGAGACGATGTTTCCATAGTATAACTGAAAATGTTTTAAAATTAACCCTAATTAAATTGGTCGTTTGCACAATTTCATTTTCAAAAACGTTAATCATATTGAATTTTTTTTCTAAAATATGCTATATACTATGTTCCTCTTTGATCATCCTTTCTCTCTATGTGCACGCTAAAGATCCCTCGACAGTTTAAATGGAAAAAGAGCAGGCTAAAGCCGCTGTCATGGCAAAATTTTCCTAATTGTACCCTGCATGGCGTTGCCCGTCTTCATAACTCCAATAAAAAAAAGCGATTTTGAAACGTATCGTGAACCTTTTAAATAGTTTTGCCGTTTTAAACATCCACAGCAAGATACTTTAAATAAGAAACAATTAGATAAGGTAAGGGGCTTTTTTTAGATTTCATTAATTTAAACACCAAATTTTCTGACTGCCCCTTTAATCAAATTCTATATTTTTGCTGGCATTTATATTGTATACACTTGATCCCTAAATAGAAACTATAAACATGTGAAAACAGGTATTGAAGTTTTTTTTATAACATGAAATTACTTTGTTAAAATTTAGTCATCATGTTATGATTTAAACAGGAAACGAAGACCTGTATTACAACTCATTCTATAATAATAACATCCCGACCCGACCTGCTTTATACAGAGTAGTATTATACATTCCCATTGCATTCTATTCTATTCATACTAACTAAATAGACAGGGTACATTTCGGGTCGCTATTTAAAGTTTCTGAGCCACAAGAGGACATTTTAAAGATTCTAAACCACGATTGGAGACTTTAAAGATTTTTAAAGATTCTAAGCAATGAGTGAAGATTTTTACAATGTTTAAAGATTCTAAGCCACGGGTGAAGATATTATAGATTTTAAGCCACGGGTGAAGATTGTAAAGATTCTAAGCTACGAGTGAAGATTTAAAAGATTTTAAGCCTTAGTTGAAGATTATAAAGATTCTTAGCTACAAGATTCTAATCTACAGTTGAAAAGATTCTAATCTACGAGTAAATGAAAATTTAATTAGTAGAATATGTTGAACTTAACTCTATATATACTTAGTTAAAAAAAATTACATCGAAATTCAGTTGAGTTCTGTGTGTAATCTGATTCATGTTAAATCTAACAAATTGGGGTCGTAATCAAAACCCCAGTAAGAAGTCAGGAGAAACACCATATTATATTGTAAAATATAGGCTAGGAAACTTTAATAGATAAATGTCTGATTGTAATAAAAGATTGGGGATATTAAACTCATACACCGTAAAATTATCGTTTTATTTTTTTTTATTTCATAACATTTCATAATCTTTATCTTTGTACACTGGTTATTTTATGTGCTTTTAGGTATATGCCGAGAAATTATTAACATATAACAATTGAAATGGAATGTAGAAAAAATTGGTAATTTCAGTTCAAAATCCAAAGAAAGTAGGCCAACGAATATGTTTATAAAATAATTATTGCATCGTTTTTGTATTCATTCAAAATATTTCTAAAGGATAGAATAAAAACAGAACTTAACTATATTTCAACACTAATCAAACTAAGAGACATTGGCAGAGAAGATCGTAAGATGTAAAAAATGTGATCGAGATTAATAACTGAATTATTTCCCTTTAATCTGCTATGACAATAATATGAGCTCAAACGGTAAAACATGTTGAGCACTATCAGCTAAGGTTAGAGAATGGAAATATGACAATTTGAAAATAAAGATTATGAAGATCAAGAGAAGTTACAAGGAATAAACTAGAAGTTTTGTTGTTGTTGTTTTTGTTTTTTTTTAATATAAAAATACACGCACTATCAGCTTAAACCACTCGGGTTCCCAAATGCTTAAATGCCTAAACATATTTATCTCGCATAATTTCAAAGAATGTTTTCATTGATAAACCAGTGGAACTAATTATTTCATATCATATCTGTGAATCTGTATTTCGTTTAAATCACGAGATTCCACCCACATAGACACACAAGCTTCACCCCACCTCCTTTTCAACCATATCTTCAACAAACACAAACATACCTCCTATACTATTACATGATTTGCGAGTCAGCTGTTGAGATACATTGATTATTCCCAAAAGCTTAGGACAATATTGTACTGAAACTAAGCATTATCTGAAAATGATTTCTTCTTTAACAGCTGTGCTGTAAGATAAATATATTTAAGCTTATTACCCGCTCTCTACTCCGGACAAAAATGGGCTATAAAATAAAAAATATACAAAAAACCGGTAAGGATAAAAGGTCAGATGAACAGAAGAAAAAACAAAGTCATGAATATTCACAATCATTTAATGTCAACAACATCTTCACAAACTGCAAACTGAAACTAGTATTATATTTCCACAAAGTATTCGTATCCTGAAACCGGCACCTGTTCCGCAAAATGACTACTAGTCCCATGAGCGTCGTTTAAAAATGATATTTTTGTTAACACCTATATGGCCTAAGTAAAACATAACCTAAATAATATGTGAAATTAAATATATGTCGTGTTTCTCTGTGTTATGTAGATATTTATAAGCCAGTGAAGCGTGCCTCTTTATAATGGTTGCAAAATATACTCAAATTCTTTAACATAACTTTTGACACGTTAGCTAATTTAACAAATAATCTTTTAAATTCTAAACTCACTTTATACAGAGGTGAAAGTATCTTCAGAGCACAGCCGTTTTCATCCATTTGCTGTCTTCTTTGCTGGTAATTCAAGCCTTCCGTTCACTAAAACGTTAATAAGTACACTCTATAAAACATCATTGGATGAACGGGACATAGTGATAGCTTAGTCACCGTTAGTAGGGCATACACGACATGGGTTTTAATGAAGGGGCTCACAACATTCAATTCACACACACACACACACACTCATTGAATAGTGCAAGTTTAATGCAGTGGCGTCCCTTAAATAAAATAAACTAAAGTGATAAATTAAATGTGAAGTTCACGTACCTGCTCTGACCTACTTAAAACTATGGTATATGAGGTTGATATTGCCCGGTTTGATATACCTACACGCCACGATATATAATTACCTCTTTTGTCACAGTATACATTTTATTTCGGGTTATGTGACACTGTGTATTTCTGACTAAAATGTGAAAAAACTCATATTTTAAATGGGAAATAAAAGATGTTTTTTATAAATCTATTTGTGTAAGATTTATAGAGATTTGTATCACTTATTCGAATCATTTGTTGACATCATTATTGAAAGTTATAAATACAATTTTGAAGATTTGAGAGGAAATTAAACAACCAAACGGGTATTCATTGCTAATTACCCCAGAACACATTTTTAACAAGTATTTTTTAGCAAATATTTCATATCGAAATACGATTATTTTGCTATCTTAATTTAATAAATGAGATGCTGTGTTACAATGAATGATTGTTAAACTTTAAGACACCCAATGTAATTGGTGGTCTGAAAGTGAGTTTTCCTTTCGAAGTTGAAAGTGACATCTGATATTCAAACAGCAATCAGCAGTCGGCTAGAATCAAATATCAAGTCCATTATAAAGAGTCTATTAAAATGAAGTGTTAGAATAGTAAATAATGAGCCCAATATTTACTCAAACTGACCGCTTGACCAACCGTTTAAATATCATTATCTTTCCACGATCAATCTCATTGATAGCCCCCAGATCAACAAATACAATCTTAATTTAGCTTTGTTTACTTTTTCACTTTTATTTAGTCAACTAGGCTTTGATGCTCTCTGTCACTTGAAGGACATTTGCCAATGGTCAAGGGGATAATAATTTTTTAATATTAACATCTAGGCCTACTGCTTATAAAACTATCGTTGCAGTCTTTAAGAGATCAAAATGAAATTTGATATACTCTGAATTGTGAAGATATATATTAATGTAATCATAGGCTTGAAATTTAATCAGAATGTCCTCGTATCATGGCGAGGTCAAGGAAAATGACAAAAAAAACTGCTGTCAAGAACTCACAAGTTGTTAAAATCACATCGAAAAATAGTTTTAAGAGATGGAACCAAAATACCAAACTCAGATCATATATTTCAACCCAAACCTCATGTTAGTTTACCTACTTCAAGGGCAATAGCTAAAAAAATATCGAAAATTGCGCTTATCTAGATCCCATCGATATTATGTTCCTGCGTATCAGCTTTTGTCACTATCCAATCGTGTGCCTCGATGCATCTTTAAAAGTTCTGTAAAAATCGTAATTCTTCAAACTTTGGTTAAACAGATTTACCTCCCTTTGCTACAGAAACAAACAATGTGAAATAACCTAATAAGAATTATAACTATTATAATTAGTATATCCTATTATTAATCCTTTTTCTTATCAAACCAAATAAACATTTCCTTAAAGTTAAAGACCTTGTCAAAAATGAAAAACCCTTCGCCACTTGATATCAAAAAGTTATTCATACAAACCTCAAACAACCTCTGTACCAAACTCCTTCATAGTACATGTGTAAATGAGTATTTACTAATGACTAAATAATTTGAAAATGAATCAATTGTCGTCACGTCTGCAAGATCCCTTCAACGAGGTATTGTAGTCATGGTGTCATACCTTTAATCGCTTAGCATAGCTCTTTGGTTGAAGTGGTTATGATGAAAATTATTATCTGTGCAAGTTCTCAAGTTTGGAGGATAGTTCTCAAGTATAGATAGCTCAATGTTGACAGGAGAATTGGGCAGGACTTAAGCTGACAATTCTCATTATTGAGTTCTTTAATGCACGACCCCCCCCTAAACATTAACGTATCCCCCACTCGGCTTCACGTGACTTAAAGAAACGCTTCCGCCTATGCTTGGAACAACCAAAAAACCACGTAACCATGTGATAGTAATTGGCCACCATTAAACACTCTGTTATGTTAAAACTTTACTCTGGACGATTTGATTGTTGTGATCAACCCTTTGTTTGTTGAAAGCCTTCGAAAGCCATCTAATAGTGTTATCTTTTCACCTTTTTTGATCGATAACATAGGTCTTGAAACTGAAAATTGTATCGGAATTATTCGATTTCATGCCTGAAAATCAATTTTGCCATGACAACCAAAAGATTTCATTGTTCCTATTGTTGTTCTAAAACTTCTTTAAAAGCTTCAGATAATAAAACTTTTGCTTAAATTTCCTTTAGATTTGTGTTGTATTAAAATTTTATCTCTAGAAATATTTCAAAACACAGACATAGATTGAAGTGTGAATGTTCTAGATCAATTAGGAGATGAAGATATTTAAATGTCAGCTCCAATGAGTTCTTCAGCCGGACTATACTTCATAGAATGCATCAGGAAACACTCAAAACATAATAAAAACTAATAGCACATTACATAAATTAAACTCAGTAACAGTACACTTTCTAAACATAATAAACCTCTGTCAGTGATGCAGGTATGAGGGGCTGGCATGGAAAAAGCATCTTGTCGTTCGGATGGCCTTGTCTGATGCAGTTTGAAATCGAAAAAGGGCAGGTTGTCCTGGCAAAATATCCCTCATTGCACCCTACCTGGTGTTGTCCGTCTTCATTGGCCCATACAGTACAGAAAAGAAGGATGTAATACTCCATTCATTTCATTTCATTTTTAAAACATTTAAAGAAGTTATTTGATCAACGTACTAGTACAGTATGTTAACGTATGTAGGCCATCATCATAACAACGAACGATTCAGACAAAACCATTTCGTACTGACAACATTTTCGTACATTGGTCTCAGGAACAGCAATCCTGGTTCACGGATCACGAGAAAACGCGAGAGGACAGGATAGACAAATATGACAGACCGTAGCTGCCGCGGAAGCCGGACCAAAATTTCAAACTAATACGTAATTCGAAAAACAAAACTTGGAAGTGGTCCGTAGTGGTCTTGCTTCCTAAACGGCTCATTGTCCGTCATACCCAAAGAGAGATAGATTTTCATATGGTTAATTATTCTTTGTAGCATCATGATCGGTATCCGAGTTGAATAAAAAACTGAAACCTGAACCCGCTATTTCAGTCTGCCTTAAGATTGATTCAATTTTTATTATCGTACAGTATCATTATGTTGTTAGTATTCATCAATTATTAATCGATCATAGTTTCTTCATCATTGATATGGCTAATCATAATTAATTATACATTCCATAATAATGCTAAACATTTATAAAGGGAGCCGTGGTGACTCGGTGATCGCATACCTTTCAGAGGGGCTGACATGCATAAAGCATCTCATCGTTTGGAATGGACAATTATTCCTATAGATCAATTTAAATTGCTTCGGGTTGCCATTTCCCTATCAAGTTTAATTGAAATACTGCCATTCGGGAAAGTTTTGCTTATTTTATATTTGAAAGAACTCAAGAAGGAGATCGATATCACAAAAATTTCAACGTGATATGCGAATGCAATAAGTTTTCCATCGGCATATTTCATTTAATGCAATATGTAACTTCGATAATATGTAAATTAGGAATAAAATCAATGATCCTGTATCAATAAACGTTATCTGTGTTGACAGAAGTTATGTAAACTTTATTTCAATGTAAAATATCAAATATGAGAAAAGCAAGATGTGTTTGTATTTCATTGGTGTCCACTCAGGGAGAGAATTAAAAAAAAATCCATAAAGCGTTCCTGGAACCGGTTTTAAAACCAAGATATAAAACAATCAATATCATCTATAAACGTTTGATACCAAGTCTTATTGGTTTATATACAATCTGGTTGTAGAGTCGTTGCATTTCGAATAGTAACTTTCAGATACAAGATCTCCCGATGTAACTAATCACTGATTGGGTTAAAGTGCAAATTTACTCTGATATCCCGTTTCTGTGTGACCATGATTATCATTCAATGTATATTATATATACGCGTTGTGGCTATCAAGGTCATGACATTCTCACCCTTACATCCGATGCTACTCGTCTCTGCTATACCTTTTCAGAGAGTTCACATAGCTGACCTGTTCAATTCAATCAAAAACGAAAATTGAATCACTTATAACTGACAATGTCAAAAACAAATTTTAAAAGGTTATTTTTATTTTTCAGATAAATATCATTTAAAAACAATCTATCTTCAGGTGATTGTTAATATACCCATGTGAAAACGAGTGACATTGAATCAGGTGCAAATATATCCAAACAGATTATAATAGATTACGATAAAATTCAAATTCCATCGAATTGCCTATCGCATGGATAAATAACTGGTTTAGTTATTTTTCTTAACAATTTTGTCCAGTTCTTTCCATGAACTGAAACCCATTGGCAAAACTTTGATTGAAGAATTCGACAGTTTATTTCAAGAAACCGAAAACAATTAAAATCCTACCCTTTACTTTGCACCAACTTCTAAACATTTTCGTGACAGATTTCAACCATTACCACTTCGCCACGATCATTATTCAAGACCAATTATGAATAGCCAATTACTACAAAGATTCGATTGTTTATCATACCTTTAACGACATGTATTGATTGTTGGCGTCCTGTAGCCTCAAGTTGACGTGGGACCCGTGGCGTGATGGGTTTCCAGTCTACAGTTGACTGTTAGAACCCAGCAGAAAGACCAAGTTTCCCTTTAGTAATTGGTAGTTTTATTCCGTCCATCTGTGAAAATGGCGAATTGTCGCCATGATTTTAAGTTGATTTTCCTGGTTTTCTGTATTTTATCAGGTGAGATTTTATATTTTAAGACAAACTGTTTCAGTTTCTGAGATATCTTAATAATTTAATACTTTCATAGTTCCCAATGGTGATAATTTTCCCTCACGGCCATTAACATTAAATGCGCGACAAATTCAACACTTTTTGGATGTATACCGCCATATAGTTACTAACGACTTTGAATATTGCTGCAATTATGAATTTGTTCGAAAACAATTGGACCATTTAATAGAGTCAAACACTGTTCAGAAGAATCTCTAAAATTGAATAATTGTACTTCATCGAACAATTTGTTTGTACACAATTTATTTAAGATGATTTCTATATTTGAGAGTCAAACAAAGACCAAAAATGCTAATTCTTAATGAAAAAGATAAACCCGCCTTTAATTCATTTCATGTAATTTTTTTACAAATAACCTAACTTTTAGTTGAGTATAGGCCTATGTATATTTCTTATTCGGTTTATTGAGATATTCTCTTCCGTCTTCTTACATCTCTGAAAAAAACTTGATATTTCAAAAGTCACGTCTGCGTTTTCAGATTCACAAGGAAATTGCTTCCGATCTACTAGAATCGACACAAATTCTGATATTAAATTCGTGATGTTAAAGGTACGACAAAAAATTCGATGAAATCCGATTCCTTGTGAAAACCTTTATTTAAATGATTACGTTAACGTTGAAAATCATAATAAGTTTCGTGCGCGAATTTCAACAACCAAAAGCGCAATTTTTTTTTAAATCGGTACATAACCAATCATGCTAAAGTTAAGGTAAAGACGATAGCTTTGACTTTCTTCAGGAACATAACAATACAAGGGAACATAATTGAAAAACCAGTAACATAAGGTGGTGAATGTTTGTGACAGTTTATTTTTAGCTGGTAACACCCTAATGAACATGGTGCTATTATGTGATAAACAATAGTCAATATATCTATAGCATTCATTGTTATAGGTTATTATATTACAGGATCTTTTGGGAATCCTACAGACTATAATTGATAATGTGAAATACACAGTTTGCTATTTTCATCATTCTATTCCTATTTCAATGAAATTCCAATACAAGGCCAATATACCTTGATCTTAAGGATTAGAGGCGAACTATTATACATGCTTGAAAGATAAAAGGACTATGCTTGACCATTCTTTCCAGCACTCACCAACTCTTTTTGGTGCTCTGAAAAGCAGGATGTCATTCCATGCGGAAGTTCATATGTGCACATTTAATTGTACTTAAATGAAAATTAAACTTGAAAAAATATTTAAAAAGAAAAGGAGACAATGCATGTGTATGTGGAGCTGTTTATATATTATACATAATACATATTATTCAGCCCAGTGTGCCAAGGTGGGCGGCCGCATTTGCATGGGGGACAATAGCTGATAGAGATTGATTTCAGCTTCAATTGAGAATTTGTTCAAATATATTTCCAGGGGGACCTGATATACAATATAACACTTAAGCTAGTTTTACGATATTTTTTTACAAAAAGAGCCACATGGTTGAATACTATCCGCAGCTACTAATTATCTGTTTCTTTGACAGCAGTCTAATTTATACTATCATTAAATATTAAACAATTAATATGCATACATAGCCTTACCTTAACTCTTTTTCAATGATGTGGAACATTTAACGGGAATCCAACAAATAATCATTAGGTATATAATTCAACCATGAACGAAAGAAATATAGAAATATAATTACTAAAGTGATATTATGATAAATGGATATATTGCATGTTATTCTGTAACATGACCAAATAAGGCAATGGTTAGTCATTTATAGGCTTGAGGTATATCCCAGTCGGTCAAATTTATTTGCTAATGGTAATTCAGTATAATTAATTAAATTGTATATTAATGTATCGAAACACTACTTAAAATCAAAATATATTGTAGCTCAATCCTAGAGGACTGCGATTCTATCAAAATGTATGTTAGCAAAGGTGAATATTTGTTAAGATAGTGGAATGACTAATATGAAGGTCCCATGAGCTATACCCTATTCATAGATCCACAGAAAAAGATAAATCAACCCAAGTGATACCCAGAACAACCCCTATTGTAAAGCTATCCAGAATCACACAATACCTAATACGGTTTGTGTTCATATCAAACCTTATAACCAAAATAAACTCTCTTACAAAGAGTAATAATATTGCATAAAACAAGAAGATGGAGAAATAAATAGAGGTTATCGAATCGAAGATTTTGCAAAATATAACAAAAGAATAAATATCCTGCATTTTCTGCTTCAATATGGTATTCGTGGAGTATTCCTCCTAATTCTATCCAGATCGATATATAGAAATTTTAGATTCACAATATTAGGATTTGCATGTTTTAGCAGAATTGTTCATTTCCTATTGTCGGAATTTTCAACTATCCGCCTAAAATTGATACTGTACAGTGGCAGTAACTTTAAACCATCAAGGTGGACGAGGTTGACCTAGCAACTGCCAGAATCCGAGAGCAACTTGGTTGTCGATGACTGTCAGCAACTGGTAGCATCTGAAAGAATGTATTATATAACTGGATTCATTCAACTTAAGCGCACTGACTACCAAAAATCGTTGTTGCTACCGGCTGCTCATTGTACTTGTTCTACTTTCTCTTAAAAATTCAATCAGACTGCTAGTCGACCTGCAGAGCTTTTAGAATATGCGACAAAGTAGTAAAATTGATTCTTTATGTTACTAGTTGGTCAATTTTGATATCAGCTTCCGTTGTGTCGACTGCGATGCATCCAGTTTAAATCGCCATTCGATCTGAACCAACCTTAACGGTGACTGAATCATTGTACATATTCATAACATGCAACCGGTTAATAAAAACACTCTAGAAAAGTCAACCATAGAATCAATAAAACATTAAAACACCGTTAAACTACTGTCAATCACAATCTGAAAGAAAATCAGTGTGATATAATATCAATAACTATGTCACTTCCGGTAAATGGACAGTTCTAGATTTACATGAAAGATAAACAAAAAGTCAAACATAACAATGAGACAAAAAAAATGGAAGATAGTGGAAGAGTAAGTCATATAAGATAATCACGAATTTTGGTTTGACGATACGATCAAGAGCTTCGTGTCTAAAAATAGAGGTATCTGATGATAATATGATCTTATTCCGTGTCATATTAAAATGCAACTTTGGGCGAAAATTAAAATAAAAAAACGGAAATTTATGATAATCAAAAGTGATAATATTCGCTGACCAATCAATCAGAAAGAATGTTAGAAAGATACTGAAATTTTAACATTCTGTTGAAATTTGATTATCTGAATTCTGACTATTAATAGATTGCTGCCATCCTGGATCTACTCATGAATTCTAGATTTGTCTGATTATTCATCTCATCATTATCTCTAATCGAAAATTGATATTGAAATTAATTAAACACGATATTATCTGTAAATGATGGTATTTTAGACATTCAGCATAATACTCAGTTGCGCTGAAAGCACAGAATTAGATTTCGAATTTCCTTTTTTAATGAAGATTTAATATAATTCTATGTAGTTCTGGTTTTAATCAAAATCCATACCATTGATCTGTAGTGTTTGTTGTCCTCTGTGAAAAGAAAGTTACGGATATTGGTTGAAGTGGACTATTTATATGACGTAGTTTATGTATTGTCAATTAGTTCTAACGGAAAGGAAAACATAATTCTTATCACAATTTCTTGCTGATCGATTTATAACTAATCATACTTGTGTAGAAGAGCTTGGAAAGTATCGTACTGTATAATGTACAAACTCTGATAAGAATGACTGGAAAGAGGACAGATTTCAATAGATGTCATATTCAAACAATAAGAAGCTTACGACAATGTTCTGTACCACAACCACTGGGCAACGTATAAGAAATGAGCAGGAACCGTATTGTTAATGTGGCTGCTAAATGAAAATGATCCCGTATTTCTCATTAAGCTTCTATTCTAAAGACATCAGAATTTGTGCATTGAACAGTGTCTACCAAGACGTAGTGGATCAGATAAGGCATTTATATACGATCACTAAAATGCAGGAAATGCTTGGTTCAAATAGCATTATTTATAATTTTATATATTTATATAATATTCAAATTTAATGATTCCCCATTGAAGCCTTGTTTCCATGGCAGAATATTCTACTATTGAACTTATTGTTATGATTCGGCGAGGGAAACAATCCACGTAGAAGCCAGGACATACCGATATATGAAAATCGATAAAAAACCAGTTGCGATAGAAATAAGAGTTAATCGGATTTTCAGGTAAATTGAAAAGACTATAAAGAGAATATAAAGAATATCGCTACATAACTCTAAATAGATCTAAAACAATACCATACAAATCAATATAGGATACAATCGAAACATGTTGAATACAAAACTGAAGCCGAAACGAATGTCTCTAAAAGAGTTAACTGAGATGATATAATGATCCCAGTTAAGGATCGAAAATTTTTCAAACCAACTCAATTTGACATCAAACTGGGCATATTCGTGACACACTACAAAGTTGTATCTTTTCAAAAGTAAAATATAAGGAGATTGTTTCCAAAGAACTAAAATTTGGCCCATTCCTGACAATTTCGTGACGTTTCCTAGCGTAGAAGTGGGCTTCTGGACTAAAACGTTTCCTATATTTTGAGATAGAATATGGTGTAATTGGCGCAATATCGGGTAGATTCCTCGCATACCTTCAGTTGGCACAATAAAACATAATAGATTATCATTTCGACATATGACGAGAGACAAAATTACCTGATCTAAACAAGTTTGTATACAGCCAGTTTTCAAGTTCATCATCAATCAAGAAGTCATGACATTAAAACCCGATAGAATTATCTAAAGAATTTTATGTTTTCAATATTTACCGTTATTTCAGTAATCGATTGCCGTTGTCTTGTTGTTGATTTGAAGGAACTCGCGATCTTAAAGATATACATTTAGACAATGGTTGGTTTAAGATCTAATGAGATTGCATTTCTTTTATATCGTATGGGAACAATGTTTTAAAATGGTGATCAGGGAAACAAATTTAAATAGGGTATAAAATCTATATTGGTTTCAACTTTGTACTAACAACGTGTATCAATGTTAACACTTATTCTGACAAAATATAAGTAGCTATAATTATTGAAGCATTATTGTATTTGGTGCACGTAGTCTTACTCTATATATAGGCTGTTTATGGTCATATTATGTAAAGGTATAAATTTCTGAGGGTAATTGTGAAGCCTCACAGAATGTGTTTTTACTTCCGCACGAACCGAATAATAATACATAGATTCCAGGGGTAATATTGACTCCTTTCACCTTTATGATAACAGAAGGTGTAACAAAGGTGTCAAAACGTTGCTGAAATTGATTCCTTAGTAATGTTGCTATGGGATTGACATATCATAACAAAGCTGAGCTATCTCTCAAATCCCGCGACAATTGGAAGTTGAAATAGGGTAGACTTACTCAGATGAAAGTTTTTGAATTTTCCATTGCATAAGGTTAATAATATTGTTATAAAAAGTATATTATTGTTATAAACAGATTCGACATTAGATTCAACAACAAACTATCCTTAACGCCTCTTTTTTTATTGATGCTGATTTTCCTACTTTTTTCTTTCAGTAACACTAGCTGGAAGGTAAGTTTATATTGTTGATTCCGTCACTATAGAAACGTTTTCATTGCTTCTATTGTTCTTGGTTGAATAAACAATTTAACATTTATATCTCTCTATTTGAATTTATGTACGTTCTATGTAGTCATCCAGTCGATTTAAAAAACACATCAAGTAAAATGTCATGCATTCGATCTAGTTAGAAAAATATTGATCCCGTTAAAAGTGTTATGAAATGAACATGATTTCCGGAGTGCTCTTGAATAAATTTGAATATTTTATATGACACCTTTTAGTACTAAATCTCAGAGTGACTAACTAAGCTTTTAGTGCACCCTGTGTGGTGTTATTTACCCTATATGACTAGATTAACAGAATGTTTATTATGAAGCTGACGGAAACCCCTCTTATAGCTTAATATGTGTTTTATACCCTATAAGACTGGAATGTCAGAATGTTGATTATTAAGCTGACAGAAACCCCTCTTATAGCTTATTATGTGCCTATTAGACTGGATTGTCAGAATGTTTATCATGAAGCTGACGGAAACCCCTCTTATAGCTTATTATACCCTATAAGACTGGATTGTCAGAATGTTCAATAATAAGCTGACAGAAACCCCTCTTAAAGCTTATTATGTGTTTTTTACCCTATTAGACTGGATTGTCAGAATGTTTATTATGAAGCTGACGGAAACCCCTCTTATAGCTTATTATACCCTATAAGACTGGATTGTCAGAATGTTCATTAGTAAGCTGACAGAAACCCCTCTTATAGCTTATTACGTATTTTATACCCTATAAGACTGGATTGTCAGAATGTTTATTATGAAGCTGACGGAAACCCTTCTTATAGCTTATAATACCCTTTATGACTGGATTGTCAGAATGTTCAATAGTAAGCTGACAGAAACCCCTCTTAAAGCTTATTATGTGTTTTATACCCTATAAGACTGGATTGTCAGAATGTTCATTACTAAGCTGACAGAAACCCCTCTTATAGCTTATTACGTATTTTATACCCTATAAGACTGGATTGACAGAATGTTTATTATGAAGCTGACGGAAACCCCTCCTATAGCTTATTATACCCTATAAGACTGGATTGTCAGAATGTTCATTAGTAAGCTGACAGAAACCCCTCTTATAGCTTATTATGTGTTTTATACCCTATTAGACTGGATTGTCAGAACGTTTATTAGTAAGCTGACAGAAACCCCTCTTATAGCTTATTACGTATTTTATACCCTATAAGACTGGATTGCCAGAATGTTTATTATGAAGCTGACGGAAACCCCTCCTATAGCTCATTATACCCTATAAGACTGGATTGTCAGAATGTTCATTAGTAAGCTGACAGAAACCCCTCTTATAGCTTATTACGTATTTTATACCCTATAAGACTGCTTTATGTACTATTTGTATCTGCTGCATTGGTGGTTCGCAATGAATCAAGCTAGGTATTGTGCTTTAATACCAGTTGGCGGATTCATCTAAATCCGGCCGTGACCCTTCAGGACTGAAGATTAACCTGAGAACAGGACTGGAATGTCAATATCCATGATATTTATGTCCTTATTTGCTGTCAGATTACTAGGTCAAATTAGTCAAATTAGTTTATTAGTTATTAGCTCGATTACTAGAATAGTTGTAGTATTAGTTTTTAGCTTGCAAGCCAATCTCCACCCACTTTCAGTGTTTTTAGGTGTAAGAATGGTGGTAAAGAGAACCAAGTCGGAGGTTGTGATTGTACACCATGTCATAGGGGAGAAACTTGTGAAGAGAAAGGTAAGTTAAGACTTACTGTATAACCATGATGCTCTCCCCACATTTTGAATTCTGTTATAGGAATAGAAATAATAAAATAAAACCTAAAAACCATGTTACTAAGAGTTTTTGTTATATGTTTAGCTTGATCTTTTTTATATTAGAAAGGTTCAAACTGTATCCTCAATCTTATCAATTGTCCCGATAAAATATATCTATACAGTGCTTTAGGTTTACAGTATTTCCCCAAAATCTGGGAGTCTTATCTAAGATTTGGATGACTTCTTTTGGTCCGTGAGTTTAACGGTGTGATAATACCAAACCATGTAGACGTCGTTCTTTGGTCACATGCAGATATCACACGCAAGCAGAAACTATGCACAACCAGTATTGTTAGAATTACTTTTGATTTGCAGTTAATAAACAACCCAAATTTGAAACGGACCAACAAGAAGTAACGGTAGACACAGAATACAGGGAAAATGAACTGGTTTATGTGGCTTCAGCCTACGACAAAGACTCAGATGAAATCTGTAATGATGTTCCATCGTGTCCGTGTGGTGAAATAACTTATGGAATCGAGTTTGGAAATGAAGACAATATATTTACTATTGATCCGACTTTGGGAATTATTCGGCTAAATGGACTTCAAGATATACGAGAAAATGAAAGGCGTGAACTTGTCTTGTCAGCTCGCAATGCATTTGATGAATCTGGAGCGTCCACAATGGTATTGGGAGTTCGTGGTAAAACGCATACAGCTAACCAGTACAGCGCTGAAATTAACAATGGATATGATGGCAGTTATCATGTCGAAACTTCCTCACACGAACGAATAAAAAGGGTAAAGAACAGTAATTTTCATTTACCCATGGAGAGTTTGCAGACTGTGATTACTTTCAAGTTGTAACAACTCATATAAAAACTCATATTTTGAAATTTCTTAAAATTAGTGGTAGGCCTACAATTGGGAATACAACTATTTTCCTAAGGCCTCACAGGCGCAACCAATGTAAGGGAGGTGTAATTTAAATTAGTTACTTTCAATTCATTGATTTTGTATATTTTGCGATTCCTGTGGATTGAATGTATTAAATAATAATATATGAAATTACTATTTCAATGCACCATATAAAATCAAATTAAGAAGAATAGAATTATTTTAAACCTTAAATAGATTTAGTTAAATGTATTTAAAGATAATTCTATTTTTTGTATGCACAAACTAACAATTAACTAAATATATTTATCTGTACTGTAATTCTATTTTCCATTCGAACCACACAATATACACAATCTATATATGACAAAAGAGTCTAAAGATTGGTCACTAAGACTGCTGCATGTAGTGTAGAGTCCGAAACTCTATAGACTCTCGTCTGGTGTCTTACAGCAAACGATATCTTTAATTCTTTCTATTCTTCGAAGGAGCAAACGAACGTCATAATAAATTTGATATGGAATCCATGTCATGTTTCATTTTTGCAAACTATTAGTGATATTCAACACCGATTGCTTATTCAATCTAAAACTTGCTTTAAATTCCTCCCCCCGAAAACCATGTGAAGGGGTCCAGGCGATCCCTAACATATCTATTGATAGGAATAACACGGTTGATTTCACCAAGTTCATCTAAACCGACGTAATAATCGTCCATTTTGAAACATCGAAGAGCCACAAAAGGAATTTCTATTGATTTACAAATAGAATTAAAAATTAAAACTGGTCTCGACCAACCTTAAGTTTAGCATTAAATTAGCCAATTTTTAAATACATTTAAGGTAATTCTATGTGGTGCATACAAAATATAGAATTAAATTAAAAGTTAATGTTATTCGGGCAGAATAGAATTAAATTAGGCTTAATTTCATTTGATGCATACGGGCCAATAATTTGAACTTATATTTTTCAGTCTGTCAATGCGCCATCTAACGTGACATTTGACCTACAGAAAGAAGCCACACATGCTAGTTTAACAGTAATAAAGCCTGGACAAAGAATTGGATTTATACTGAAAATTCATTTTCCAGCTGGTACCACAGATATGTTGGTGGAGTTGTTTGCTCCTGATAACAATTCTATAGTTATGATGTTGTGTGACGTTAGAATTGATTCTGTTGGTGGTAATCTTAATTATGACGGACCTGGCGATATAAAACTCGAATCCAAAAATAACTCGATCTTTGTACGTATGAATTTATATTAAAAACTGAGATTGTAATGTACCATAACTACAAATATACTTAATAGTAATAGTTTCAGGCCTGTAACCAGACTTGATTGTTGAGATTTTTCAGGGGGCCAATCTATTGTGTCGTTTTAGTATGATTGGGCAGTAATTGACTTTGGAAATGTAACGAACGATGGAACTTCACCTAGTGAACATTCAATTGTTATCAAGTATGATGCCGTTATGATCCAGAACGAGGACACACAACACGGAAATACTTACTGGGTTAGCGCCGGGGCCGAATACAATGAGGAGAATGAAGTCTGGGTGGGACAGGCATCTTTTACATCGGACCTAACAGATGTAAGTAGATTATTTTTGGAGGTCTTTCATCTGTTGGCTTTAATTGATTAGATTCATAACCAAATTTCCAATTTTTGATCAGTGGAAAGTGGAAAACGTTTTAGCAAAGGATTATGAAATGTCTTTTTCCATATTAGATTTCTGGGAAGAAAATGTACAGGCCTAAGGTGGAACAAATACTTTATTGAGAAATTTAGATGAAGGGTCTGGACTTTGGGTTTTCTGAAATTCGAAAAAATAAAATTTCGCGAGAGGGATAGTACCTGTTAGTTACTGGCTGTATTTAGTTTGCCATGAATAAGATTGTCATTTAAGTTTTTATTTTTTGAATATGCAACTATCATTTTCTGCTTATAGACATGGGGGAATTTCTCTTTAAGAATCTCATAGTGGGCAGGAACTATCTTGCTTGGTCGATTACTTGTTTTATTGAAAGGGACAACAAAGGGTGCTATGTCTACGTTATGGTGAATATTTAGTCCTATAGGTCTTGCTGTATTCAATGTCTCAATCCAATGGACTTCCCTAGATTGACGGAATTTGGTAGTTTCATCTTCCAGCAAGTCAATTTCTATGCGGTCAATTTGGGTGAGGGTGAGATCGTCCAGTGAATATATTCATATATTTTTTTAAAATTCGATTCCAGCCATGGGATTCAACAAGCAACAAACCTAAGTTCAACTTCAGCGGACCAAATACGCTAGCAGTTGGCGAATCTGCTATATTTGCCGTAGACATGTATATTACCTATCCATCTATTGGTCTCGGGTTTGATGCCTTTGCTCCTCTGAACGATACGAGTATTATGTCAGTTTGTGGGATCCAGATTGAGGGAGTAGGTGTCAATTATCAATGTGGATTTGACTTCACGGCTGTACCCTCAAGTCTTCATCAGGATGGACAACCTCGCGGAAATGCACGAGGTCACTTAGACATTGGCATGACTACAAATAAAGGTAAGTGTTAATGTCTTTCGTTGGAAAAATACTCAGCTTATTGCGAACACAAGGATCAGTTATTTAAGAATCCTTAGAGCGGGTGTTCTTACTTTTCAATTACCGATATTATTCAAATTCTAGGTATAAGAGATGAACCAAGTTCAGTTGAGCCCAATCTTATTCGAGTGGAATTTGTAATGAAAGTGTGGGATGACGTCACTGCTTTAGGCCTTCACAGTATCGGTGCTGCATTAGAACTTGGATCAGACCAAATCTGGTGTGGACAAATTGATGTAACTGTAGTGGCCAGAAAAACTGCGGATGTAAGTATATATAACTCATAAAGGATATCTGCCACAGAAAAGAGGCTTGCCCGGGTTTGAGAACTACTACTATTTCTCCATTCTCTTTAATTATATTTATTTTATCATTATGCCCTAAACGAATTTTATTACTCATATTTCAGATACCATCACCGTCCGTGTCACTTGCTTTTGTTGGAAACGTTACTGAGGTATCCGAAAGTCAACCTGTAGTCATCGAAATTACAGCTGATGTGGGTTTGAGCACTGGAGACTTTAAACTGGATGCACAATCCCCACTCGATGGAAGTAGCAACCCTAAGCTTCAAGTCTGTGCCATCACATTTGTCAGAGCTGGAGAAAATATGCCATGTGTTGAGACTGACAGAGAAGCTGTAATGTCATCAAGGGGCAACTTACCTCTCCTGACAGACACTGCTACTCTTGATTTAGGAGTTCTTACCAATGTTGGCAATTGGGGATACTTTAACCATTCCCGCAATGATACCCGCAACATCATGGTTTTGCAAGTTCTGGTAAAGGGGACTGAATTTACAACTGCTACCCAAACCCTTGACATCGGTTTAACATCTGGTTCTGGAACTCGCAGCTCGTTAGACACTATTGTCATCAATAAAGCGGCATCATCATCCCTACCAGAAATCGTAAGTAAAATATCAGACCTTCTTAGCACCGCAGCTATAGATCGTTGTAACAGGTGGAAGTATATTTTGCTGTAGTGTGTAAAATGTTGTATTATTTGTGGTTCAGTATTATTTTGTTATGCTAATGGCTAATTCCGACTCGAAAAGAATTCTTGTTTATACAATACTCTCACGAAATATGTGCTATTTATATAGAAACAAAAAACCATCCTTTTTCATTTTAGACCGAGACTCCAACTATGAATCTGACATACAAATACTCATCAGGCACAGTTAGGATCGGTGAAGCCGTTACCATGTTTTATGATATATCCACTGTCCGAGGGAAGACCTTCCCTAAATTTGACATGGAATTCATAGCTCCTAACTCTTCAGATTCCGCCATTGTTGCAATCTGTAGAGCCGAGGCAATTAAAGTTGGAAAAAATACACCTTGTCTGACAAAAGAAGGCATTAATTCCAAATGGCAGTATGTCTCTCAGTAAGTACAACTGAAAGTTTTAGCTTTCTATAAATCAGACAGTAGCTCAAAACAATATAAATAAACTTTTTTGTTTCGATAAAGAAAACTTTTTACAATAATAAAAGAACTGGGTTTTCTATTTTTATAAAAGGGGCGGGAGGGGGGGGGGGGGGGGGGTGAGCAGGGGGCTGGGGGGTTATGGGAAATTTTGCTTTAGATGTTGAAATCGATTTTGTTTTCACCCTTGTAATCTGTGTTTCAATTTTTAGATTCAACGAGTCTGCTGTTGATAGAGCAACCCTGGAACTGGGTTCCATATGTAATTTTGAGGTTAAAGATATAGACACTGAAGACGTTCTTGTCTTATCAGCAGTATTTCAACTCAAGCCACACCCTGATGCCACCAACGGGAAGCAGATGTACCTTAGTGCTGGATCTATGTATACAGATTCAAAGATGTGGATTGGCCAGCTCTCTATGACTGTTGATACATCTCCTTACCCTGCACCTCCGGTAAGGTTTTTAAAAGTTTCCGTATATCAAAGAGGGCCTACATTGGTAGGGTATGATCAACAAAAGCTATCAGTGCAGTTAGAACAAAATAAAATGATTGAGATTATTTAGGTACATACTAAAATTTGAACAAAATATACCAATACTCATGATTTAATAATTTGATTTAATTTTAGACTCTAAAAAAGCCTGAATTGTACGTATCAAAGGTTGGTGAATTTAACGCAGCCAGTACACCTATAGGATATCCAGCAACTTACGAAGTACTGATACAGACTTACCCAGGAGAAACAATTGACCTGAAACTTATCTTAAGCACAACCTCCGACAAGATTAGTTTTTGCGCCATTAAAATCAAGGCTGTTGGTAACAACATGCCATGTGTTGATCAAACTATTAAAGGTGTCATAACCAAAGATGCAGCGACTGGATTGAACAAAGACGCCGAACTAACAGTTGGCCCCGTCACAAATGTTGGTAAGTTCATAATCGGTTGACGTTACAGTAATTCATTGAATCAACAAATTTTTCATTCGTCAAATCATCGAGAACAATGCATCATATGGGGTAATGAAGATGGTCAACGTCATGTAGATTCCTATGAGAAAAAAATTCCAGGAGATCGACATTAGCCGGCTCTTTTTCGATTTCCAGGAATCTTTAACGTGTACAGCGTAATACACGGGGCCTCAGTTTATTGCCCCATTCGAACGACATGTCAGACCCTCTTACCTGCGTCATTGACAGGGGAAACCAGGTGTCTTAGCATAGGAAAACAACATATTTACATTTCTATATTATAACTACCAAGCATATTGCATTGTATGTAATGTTGTATTTTGTAAGGACTGAAATAGTTATCTTTACTTGTTTTGAATTGTTTTTATTAAGTAAGTCTTCTGAATAGAGCAATTGGTTACACAATTCCAAATTTTTATGTGTTGAAATTATGCCCTGGGTAAGAATAGCATGTATTACATATTGCACTCTTCTTTTATTTTTTACGTTTAAATAGTCGCCTCGACGTTAAACAATGACTAATATCCATACACATACCAAGACAAAAACCTTGAAACGTTGAAAAATAGGTTTATGGACTATAAAATGTTAATAACCCAGTCTCAGAGTCATATTAAGTTAAGAAATATCATGCACATTACGTTAAACTGCAACTCCCAGAGAAGCTAATGGTCTTTTTTTCAATTTATAGGCGATATTGCTGATAAAACTGATTCAGGAAATAGTACTTTTGGTATCAACTCATTGGTGTTTGAGGTTATCGTGCAGTCATCTACTGGAGCTGCAGATGCAGAAAATCTGCCGTTCTCAGTAGCAACAAACGGTGTGATCACCCCTGTAAACAATAACAATTTGGTGGTTACTTCAGATGAAACTGGAATTTCCATGGTAAGGCCTTTCAATTGCATTATCTTTAATAATCTAAAAATTTACCTGTATTTATCTGCTTATATGATGGTTTTAGTATGGATGTCTGTTTGTGATACAGAACGTTATTAGATTTAGTTTATTTTAAAAAGATTTAGATTTTAAACTGTAACGTTATTAAATAGTATAATATTTAGATGGTACTGAAGGTTCTGGGATTATTGTCAGCTGATGGTTTCCCTGAATTCAGATTTTAATAAGATCATAATTGTTCTCGTGTGCTTGTTAATTAACAATGTGGTTGCTGCTTTTGATCAGCCTTGATTGTGCATTCTAGTTTATAGCTTATCCATATTCATTGAGCTTAAATTTTCTCTCCAGATGGGAAATGCAACTGGAATAGATTTTAATGTAGCGGCCGTGGTCGACAGTGATGCCGATTATGATGTCTATAAAGGACAAGCTAAAAAATTCTTCATTGACATCGATACACAACTAGATACAACACAACGCGTCACAGCGCAGATCATGACTGAAATTGGCGATTTAGGTCACTTTGAAATAGCTTACATTGGGTTGGTGGAGGTAGGAGAAAACCTCGGATGTGTTTCTCGAGAAATGACTACTAGCGCATATGAAAAGAGGTAAGAAAAATCGAATGATCTGATGTAAGATCATCTCAGACCGCCACGATCCTCGCATGTAGTGCCATTGATTTCCAATTAGTGGCCACTCGTAACAGAGCGTTTCACAATGTCTCCTGACCTACCTCTAGGGGGCCGAGGTGGCTCAGTGAGTTAGACGCTTGCTCGCTAACCTGAAGGTCCAGGATTCAATCCCGGCATAAGTCGAGATAATACCTTCGGATTTTTCAACCCGGTTTCCCCCTGTCAGTGATGCAGGTACGAGGGGCTGACATGGAAAAAGCGTCTAGTCGTTCGGATGGGACAATAAACCGAGGCCCCGTGTGCTACAGGCTGTGCACGTTAAAGATCCCTCGACAGTTGGAAATCGAAAAAGAGCAGGCTAATGCCGCTGTCCTGGCAAAATTTCCCTCATTGCACCCTGCATGGCGTTGCCCGTCTTCATTAGCCCACATGGTGCAGAAAAGTAGGACGTAAAATTCCATTCATTTCATTTCTGACCTACTGCTACTGTAAAGTCGAGAAAAATCGAAAACAGAATTATAGTTAGAGGAAATGACATTTTTTTCAGTTTCAAGTGTGGTAAAGGTGTTTTGGCAGGCAAAATATTTCATAATAATTGTAGCCCTTTGAGACGTTAATGTTTACAAGTGCTACTTTCAATACTGTTAATCTTTGTGTATTTTAGACCATCAAGTTCCTATTTAGATATCGGTACATTAAATCTTGGTTATGTGTGTAACACTGGAATAAACAGAAATGATTCTGAAGCAAACAAGGTACATAATATTAATCCTGTATCATTATCTGAAAGATCTTCATAAATTCTCGTTCAAGATTTCAGCTTCAGATTGCATTTAAACCAGTTGAATTAAAATTTGTATTACTTCTTGTACTAACTAGTTATTAATTTTATCTACTTAGATACGTATTGAAGCCTATGCACGATTGTTAAACAACCCATCTCTAAATGTTGGTGATACCGTCAAACTGAGTGCAGCCGTTAATTTTAATGATCAACAGATATTCATTGCCCAGAAAGACATGACAGTAAAGAATGTTAGTGAATTTAACGACCTTGTTACGGTAAGCCTGCAGTCAGCATTTTTTTTTTCACTTGAATTTCAAATTGGACTCAAAATGAACATCATTGGTGCACTAGTACTCGTATTCGTACTTCGGACTACATGCAAAATATTACAAGGGATTTACCTAAAAAGCATCTTTGAGGATGTTTTAACTCTGATAATCAGAGGGTGATTGGCGATCCATTGAAGAAGGAACAGTATGACAAAGTAATTGAGATTAGGAGTCAGAGATTGTTTGTACATTGTGAACTGATGTGACGCAATGATAGTTATGTGTGGTCATTTAACTTTGGTGTTCCAACATTTATGCATCTATATTTATCAGTAACTTTTATATTTTAATTTGAATATCTTATTAGGTGAACGCAACTCTGACTAATGCTACGGCTATCAATGTAAATCGTACAACCCCAATCGTTATGACCATAGCACAAGTTGAGAAAATACCAGTCATTCTGAATATTCCACCATTCACCGTGTCAAGAGTCCAGTTTGATATCGACCTACCAATGTCACCTACCTCGGCTTCCATGACTTTTAAAAGTCTACAGATTGTTGGAAGTGGACAAAATCTTTGTCGATACGGATACACCGAGGACTTCAAAATAACCGAACATTCCACGATGAGTACGACTCAGATAAATAAAGTGTTTGTGGATATGGGAATAGTCTCGAACATTGGTAAGCCTTCAATCTGTTTAAAGCTAATTCCTACCCCTAATCAAAGTACATTATATTTAACAAAACTGCATATAAATCAAATAATTAACAGTCGACATCAATCATTACTAATTCACCTATAGCTTACAGCACAGAGGCATTAAAATGTTACTGGTAGGATAAATTTAATTTCACTAACCAATACTTACTAGAGCATCTTATGCTGCATCCAAACTCATTTCAGCCCATATTGTGACAATCATAGTAGCTTTAAGGAAATACCATGGGGAATGTTTTCACCTATCGATATTACATATATATCATTTGTAGTCAAGTGTCTATCGGTTGATGTCGTCTAACGACTAAAGTCCAGCTTATTTGCATCGTTTAGGAATTACACACAAACTGGTCACCGCAGTTCCTGAAGATGATATTATTTACGCCGAGGTTGAAGTTCAAATGGCGGACAGTGACACAAATGATCATAATGCAGAGATGTGGCTTGGGCTAGGTGCCAAGATTGCTTCATTCATCATTGTTTCTGAACACAAAGTGGAAGTTAGCCGGGACGGATCTGAAGTGCCAGTTTTTAACTTCACTGCTTCTTACGACCCCGATAATTCTACAGAGTAAGCATTTTTATTCAGCAAAGTCGATTGTGCGAGGCCTATAATTAGTTATGACAATTCGGTTTGGTTTCATAGTAGCTTCATTTTAATCTAGTATGTCTGCACGCTATATTTAGGAACATCAAAATATATGTTATCGCATTATATTTTTAGCTTTGTCTGTAATGTATGTTTTTGAATTGCCGTTTGGACAGATGGGTTAAGAAATCGTTAGACACCACACCCACCCCCCAAAATGGTTTTCACGTCATATTTCGAAAGGACAAAACCCAATGCTCTAAGCTGGATACAAAACATTCCTCCCAAATCAATTGTAATTTTGTACCTTCAGTGTCTACGCCGAAATTGATATTGTACTGGAGCACGCAGCAACCTCAACAGCGGAATACCAGAATACAGTTATGAAATTTAATACTCCGCCTTATTTGGAGTATAAAGATATCCCAGCAGCAAGCCTTACGACACCTTCAGTGACTAATATCAATAACAATGCCATAGAGATCAACGTGAGTTTTCTATTTCAATTCCTAATATCTTTTATCTTCGGTGAAGCTTCATCGCATCGTTCTGTAACATTTTGGAAAGCCAGGATCGTTGCTGGTTACTTATTCTCATCAAAATTTGTAACTTTGTTATTCTCTTAAACTTCATGAAAGCACAAATAATTCTTGAACGCAAACTAGCTCGTTGATGGTTTTTCATCGAGCTGATAAGACTTTGGAATTCATGTGTCAGAAATAATTGTTGTTTTACTTTGGCCTTATTCTCCAAAACTTAACTAAGAAAAAATCCAGATTTAAAGGTTACAGTTATCTGATTGGATAAAAAAAACTAAATTTAAAATCGATTTCAGTGACCAATCTTATGACTGGAACGATAAAATCTTAAGTTAAGTTTTCAAGAATAAGGACCCTGGTCATTATTTAGGTTCTAGAGGTCCCACTTGACAGAAAACACTAACATTTTCTTTAATTACCCGACTTATTCATGAATTTCTATCTTGAATGATCAAAGATTCTCAGTGGAGCCTATCTATGTCTATCATCATATAATTTTTCTGTGTCTGTACTCTGTGTTACCTGAATATATTCATTAAAATTTTATGACATTGGTTACGCTAATGATCTATATTCTTTTAATGATTATTCACAGTTGGGCAGATTTTTCTTCACTGACAAATTGGAGATGACAGTGGCGTTTGAAGTGAACTCCACCTATGGTGTTCCGCCAGGTATCAGTACAGCCCCAGCTGTAACAGGCGTTGAAATAATCTGTAACATGGTAGAAAGAAACACCCCAACTTTCAAAAACGGTTCTGAAGAATTTACATCTGGTTTCATGACAGTGAGTGGAACTTACACCACAACTCCCAAAGCATCTGGTAAGCTTATTTAAATTCTGGTTGACAAGTCAGTACTGATATTTAAAAGTTCAAAAATTTGTAATAGTCCACGGCGATATATAATGGCAGACAAATCTTACATATTTCTTATTCTTAATGTCTTTGAAAATTGTTTATGTGTCTCTCTGAAACGAAACTTAAGACGCATCATTTATCGATTTTGATTGTCGTTCAAGACTTTGGACCAAACCTTAAGAGATCATGCACTTTAAGACTGGAACACAAAAGCCCGAACTAGAAAGGTAATGTGATTTGGAACAAATCATGCACCATTTCCATGTCATGCCTCATATTTCAGGAGCATCGTGCACAGCAGGCATTATTGCCAACATAGAAACTTGTCAGTTGTCCTCTTCTGGTGATGACATAGCTACTCCCGACAATGCTGTATTTACCGGCACAGGTAGGTACAATATAAATTAAAATGTATTTTACCCATTAGTAAGCTGATCACAATTAAACGTTACATCGTACTCTACCAGATTCATATTAGATATAGCTGAATTCCTGGGCACGATCTTCATTCGATATAAAACATTTTTTTTTCTATTTCAGGTTGGGTACCACCAGTAAGAGAAGGAACATTGGGGAAACTACGTTATTTACAATATGATTTTGGAGAAAGGGTATCTTTAACTCAAGTAGACTATAAACATACTAAAACTGCAAAAATAAGCAAAATACAACTTCGGTACAGTAATGACGGAAAATCTTTCTTGGACGGCCAACTGGTAGGTTAACTTCATTAGGCTATGAATATTATTTGCGAGTCGTTGTACAGCTCAGTCGGGAGTTTTCATTAACTCCCCTATATAGAAAACGCAGAAAAATGAAAAATTCATATTCTTTTTTATTGACATTTTATTCTCAATCTGCGTTATTTTTTCAAGCTGACCATAGGAGCGACAGACGGATTTGTATCTGTTAACAGCATATTGAAATACAAGGTCCTGCGTCTGTATATTGATGATGTTACATCACCTGACAAAGAGGTAGGACTGACAGTTCAGTTTACAGGCTGCTATGTAGACTCTACACCAACTACATTTACTTGTCCAGCAACACCAACAATTCCAGCAGGTAAGTTAAGTCTGGCTAGATCCTAAAAAGAGTGTTATTAGTTGAACGGAATTATAAAACGTCAAGACATGGTGTGTACACCGCAGAAACTTTCTCAACTGACACCAAAGGTGAATTTCATCCTTAAGATTATTGCGAAAGCTCATTATAAATTCATCTATCTCAGCTCCGAAAACAACCATTTCCAATCCAATGAAGTAACGCTGTTTTTTGTTAGACGGTTACCTAAAAATTGAATTTCTGTTTTTACTTATAGAGTATGCTAGGCGATCTTTTGTTGCTGATGCTACCCAAGTATATGTATGTGACGGTACGCCAGGAAAGTAAGTCATATTTCCTTTCCTTGAATCATTTAAAAATCTCTAGCTACTTTTATGAAGAAAAAAAAACATTCAAAAGAAACCTGCAGAACCACTTTACAGGGTGCATTATAATGTGTGCTGTGGTTAAACAACTAACTGGATATTATTTTTTTCAGGAGAAGTGAAATAGACACAATGTGTTTTGCATCTCCAGATGGAGATACTTGGAAAGGTAGGACGAATTATCTGAAATTCTGCATTCAAGGCCAAGTTTTCGATCCAAGGGGTCTGCTCATTTATTGCCAATAGCCTGTTTGGAGGTCAACAATAAGTATAAGGTTTAATCGAGTATCACGTTGAATCAGAACTTGTATACCATATATTATCTAAATTCAAAAATGTGATTTTAGAACAGTACAATACAATTAAGAAATAGTCATGGCAGGCGACTTATACCATTTCAAATTTGAATGGTGATAAAATGGAGAATTTTTCAGAAAAATTATTGAGCTGATCATATTCTGTAAATACTATTATTTCAATATAATATTCCTTATACCAGCACTGGATAATCGCTATATTTTGTTACTAATATAATTTCAATATAACATTCCTTAGTCCAGCATAACTGTTATATTTGTACCTGTTATTATTTCAATATAACATTCCTTATACCAGCACTGGATAACTGTTATATTCTGTAACTGTTATCATTTCAATATACTATTCCTTAAACCAGCACTGGATAACCGTTATAGTTTGTTACTAGTATAATTTCAATATAACATTCCTTAGTCCAGCACTGGATAACCGTTATATTCTGTAACTACTATTATTTCAATATAACATTACTTATACCAGCGCTGGATAACCGTTATATTCTGTAACTACTATTATTTCAATATAACATTCCTCATTTCAGCACTAGATAACAGAGTGTCGTGTATGGTAGGCCACAATCAAGATCCTAAAGGGGATGAAAGACTCTATGCTTTGTCCCACAACTACCAATACATGACATCAATGGACAAGGGAGAAACTTGGCAAGTGGTTGAAAAGAACCACGTTGACCAAGTTAAGACTATGAGTACATATGTTCAAGCTGTGAAGGTCCCATGGACTGGAACACCAGCAGATACAAATAAATCTCTTTTAGCCTGGCAGAGTAAGTACATTTGACTTTAGCTGAGATGGAACAAACAGGCTTTTCAAGCGTCTAATGTTATTAAATAGCAAACTAGAGATAAAATGGACAGTGACAAGCAGGAAATATGCCACTTATTTAGAGCCTGGGTTGTCCACGAATAAAAATGTGATTTTTCGTAAAGGGTGGAAATGTTGTGCCAATTATAATTGGTTGTCTTTTATTATTTCAGGTGCTTACTATGGCATGAGTCCTACAGGTACTTTTGTTAATAAATTCAAGTGGGATACATGCTGTCCTTAAGGGTGATCATACTATACCAAGAGAGTTAATATACTACTTCTAAGCAACATGAATTTTTATTTAGTTGTTAAAATGTAATTACTGCTTTAGCTGTTGTTTATTTACTAATTCTTAGTTTCAAAATATACGAACTAAAATTGTATACCGTAAATTCTCACAAAATGTTTATGCTTCGTGTTCTAATAACGTTTAGCACGATCCAGCTATTTGATGGTCCAATTGAGATTATATTTACTTCCAAACTAATATAAATAATAACTAATTTAGCAATTTTTTTACATGACAACAATTTCTTATTTCGGTCCTGTCTTTAATATCACAAAACATAATAGTATTAGACATTGTTTCACTGAAATCGAATTGATCTGAATTTGAAAGAGCTGGGTGAAAGTAACGCAGTAATAAAGTATTAGTCATTACTAATCCCAAATATCTATGATATTATTAGTTAAAAACAAAGGCCAATAAAAGGTCAGCTTTTTTATTGAATGTTTAGAGCATATTACTTAATCCAAGTATCAATATCAATATTCAATGTAAAACAAATCTTAATCATACTTAACATCAAATCTTTATATGTACATCTTATGAAAAGGATCCTATAATGGAATGACAGAAATTGCTGGAGGAATATAGTTCAGACAGCCTATGCGTTTTAAAATTTGCCAATAACCTATTTGAAGGTCAACAATAGATAAACTGGTTTTTTTTATTCAGTATCACATGGAATCAAAACTGATATACCATTTATCTTAATTAAAACATTGTTTATTGGCGTTATTGCAATCAACCACAACACCAAACTTTATTGGGCATTTCTTTTATTCACCCCTATAACGTGAATGCACATACATCCTATATAATTTCGTGTCCCCGGCTAAATATTTTGATATATCTTTTATTATGAGATTTTTTTCATGCTTTAGAATTTCTCCTGTGAAACTTACTGCTGTAAATGAATTTCTGTGATATAACCAAAAGCCGTCCCTATTGTAATTAGAAACTGACAGAGTTATAATTTATTTATTAATGTTAATATTTGTTATTTGTCATATTTAATAAAGGAGTTATCCAATTCTACATGGTTAACTGATGAAATTGCCAAAGAAATTCCAAAGTATTGTATTGTATGTGCTTTAAGTTCTTCTTCACTAACAATACATTCGCAACAGAAAACAATGAATGAGTGAAACAAATAATTGAGAAGTTTCAAGTCCCGAGTCTATGTGACTATATTGTCCCATTTCTTCATTGGCTAACGTAAATGGATAACGCCATGCTGTTTGCTACTAGAGCGATGACAATAGCACTAACGTTTGACAATTTACGACAGTGCAAGAATCAGTAACAGACTACAGATACTATTTAATCCTAATGAAAACGGATATAAAGCGGTGTGCAATGAAGTTTATTTCTACATGGAGAATTGCCTCATCATTTTGGCTCATTGTATCATCAGAACACCTTCTTTACATTAGCTTCTCCGGTCAAATAAAATGCTGGGATCGGAGGTAGATCTTCATTCAGGTGAGCGAGCAAGCGTCCAACTCACTAAACAGAAAAACTTACATATTTGTAGACAAAAAAGGTTGGATTGAGACTGTGCTCGTCTTTGCAGGAGAGATCCTACTTTTTTTTTAGGACTCGTGCATTTTTTTATATTCCATTCTTCCCGAAAGTTTGATGACCTTAACACTAGTTTTTACAAGAAGCAGCTTGATTTTAAAAATATATATTACATACAGGCATATAAGACATTGTAAAAGAAATTTGGTTGAAATTTTAATTACGAATTAGTTTCAACTGTGGCAGTACACATCAACAAATGAAATGAATAAATCTGAATTAATCACAAATTTCTCTAAATTCTGTCTTTTGCACTTAACACTTGAGTAGTATACATATACATTGTAGTGTATATATAGTTTTAATCATTTAATACATGTTGCTTCAAATCAATAATAAAATTATTCCATTAACACAATTCATAAACATCAAGAACGAATTTCTTCACCAAATTTATCTTTGTGAGCGGCATTTTTCATAGGATAAACAATCTGAAAAAGACAAAATCAGATTTCAGTTACATTGGTGCCTTATATAACAGAAACGGGATATAAGTAGATGGTTGAGAATGTCAATATAACTACTTCTCTTAGACAAACCCCATTGTCTATATAACTACTTCTCTTAGACTTACCTCATTGTCTATATAACTACTTCTCTTAGACAAACTTCTCTTAGACTTACCTTGTTGTCTATATAACTACTTCTCTTAGACAAACCCCAATGTCTATATAACTACTTCTCTTAGACTAACCTCGTTGTCTATATAACTACTTCTCTTAGACTTACCCCATTGTCTATATAACTACTTCTCTAAGACTTACCTCATTGTCTATATAACTACTTCTCTTAGACTAACCTCGTTGTCTATATAACTACTTCTCTTAGACAAACCCCATTGTCTATATAACTACTTCTCTTAGACTTACCCCATTATCTATATAACTACTTCTCTTAGACTTATCTCACTGTAAATATAACTACTTCTCTTAGACTTACCACGTTGTCTATATAACTACTTCTCTTAGACAAACCCCATTGTCTATATAACTACTTCTCTTATACTAGCCCAATTGTCTATATAACTACTTCTCTTAGACTAACCTCATTGTCTATATAACTACTTCTCTTAGACTTATCTCACTGTAAATATAACTACTTCTCTTAGACTTACCTCGTTGTCTATATAACTACTTCTCTTAGACAAACCCCATTGTCTATATAACTACTTCTCTTATACTAGCCCAATTGTCTATATAACTACTTCTCTTGGACTAACCTCATTGTCTATATAACTATTACAAGCATAACACCAGACAGACAAGTCTGAATAACTGAGGACCATTCTATGTTCTGTCTCTATACCATGAAATAACATGTGTTCATTACGGAATCGGCTACAATAGACCTGAAATTATAGAGTTTTTAATCAGTTTATTCTATACACTTTATCCTTTACAATATATCCTTGATGTTACATTTATATATTTGCAGAATATCATTACTTAAATTACTATATCATTCACGATTACTAATTACTTATTTCACACAAAAATTATATGTTTATCTTTAAAGGGACATTCCGCTTTTTAAAAATGTTGTCATAATCAAAAACTTTGTAAATTATACCTGAAAATATTTCTAAAATATGCTATAGGCCCTATATATCTATGAATTTTTTATAGGCAGTTTTACCTAGTTTTGGAGTCTGGCTTTTTAATGGCTCGTTATATTTAGCTGAAAGGTTTAGAATATGTAAGAGATAATTATATTTCTCTACAATATGGCGTTAATTTTTACTATAATCCCTAAAGTAGTTTTCTAACAGCTTCTAAAAAGCATAACGATCTTAAAACCCTTACGTAATGTTTTTAAATATTTTTGTCGTTTAAAAATTAACGGCTGAATTTTTATTTAATTAAAGCAGATATGGTATAGGGCACATTTCTCTAGATTTTGGTGTATAGTTTTCACACATTTAAGCAAAACAATTTTTCGAACTACAAAAAAAGCAGAATGTCCCTTTAATATAAATTCTAATCTCAAATTGCCTCTGTAATTTTCTCTAAAAGATTCAACTGAAGCATATGCGTTCAAACATTCTGATGAATATTTTGTGAGTATATGACTGAATGCTGAACCTACCTTGTAACAAATCAGGCAAACCCAATTCTCTTCAGTTTCTCCACAATCTTCACATGGTGCATGAGTGTTTAATTCTGGTGAAAGTAGCGGTCGAACGTCTGCTAAATGCTGGCACCAGGGTATTGGCTGGACAGCAAACAGCTGACCCTAGGTGACATAATAACAATACATTAGTCTTGTGCTTGTCCTTGAACAGACTGCTTAACTCTGTATAAATACTATGCTATAGAGTAATCATTTATCATTATAGATGTTTTTCATGGTCTTTTATAAAACATATTTTTTGGAGTTAGCTCCCATGATACCAGATATATTAAATATAGGATGCGTATGTGTTTGTTTCCATAGTAAATTCCAATCAAGGTTAAACATCCTACATTCATATCAGAAAACCACATGTATATTAAACCCTTGCTCAATTGAAAACTGTCCATAAAGTAATGTAATAGGAACCTTAAATTGAATCATTAAACTATATTTGAGTTAAAACAATATATAGTTGTGTAACATTATACGTTATTTAGAAAATTTATATCTCTTACCTCCATTTTGAACAAATCTTCTACAGTATTTGGTCTAACAAACCCACCACAGGCACCTTGTGACTCTTCACTAGAACCTCCACAGGCACCTATACCACTTGATGATGGACCTGGTGCTCCATGTTGAGCTTCACTTAAACCATTTGTCTCTGGTTTGGAATTTCTTTCATCCATAGTGTTAGTATTTTTTTTTTCTTTACTGTCCCTGAAATATAGAAAGGAATGTGTCAAAATTCTTTTTCATAGAACAGATCAGTCCATACATATAGACTATATTCAATAATGATGTGGGATTCATTTGGTTCCACATATTTGGAATAGCTTATAGACCCTACTTTGAACAGAATTATGGATAGGCTATGTTTCATTAATACAACTGTAATTAAGCCTACAGTAATATGACTGCTAATATTCAACAATTCCAATTGTAAGTTCAGGTCAACAATATTCATGTTCTAATTGTTCAAATAAAATTTTTCAGACCTAAATTCACTCAGTAAGACTTAACAGATCCTCTTTACAATCCAGACAATTTCTTATTAACAAATATTATTTATGTCTAAGGCTCTAATGGTAATAATTCAATAAGCTACTATATTTCAATCATTGAACATTTCAAATTTAGACATTAATCATGAAAATTGAAGATTTAATAAAGGGAAATAACTCCCATTCAGTATAATACACAAGTAATTTTCTGGTAGTGTTCAATACCCATAAATTTCTTCAGTAAGGAACAAATGACCAAAGATATAAGTGACGCAGCATGGAGCCCACCGCTATGTATATTGAGCTATGTTTATTGATTAGGTAGTCATTAAATAAGCGTCTGTGCTTGAGTTGTAGGCTAATTGAGTTACAAGGTTTTTTTTGTTTGAGCCCCTTTAACCTGCATCCGTGACAGTGACAAAGCCTGTTGAATGATATATAGGTATCAGGTTACTGTATTACACCATAGATTATCAATCAAATGCAGTCAGTTTTTAAAATTTTTCATTAAAAAGTAAAATTTTTCTCACGAAAACTCTAATTTCATTTAAAAATAATACAATTCTTTACCAAATTTTCTTTCACTGTGAAATTCTAATAATTCAATTTAAAGTAATATTTAGAAAAATGTGTGAAACAGGTTTTTGTAATTTCCAATTCTAGAGAGCACTAGAAAAACTAATAGAAGTTTATTTTTATTATGTTCAGTATTCTTTTACAAAGAAAATAAGAAAAGCAGTTTTATAAAGAACTGCAATAAAAACCCTAAGAAAGACAATTTTGAATCCTAATAAAACTAATGTCTAAAACTCTTTATTGGCTATGGACAATTTCATTAAAGTCAATTCTTCATATAGAAAAGTGAAGTAAAATCAGGATGTTGAAATAGACGGTGTGCAGTAAGAGAATTTAAATTTGATTATTATTCTTAGAAAATACCATTGGATGTAGAAAAAACTCTAAATAAGGTAATATCTGGATTTAGAACACATATGTATAATGTATAAGGGAAATGCTAAACACTATCAATCACTAGATGAAACGAATGGAGTTTTATGTTCTACTTTACTGCACCATGTGGGCTGATGAAAATGGGCAACGCCATGCAGGGTACAATGAGGGAAATTTTTCCCAGGACAGTGGCATTCGCCTGCTCTTTTTCAATTTCCAATTGTCAAGGGATCTTTAATGTTCACAGCCTGAAGTACACTGGGCCTCGGTTTGTTGTTCCATCGTGCCAGCCAAGGAATCTAGAGATTCAGATAGCATATTAAATCAAATTGAACATTTAGAACCTAACCCACTTTTTCATCAAATCAGCATTGGCTGGTTTTGCTATTAATGGGCTCACTTAATTTTACAGTCATGTGACATTTTGACTGACAGGGCTGCTCAGTCCCTCCGCCAACTTCGTAACAACTAAAATTTTACTTAATTTGATCTTTCTATTATTTAGAAACATAATGTTCATAACAAAAGTTCCTTTAACTACAATGAATGTTCTCAATGTCTATTGATGTGAAATTTATTAATAAAATCATGTCTCATTGTGCTGAAATATTAAGACAGCAATTGATCCTTTAAAGCTTAGATGAAAATCTGTAGACAGAAATTTCATTAAAAAACATCAATTGACAAACTATCTTTAATAACATTTAGAAAATTTGCAAGTCAGTTGACGGTACAAAGTTACATGAATCTAGAATCAATGAAGTTACAGCCTCAAGCATTCCTTTTCTTTCACACAAATTTCATTAAGTGTATAAGTTACAGTGTATTATTTGAAGGAAAGTGGTATATTAAATTGTTACCAGTCAAATTACAAGTTTTAATCAAGGCAGAGACTCACTAATAACAACTTTCTTTCTTATCAATTATTTTCTTCAAACTAAGCTAGGAATCTGCTACACTATTCTTTTTTTTAACTTTTCTGGATTTATCGTAAACTGTTTCATGAACTGTTTTCTACTATGGTATTCAGGGGTTACAGCGTTCAATTTCTCTATTAGAGATGTCAACATGATTTTGATTTCTCCCATTAGAATCTGCAGAATCTACAGAAGGCTCTATATAGAGGTATCTATATGGTATGTTTTTCTCTAACTAAGGAACATTTCAAATTATCTGTTTTCTAACTCAGTTGCTGTCTTCATTAGCTGGTTTCTCCAAATCCAAAATTGTCAAAACTTGTTATGTTACACATCAAAATTTATGCAAAATAAATGTTTGTAGTTAAAAATGTAAACCATGGCGATGACTAGAATTTCTATATTACATGTTGACTAACAATAAATATGTAAAAGGAGGGAAAGAGTGGCTTGATAACCCTCATCAGACACAACTGGAACAATGTAAAGCCTATGAGAATACTTATGCTCATCTCACTCTAACAGGTTTGTTTCAAAGCTTGAAGTATTTTGAGAAGCAGACCACAATGATATAAGTAACCGAAATCAAGCAGGCACACAAATGATCTTGCTCAGTGATTTTTACAACTACAGTATTGTCAAGAGTTTCACCCACCTACTGCGGGCACACAAGGAGACAAATAATCTCCACTGTTTTCCACTATGTCGATTATCACATACAAATCATGCAATTGAAAGGTAAATGAATCTTATTGGATGATGACACTCTGTCTTGCAGATGATAAAACTTTCGGAACAAATCAAACTGATATGCTATTACAAATCTTGTCGGCACTGGATAATCTTATCATGAAAGCAAGGGCACACACAAGAACAAAGACTTTTCGTGTGCCCAGTTCAATTGCCGACCAAACTTCTGTTATCTTGCTATTTATTACAATAATACTTATAAACAATCTTACTGATTATAGTAAATCAACAAGACAAAACAACAAATTTTCTCTTAACTTCATTGATCATTGAAAAAGACAAAACATTTCGAAGATAATTGCCCGTGTATAAAAGTTAAAAGATGAGTCATATTTTCTTGAGACACTGCCATATAAAGAAATACATCCATAGAAATAGGAAAAGAAATTCCTAGTTTGAGATATTTTTGAAGGAATTATGCGGTTTCGTACATTTCTAATACTTCTGAAGACTCTGTACATATATTCAAGACTTAAATCAACCCCTCAAAATGAGGCATGGATCCCTTTAACCTAGGCGAGGAAAAAATATGTAAAATCTTACAAAAGTGGGTGACTAAATATCGAATATGTCTACCCTTTTTAGCTTTGATCATATTTTACAGACAAAGATCAAACTTTCAAATGCATGACAAATATCATTCACAATTTATAAGTTATGCCAATTAGAAAATGTAGTCACAGTTTTAATATACATACAAATTACTTCTAGAAAGTTGAAATAACCATTATCTAGAAGTAGTAGACAAATATTACATCAACTTTCTAAAAGGCATGAACTCTTTCAGATCTGATTGATATTAAAGGATAAAATTTCTGAAAAAAAAAAACAAAATCTGTAGCATGGATTTTTTCCAAGATTATCTACATACATTGTAGACCTCGAAGTCAGTCACAAATGGAATTATGTTGAAAAAAAATGTGTCTGATTCTTTTAACTGCTATACAAATAAATCAATGTGCTATTCAGTTATTAACTATTATAATTTTATGTATATTACATTTATTAGGCAAAACATACTTGAACATACTCAGATAACTGTTCAATAAAGGAACCTTAATCAAAGAAGATTTATGCACTGGTCTAGATCCCAGGTCTAAGATCATAGCTTTAAATTGGTGAAATATATTTACATGCATGTTGCATTGTTATTTTTATAATGTTACATTGTGTTATACATATTATGTATTCTATAGTGAATAAATCTAATTTCTATTTCAATTAACTTTTCAACATTTCAAATCATGATAACTACATGCATAAGGGTTTTTATATAGTTGGAAAAAATGGCAATGACTGGTGAATGAAATATGACTAATAGTGGCAGCTTCGGGACCTAATTCATTGTAATGTCAACAAGTGATTAGAACTATTATTCTTCCACAAATCAAAACAGAATAAAGTGGAGTCATAATAAATAGTGTAACCCACTGATCTTAGAATGCAGTCTACACTCAGTTAAAATATTTAATAAATTTTAATGAAATGATATACCTCGGTAGCCAAAAGTCTAACTATTCAGCAGTTTAAAAATTCAAATTGCTCAATTTCCATTCAAACAGAATTATTTTATCTAAATATGTTAATTATTGGTTAACATTTCTGTACATGTATATTATACAGGAGACAGTAGGACTCGGCACAATCTAATACTTGTGTAAGAAATTTCTTATAATTTGACAGGGCCTTATAAGCATATTTTGCCATTAGTGACGTCATCAAACACTTATTTTTTGTGGAATTGCAGAGACCACAGATATCTGGAATAATGCAATTGGAATAATGCATATCTATACTACTAATGTCATCGATACACATACAATTTTTAAACTACCTCTTTACAATCTCTTTAAGAATCTTTCCTAGTGTGAATTGCAAATCAAAAGTCAATGTGGATCTGCTTTATGATTTGTATTTTATTTATATAATTATGTAAACAAAATGACAGATAGCTTGCTGGCAGGTATCAATGGACCTGTGCCATTTTCTTAAAGTTTGATAGCTCTTTTCTGTTTCTCCCAGTCAGCTTGTAGTATCATATGTAATTGCATTTTTGATGCTTTAATGATGCTTAAAATATAGGACAAATAGTGGGATAGTTTCACATTATTAATGACATCAAACTTACTGCTTTTAACCTTTGGAATAGGTTGTTAATGAAATTTTACACCTCACAAGAAGTATTGGTGCAAATGCCATAGTATCTGAGCAAGTCAAGGTTTTATTCTGTTTATGACACAACAGAGGCTATGGGCACGGCACAACTCTGTTCAACTTGATATGAATGACCTTGTTCTCACAGAGGCTTAATTACTACTTTACATTATGGAGATATTTTGACCTTAGAATTGTTTTCACGGAAAGAAAACATATTGGTAGGTTAATAATTACAAAATGACATTTTCAATATGCTTACAATACAGATCAAGAGATTTTTTTGATTTTTTTTGGTTTTATAAACTCATCAGAATAGCATTTATACGGACTAGCAAAGAAATTTTTCCAAATTTTTATCTTAAATTGAACAGATGCTCTGATTGATTGAATATTTTAATGACCTAGAAATATACACATTGTTCTCAGTGGTTATTATCATTGAGATGTGTTTTTCTAGATCTTCATATTAGCAGTGTTAAATTTGAAGTGTAGCAAATGAAATAATATGAATGGAGTTTTACATCCTACTTTTCTGCATCATGCGGGCTAATGTCATGAAGGGTGCAATGAAGGAAATGTTGCCAGGACAGCAGAATTGGCTTGCTCTTTTTCGATTTGCTACTGTTGACAGATCTTTAACGTGTATAGCCTGTAGCCGTGGTTTATTGTCCCATCAGAACGGCTAAACGCTATTTCCATGCATCACTGACAGGGGGAAACCGGGTTGGAAAACGTATTAAACTAAATATATCCATGTCATTTCACATGTTCAGCAATAGATTTAAAAAATATTATCATAACTCAAATTCTACACAAATTTTTACCATTGAAACCTAAATTCATGAAATGTTTGATGTCAGAATTATCTTTCACTATATCATGACATGAAAACGTTATCAATAACCAATATGGTAGCCTGTCAACTAAAAATATATTGTAACAATCCCATTAAATATGGCAAAAACAAGTAACAAATCATATTTGTCCACAAAACTCAAAACTACAGCATTATTCAGGTCAAAATGAATGGCCCTTGGAGTGTAATTTTCATTTTTGAAAAGAATAATTGCATATTAAACGATGTGAAGCCATGATGTTTTAGCAACCAGCAAGAACACGCTCAAGTAGATCTTCAGTTGTGATTGAGATGACAGATTTAAATCAGAGTTCAAACCATTTACATCAATGACTACACTTCATAATTTCTCAATACTTGACAGAAATATTGGCATGTGACCTGAAATTCAAGGCTACATTCCACATTTACTTTCAAATTTTTGCTTAAATTTGTGAAAACTATACACCAAAATCTAGAGAAATGTGTCACTTAACGTATCTGAAAGTTTTAACTAAATAAATCTAATCGTTCATTTTTTAACACTAAAATTATTTACAAAGTTTACATAAACTTTCACAGAGCGTTATGGAAATTGTAAGAAAACCACTGAATAGATTTAAGTATAATAAACAATTAATTGTAGAGATAAATGTCTCCTACATTCTAGAGGTTTCAACTAATAATCGAGCCATTATAAAGCCAAACACCAAAACTAGGTCTAACTGCTTAATTAATAATTAGTACTCTCTGTTTCCAATAAACCCTTTTAAAACAAATTCAGTTTGATCAAGTAGACATAAATAGCATACTTTAGAAATATTATAGAAAGTATAATTTTGACAATATTGATAATGGAATTTAAAAAAAAAAAAAAAAGCAGAGTGACCCTTTAAGCAAGCATACATCAGATTTAAATACCACTATAAAATTAAGTTTTAGGTTATATTAATGACATTAATTTCCATGACTGTGCATGAATAGAAATATAAGGTTGAAACATTTCACTCAGAACCAGTTGACATATTCAAACAATAAAAACCAAATAACTGACAATAAATGCAAATGAGTTTTGCATAATCTAATCTTGTTTTTAAGATTTTGACTTGAATAGAAATGACCCCAGGGTTATAGTTAATTATTCCATATAAGAAGAACACCTTAACCTTATGTAAAGGGCAGGACATTTCTGATGTAGGAGGATCTGTAAAACATGAAAAATAAATTGGTAATTTGTTATAGAATATTCGATTTAGGCAAACTTTTAGGACAATATCTAATGCCATATAGGCTATTATTTATTCATGTCAATTCAAAGGCAAGAACAAAAAACATTTTTCATTTCATTTTAAGATCTCATCATTCTGCTTTTCAATACCAAGTTCCATCCAATTAAGATGAACACTGTAGTTTCTATCGAAATAACAAGAAACAATCCTATGCATTCAATTCAAAATACTTGCAGAACCAAGGATTGTTTAAGTATTAAGGTGAAAGTGATTGATAGGTAGCAGAAGGAATAACAATATTATCGTTTTCAAGTTAAAAAAGAAAGAAAATTTCAAAGCCTTTTTTTATCAGGAACAGAAAAATCAATGTAAATATGAGGAATGAATAGCCACCCACAAGATCCTAATACAACCCAGTACTAACTGCATGAACCTTACAACCTCCTCAGAGTATTAATAACAACAGAATCAAATCTCTAAAATGTTTCTTTATTCTACAACATCATCACTCATTTCAGATTAACGACAATTAGGTAAATCTTTAAGATGATCACATCTTTGGATAGATTCACGGAAACCAGTTCCCGGTGCACATGGCATGGAAACATAACTACCATGAACACACTGACGGAATCGTTTACAATTTTTGGGATCAGTCAATAGTCTCTCATCTCCTTCCTCACAGCTATCTGAAAAATTGTTAAAAGGATTTAATACTGCACACATGAATTGATATGGAGCTTTGAAATGGACCAGTATATTTTCAATTTATTATAAACAAATAAATATCTTTCTCATTTTAGATAAGAAACCAAATAAAGGTATGACGATTTAAGATTCAAGATTACAAGAAATAATACAATCATTCCATATTATCACAGTCTTAGCAGTAAAAATAAGACTGGTCAAAAATGCATGCGGGCTATAAAGATATAAATTATTTTTTATATGAGACCTGTTTGCATTTTTTAAAGTATAAGTATAAAGGTTTATATATTTTCTTACCCTCCCAAAATTAAAATGACTAACCTGGATTTAATCTGTATCTACAATAAATTAATCTATCATTTGTATCTCCATCAGTCCAGATCCAATCTGCTTTACCATACAAATTTAGAGGACGAAATCCCCAGCTGTGAGGCTGTATTGTAGCATCTTGCCACGAACTGTCGTCAAAACTGAAATAAGAGTGTACAAAACTCAATTCCACAAACTTTGACTAACTAAATAACAATGATGCTGTCAGTTAGAACATTTGACATCATTTGCTTGTTACTTCCAGCTAAATGGTGGTTGTGGGTTCTTCTGTCAGTCAGAGACTACTGATGATCTTGATGATCAGAATATAGATACCATAGAAATTGTAAAGCTGGGAATGGGAATGAAATGTCAAGGCAATATGAATTATATGTGGAATACACTACACAGCTGCATCTTAATTTACAGAAAAAGACTTACTTCCAGTTGTTCCATCCATCTGGTGCTGAAGTGGAACACCTCCATGAGGGATCAGTTCTTACTCCATTACTAAACAGACCTTTAATTCCACCCTTACCACCATGATCAAAACATTTTACAGCTATCACTGTAGATGATGCAGGGAATGATACTGATGCTGTATACCGCCAATTGTCAAAATATACCACTTCCTTTCCATCAACATAGAATGTCATTTTATCATCACAAGTTACTTCCCCTGTTATGTCTTCTCCAGTAACTGAGAAGAAAATGAGTTAAATTAAAAATAAGAAAAAGGAGCATTTAAATTCTCTTGAAACCAAAAACATTTTATAGTTTTACTACTTAGTTGTTTTAATACAATAGTCACCAACAGATCTCTTTTACTTTCAGTTGGACAAATGAGCATAATAATAAGCATCATAACCACAAATTCATAATCAAATGAAATGAACAGCAAAATTTCAAGTAACAAAAATGAAATGAAACGGATGAAGTTTTGCACTTAATTGGGTATATAATTGGGTCTCCTAAAAATGCAAAAATAACAAAATGTAGAATTAATTACCTTGCTGTTGGAGGATCACAGCCACAATTGTCATCAAAATCAGTTTCATGTTTCTTTCTGGAAATTTTCGTAAATTCTATACTGGGTTTCCCTATGTATGACATTTTAGATATGTATTTATAGTATTTCAAACAAGACATAAATTAATTTCTTTTTTAACAGACGCCCCACCATGGTACCCCCCTTTAATCACACTGATAAATTAGATATATAAACATGATATGACCTCACAGAGAGTAGAATATATCCTTAAACGTCAACACAATTACCTCTTGGAATTCACCACAGCATGTTAAAACTGACATTCCCCTACCCATTGCTTGAAAATTTAGGGATTGTCAACTAATCTTAAATACAACTAATTTCCTGCCTTCTTGAGAGTTATCAAGCTAAAAGAACAAGGGCAATAACTCACATTAAATATTTGTTAATTTTTTTTTATTTACAAAAGGGGTACTTCTATGAATGATAATAAAATAAGTAAGTTTATCAAAACCCATCAAGAATTGTGCCTAGTAGAGTTTCTGATTAATTGTTGATTAACAGATGAAGCAACAGACTGACAGATTAGTATGATACCAATAAACACTATACTTGACATTGCATATTAAAATTAAGAGTTTTTTTTTTTTTTGTGTACATTTCTAGTGGTTCTGAAGACTATTTCCATATAATCAAGACCCAAATCATCTCGTCAAGAGGGTGAATCTGCCCCTTTAAAGCATAATAATCTATTATCTCCTTACCTCAAAGTATATAATAAATATTGTGTTATTTTTTTTATAATATTAGTTTCCGTACAAAGAATGATTTACAAATAAGATCAACAATTCACATGATAAAATATGTATATAATTATTTGGTTATTACTTGTTTGAATTTTCAAAACAAACACTTTCAATTGACTGTTAAAATATTGACACTGTAAGTGCAATAAGGCACCTAGTGACTGGTGACTAGTATAGTCTAACATTAGCACCTAGATTACCATCAAAGGAGCATTAAAAGTTCCCTACATGGTCTATCGCATGGATGATCTCAATGTTATAACTTGCTTGGATTAGGTAACCTATCGTCTTGGTAAAGGTTTACTGGTTATTAAAAATATATTGTTTGCTTCAATCGACAGTTGCACAGTTGACAACATGCTTGAAAGATAGCTTGCCAGGCAAAGTAACATACGCCACTACCAACTGTCAGAAATGATAGCAAAGTCTGTGGTGACTTAATGAACTTTTATTGATTGAAATAATCTTAATAGTCAAGGAAAAGGGTATTTACTCTGAAACTGTTTATCGGATTAATACCAATTTCGAACATTAATATATACATGCATACCATGTTTTATTAAGATCAGTAAAAAACTGTAGCCTCTATCGTGCATACAAGCCAAAATTTGACGCGCTTTTAATACATCAATAACCAAGATCTGATCAATATAAACATACATACCAAGTTTCATTAAGATAAAATAAAAACTATAGTCTTTATCGTCAAGCCAAATTTGACGCGTTTTTATTACGTCAAGGGCAATAATTTAGACACCATTCATCCGATTATTACCAATTTCGAACTTGTCAGAGATCTCATCAATATATACATGCATACTAAGTTTCATCCAGATTGAACAAAAACTGTAGCCACTATCGTGCAATTTTCCGGTTCTTTTGCTCCTTAGATTGACTCAATATTCAGTCATCATCAACTATGGTTTTCAGTAAATCCAGTGATTGATAAGATTCTCCTAAATGAAGTTCAATTCTGCTAGTTCTGACCCTCAAATTCAATGAAGTTTTTGTACTTGGACTAAAGACTTAATGCTTATAGGCTGCTGCTTGAACTAAAGAATAATCTTCATATGTATGACCATTTTGACACATTTTGGAGATTAGTATTCAATGTATTAATTAAAATGGTGCCCAACTGAATGTTTAATATTTAACTGTTCAGTACATTTATCAGTTTTTATTCAAATCCAAAAGAGTAGAAATGTCAAAACCTAGGAGGCTTACAAGCAGTGTCATTAAGTTATGATACAGGAACTGTATTATCTTGTATGATATTAAGATATGTCCTTCTCTAATGAATTCTCTAGAAATATCCATGATCGACAATACTATCTTAACAAATCAAAGTTGAGCCAATCTATTTCCTGTTGTTACCCAGATAATCATTGCATCTGATAGTCCTAGGAAATCACTTGATTAACTTACAATCTACTAGTTTATCAACAAAATACTAGAGAGTATTGGAATAACATAAGATCACGCTCTTTTTCGGCTTGGTTTGCTACTGTTTCATTGACGTGCTCACCAACATTTAAGATAAGATTTTGGTACATAGCTGCAAATACAGATTGGTCAACCTCTGTTCAATATGACCTACCAATAACAAAACTTAGTCATAATTTTAAAAATAAACATCAGACTGTAGCATGTGGTATGTTTCTCTTAGATTAGCTTTATAACAGGAGTACAATATTCAAAACAAAGATTCCCTTCTTTCACTTTGTCAGCATTTATATCTATTTCACTAACATTTATTTCTTTATATAAACTAATCCTTTTTAATTCTTGTTTGCATGTTGTTTTATTCCAAGTTAAAGGAATTCCGGTTGATTGTTACTTCTGTTAAGCTAAGTATTCCTGACAAGACTTTAATATTGTTAAGTGTAAGAAAAATGTTTTAAGAAAAATCTACCCATGTCTTCAATTACAAATAGTTGCTAAGGAAGGATTTGGAGATCAGTTTCAACTAATTCAGATAGAAACCAAGGATTTAAACCATGATTAACATAGATTTTCTTTCCTTCAATAGAGTATGGTTGAAAGGTTACCAGAAACTAAAAGAGTTTATGACAATTCTGTAGATTACACATTTTCTTTATTAGAATGACATTGAAGGTGCTGAAAAGTTTCTGATCAGCACAAAAATTGATATCATAATTACCTTTGTGCATATCAACAACCATAATACTAAAAGACTTGTCAAATATTGTGGCCTGTAGATTGACCATGAGATAAATGTGAAGAAATGCAAACACCACCATTGTGAGGGTTTATTAAAGCCTTTTGCTCAATCAGTTACAGATTTAAAAGACTAGTCTGAGTCTTTCTGTCCAGTAAACAACAAGTCACACTAGATGACATTCCATTATATTACTCTATCCATTATATTACTCTATCCATTATATTACTCAATTATATTACTCTATCAATTATATTACTCTATCAATTATATCAATTATATTACTATATCCATTATATTACTCTATCCATTATATTACTCTATCCATTATATTACTCTATCCATTATATTACTCTATCCATTATATTACTCTATCAATTATATCAATTATATTACTCTATCCATTATATTACTCTATCCATTATATTACTCTATCCATTATATTACTCTATTCATTATATTACTCTATCCATTATATTACTCTCCATTATATTACTCTATCCATTATATTACTCTATCCATTATATTACTCTATCCATTATATTACTCCATCAATTATATCAATTATATTACTCTATCAATTATATTACTCTATCAATTATATTACTCTATCAATTATATTACTCTATCAATTATATTACTCCATCAATTATATTACTCTATCAATTATATCAATTATATTACTCTATCAATTATATTACTCTATCAATTATATTACTCTATCAATTATATTACTCTATCAATTATATTACTCTATCAAATATATTACTCTATCAATTATATCAATTATATTACTCATTTGTTAAACTAGAGAAAATCTTTTGAAAATGATATCAAAAAGATTATACACGAATCTTTCATTCAGTCAATCAAAAGAATATAGACTAAACAATTCAAATAAAGTTACTTGCAGTGAGAACTTTTACCAAGACAAAAACAGAACAAAAACGGAATACTGTAGAACATTAGACTAGCTTTGATGTTAAGATTGTCCTCCAAATCTCTATAGATTAGTAAGGATAAAGAATGGATTGACGCATATTTGTGATAATTAAAACTTGGTTCAACTCTAGTTTATTTTATTGGACTGTCAATTTCTTTAAAGTCAAACTCTATATCTAATCAAAAAAACCTTGTCAGATTTCAAAATAGTTATTCCACCCGATTGATTTTAGATCAAAAATAATAACGATACTGAATTCTATTAAGAAAACTACCAGTATACTAACACACTTTGATCAAATACCAATTCTGATACTGTTACTCACAAAGATCATGTTTGTTTACATGTTACAGAATTTAATTAATAGTTAATTGGTTCAGTATAAGTCAAAACTTAGTATTGATTGATTTTTTAAATATGTGTACTTTTATGAGAATGTCAATTTTTCAAATCTGGAAATGATTCAAATCTGGACAATTTAAAAAAAAAAAAATTCAAATACTTTTCACTGTCTTAAATATTCTAAACAATTTTATAATCAGTACCTAAGATTTGAGAGTTCCTCAATCTGTAAGCAAGACATAACCATCATTTTAGTTTCTACTCTCATATGAATAGAATAAATGCAATGCATATATATTTCTTGGCACTCCTTGAGAATGTTTGCATATGGAGTGTATTAATGAACAGGATCCCCATGTCACTTTCATGGAGGTACTGCATCTAATGCTGTAAGCTTCCTCAATGTTTTTAAGTTATTTTGGTAGATTCAATTATTATAATGTAATGATTTACAAGATTAAACAAATGTTATGATTTGTGATTAAAACCTATATTATATATACATCCAATAGCTTTCTAATAAGGGTTGAATACATGACCAGAACGTCTCTTGAAAGCACTGGCCATGGACCATGGTGTCTAATTGCCTAGCAGACTGCTACAAACTGAGCTTTTCCACAGTTTGTAATTTTAGATCTCTTTCAGGTAATTTAGGGTTTAAAACAGACTCAAAAACAAGTATTTTCTTTATATAGGGGTGCTGAAAATAAGCCCTACAAATATAGTTGTTGTTTTCACTTTAACACCACACCTACCTATATGTAAATGTGTATAACAATTGTTTACATGTTATTCAATAAATAACACATTGACTAAATAGTTTCCCATGATT